AGCAGTTGCAATACGCGGAACGGCGATGACGACGACATAGCGACGCTGGTGGGCGATGGCGACTATGCCACCACCAAGCTCTGCAAGGCCTCCAGATTGTCGGGCGGAGGAGTTGGAGCAGGACTGGTGGTCGCTGGCCTCAACGGCGGCGGAGGAGTAGGTGGCGTCGGCGGCGGAGGCGGAGGCGTTGGCATCGCTGTTAATGGTGGTGGTGTTTTGGGCAATGGTGTTGGTTCCGAGGCTGGCGGCGGCATCATCTATGCCAATCCGTTCATGGGTTTGTAGACACTTTCGCAAATCCCCGAGGTGGTACAGTGCGTTTCATGGTTTTCAAAATAAAAGTAAAAAAAAGTATTACTGGGTCTTACAGCTTTGTTTATTTGATTAAAGACTTATTTCCTTAATTCGTTTTGAAATTAAAGGTGCAAAAAGAATTACAAATGATTTTAAAGTTAAATCGCCCCATTACCATGAAATGCACTGCGACCATATATATATATATCTTAGATGTTTTCTACTTTGTTTGATTGACTATTCCTGCATGATGTATGATGTATTATTTGATGTTACCTATTATTGTTTTCTAACCCTGCATGTGCCAAGCTTTTGAGCAACTTAACTCGAAAAACTCTAACCTTACCGTCTTTGTATGTCTTTCAGATGACGAGGGCATTGCAGAGTCGGGCATGTAAGCCCATCCCGAAACCCAAATCCCCAGCCATCCCAACCAGTCCAAACCAACAAACCAACTCAACCGAATGGAAACCAACCCAACCATCATGTGGCAACTACATTATTATTTACTTAAGGGACGCAGTGAGGAGCAGAGCGCGGAGGATCAACGCTTGATATTATACTTGGATATATGTGTACTACACTGGATACTACTGGATATATATACTCTACACCGATCTATCGAATGGGAATGCAGCAATCTCGCCAAACAGAACGAACACGCATCAATTTATACATTTTATATATATATCTAGGATAACGAAGGATCAGCGTACATTGTAACCGCTATTGCCGCTTTAAAACCGGCGACACTGAATACTGGAATACTGATTGTATTTTTACGCTAGCCACAATTTGATATAAACTATATATCTTCCAATTTTTTTGTACACCTAATGTTAGTTGAAAATGTGAGCGAGACGAGCAAACTTTTGTAGCAAACTAAAAGCGCTAAATGTTTACTTTTTTATATTATTATATATATAAATACTGGATAAACATATACCTAATATTAGACCTAAACTAAACTAACTATAAATCGCACACACTCATACACTCACACAAACACAATGCAATAATTGAGTTACATAGTTTTAAGCAAATGTTAAAACATTTTGCTGCAACCGTCGGTGATGTAGTGTAAAATTTTTAATTCTCGTTTTTTTTTTCTGTTTTGTGTTTAATTTTTTGTAACCTTTACAAGGCGTAAACTGTGTATGTATGTGCTACATGAATTTTGTTTAATTATATCAAGTTTTATTTAAAAAATCGAACACCATATTGCATTCCCTTCATTTGAATTGGGCGCTCACACTTAATATTTATATAGGTCCAAAACAGCGGGCGCTGGAAACCAATCCAAAAAACAAAACGTAATGAAAAACACCGATGTTAATGTTTTAAAATTCACCACAAAAATACATAAGCAGAGGAAAAACAGTCGTGCTTCCAGTTTCACTTACTTTTTGCGGCTTTTGATTTTACTTAGTTCGAAAGAACTCAACTGAATTCAAAATGTTCAGTCCAATATTATAGGAAAATCATAAAATGCAACTTTTAAATATAAAAAAAGCTGAGTTCGATAACTAAATTAATATAAAAAAATATTGTATATATATTTATATAATTTAGTGTTTTGTGATTAAGTGTTCTCGGTTTTTAATTTTTGTTTTATTCTTCGTAAAATAATTGTTTTCATTTAACTTGGAAAACTTTTTAAATTATTATTTATTTATATTTATTTATAAACATTTAAAATCACAAAATTCCAAAATATATCAAAAGTCGCAAAAACCTTTCGATTTGATAGGTAACTTCCGGACAGAAAGTGAATATGGAAACTCAGCTGGTAAACAGTCAGCACAAATACAAATAAAACAACAGGAACAATTGACCAACGCATTTCGTAAGGCGATAATCATTTACACGAAACCCAATAAGAATAACAGGATCCCACGCAAACTGTAGACTAACTAACAACAAAGTTAAGGGCTAATTAGCTTAGCCGGTGCCAAAGTAAAAACAAAAACAAATACAAAAACACACCTACACACGACAAGTAACTGTAACAATAGCAATAAACTTAAAGGAAAATTATAGTCCAAATAATTTGCATACATTTAAATTTGTCCAAACTTAGTTGAAATGAATAACCGAACTGTGAAAGAGTGCAATAGAAATCGTTTTGCTTCTAGATTAGTGAAAATGCAACGAAGCCCCTTTTTTGAATACGAACTAACCCAAAATCCTCAATAACAATAAATACATATATGCAAAAGCTAGAGGAGATGAAACTAGAAAGTCTGTATAATGCATACATAATATACGACTCCATTATACACGTACTAAGGTCGACGAATAACATATGCATATACAATATAGACATATATTAAATATATATCATTGTAATAATTTGTAATGTTTATCAGTAGAATTATGATCCGAGGTGGAGCAGACGAGTTAAACGCAAGCAGAGATCCATTAAAGTGTACTGTAAAATGTGCGAAAACTTGTTTAATCTAAATTTGTTGGACGTTTTGTAGTTCTTCAGACGGTAAGTTGTAGAAACCAAAAAAAAAATTACTTTAAAAAATTACGCTAAATTACAAAACGTTGTAAGATTTTAAATTTTGTATATTGTTTATCTTAAACAAATAAATTCAAATATATATTTTATTAATGCTTGCCAATCAATTGCTATTATAAATTACTAATTATAAAATTAAATTTAAAATTTATTTAAATTTTTAATAACTCAACCAAAGGCGCCAAAAAGTAGGCAGCACAGTATCATTAGCCACATTTGGTAGCGCACTAACCGATGGGCGTGGCCACTTCAACATTTTCTAAATGTTCTTAAATGAATACAGGTTGAAAATAAAAAAAAAACACAATTAAATCTCGTCTGTCCCAGCAAACAATTCGAAGGTTTCTTTCGACGATCGGCGATCCAATCATTTAATAAACAAATATAAATGCATCCAAATAAACACACTTCAGTGAATTCTTTCATTTATTGTTTTTATTTTCCATCTTTGTATATTTGACTTAAATTGGTTTCTTAGTTCTCTTTTGGTTTTCGTTTCATTTGTTTTAGTTTTCGTTATCCAACTTTACAACAATTCACTTGCTTTTGAAGATTTATGCCTTGAACGCCTTCAGTTTTGCTATGCTAGTTAATTAATTAATTGTTTAATTATATAGTTATATGTATTGAAGCACAGACATTCGAACTGGATTGTGTTTAAATAAGCAAGAAAACCGATCGATGAAGGACCGAACGAAACCGTATGAGAAAAATGCCAATGAATTGTAAAATTCACTTAAAGTAATTGTCACATACATATAATGGGTACATATCATATATCTAATGCTTAGGCAGATTTATAAACATTGCCTTGTCCATTGGATTGTTTTAATTCTGTCTATGGATGCGTTTGCTTTATCTTCTGGTTTCATCTTTTAATGATTTAAATTTGTATGTGTTGCGCTTCTTGTGGTTGTGGTTAATAAAGTTGAAAAGGCACTGCTGCATTCAAACTTTTCCCTTTTAGCCCCCGGATCTTAACCCCTTAGTCTCATTTGGTAATTTTTTGTTTAGAGATAATTTAATTTAGATTTTCCGGCTAGTGCTTGTGACGTAATTTCCAACCGAATGCTTGCACAGTTTTGCATTTTTCACATATAACTTGTAATAATGACATTCTCAAAGTATCTGTATCTGTAAGTGACGTGTTTACTTTATTTGTGTGTGAACAAATTCTTATCATCTTATTTACTTACAAAAAATCCATCTAGGCGGCAATTACGTGTTCTCTTCTCTTTTTAATTTTGTAGCTCTTTTTAGTATTCTTCGGGTCTTTTTAATTTTAATTTATACCACATACCCTATATTGATTTAAATCTTTTGTGCAATTTTTATTTTCTAAAAGTTACCAAGCTAACTTTAAACCAAAATATAATTAAATTATTTTTGCTAGCTCAAAACTTTTAACTTAATTTATTAAAATACCAGAGTTCAATTATGAATGTAAATTATGAGGAGTTAGAAATTAACATTTCTAAATATTATGAAACCTTCCCAGCTTTACAAAATTTAAATGTTAAATTCAAGTTAATATTTTTTGCAATTGCTAGACTGTTTGAACCCAAGGACAGCTATTTGTATATTTAAATTGTTTATCTATTCACGGAAGCTCAACAGACATTTTATATTTAAAATTAAAAAGATATAACTTGTAGGTATATTTTAGGCAGAAGCAATGATATTCTGGTAGGTTTTGTTAATAATACTGCTTGATGAATGATTATTTAACTATTGTCAGCAATCTTGAAGAATGTTAAATTATAGTTTAAAGTCTGTCTGTAACATATGTCTCAAACGTCTTTCCCTCAGTTTAAAATTTCACAATACAGTTTTAGCCTATTCTACATATTCTTAAATTTACCTTTTCGACATCCTGATCTTTCTCATTTCCAAATAAAGTTAAAAAAAATTTAAATAAAAAAACGATGGGCTTTAAAGGTACTAAAAATATAGAACGAAAGTTATTACATTTTTTTCTCGGCTTAAGATAAACTTTATATTAAATACTGATCAATTGTAATACTGATCAATAACAATACTGTCAATCTCCGATTTTTTTCGAAAATCAAATTCATTTTTTACAAGTTTTTTAAAGTATCTAGACATATTTATTATTTTTTAAAGTTTTTAAATGGTTTCCTTGTGGAAATCTTATAAAAATGGTAAATATTCCATTTAAGGCCTTTTAAATTTGCATTTTTTTAAGTGAAAGAATTTGTCTCTGTTTTTAAATTTATTACTTGTTTTCAAATAATTTCGATAGGCGTATCAATAGATTATGTAAAGAATTCTATAAGGTTTTTTAAAATTTTTACAGCTTCGAAGAAATCATAAAAATTATACAAAATAATGATTTTAACAATAATAAAAAAAACTTGAATGTCTTCAATCGTAAAAATCTTACAGAATGTTTAAATGCTATATATTTGGAACTTAGACTTATTCGACTCTTTTTTCCTTTTGTTATTTCTGTTGGGTGTGCTTCATACTAAGAAGCATGCTGCCGGCTCCCAAACATTTCTCCACGTTCGTTTAAAAGCTTATGTCTAAAGGAGAACCTTGAGCTACAACAACAACTACTAAATGACACTGGCGATTCCAACGACCACGCCCACTATTATTCAAGCTGTCCACGACGATGGCTGCGATGACCGCGGTTATGGCGATGCTGGCGATGATGGTTCCTGGCCTCCGCTTCCGTTTCGGTGTCAGTATCCTCCCGATTCCGATCCCGGTCCTCCTCCTCATCATCGTCGATAGCATCCTCGTCGTGCTCGTTGAGCAGCAGAGGACTGTCGTCACCCAGTCGATTGGGGGGCAGTCCGCTGCCCGGAGTCGTGGGCGCCGATCGGGTGATCCAACCCTTGCGGGCCACTCGTCCGCGGTTCACAAAGAAGCTAGCACCGCTGACCACACTGCTCACCGGACTTTTGAGTACACAGCGCTGGGCGCCCGATCCCGATCCCGATCCCGATCCGGATCCGGATCCCCCGATGGCCGCCATGGGTATGTACAAAGCCTTGTTGGGCTGCGTTTTACTGCCGGAGGTGAAGAACTTTTACTGCGCCCGCTGCTGCTGCTGGCGCCGCAAATGGATGCGGATGTGGTCAGGATGGGCTGCAGCACCTGCTGGGAGTTCGAGGGCGTCGATAGCGTATGCTGCAGTCGGGGTTTGGCCCCCGAGCCGCTCAGCAGGAGTTGTTCGTAGCTAACGCCCGCCTGGAGCTGACGGATCTGGTCGAGAATCTCACGCACCTCGCCCGTTGGACTGGTGGCCTGCGGCGGCGATCCCGGTGTGCCAATGTTGGCCAGACTGCTCACCCCCGACACCTGAGCCGATGGCTGGCAACAGTTCTCCAGGCTGTGCAGCGGATTGGGCTGGATGCAGCCATTGCTGTAGATGACCGCGGTGGCGGATCCACCCGAAGTCCCGGTGCCACCCGCAACCGATCCTCCCAAGCCGCCGATGGCCAGGCTGTTAAGCGAGGCAGCCTGCGTGGCTGCTCCACTCTCCGCACTTTGGGAGGCACCTCCTGCTCCGCCACTTTCTGGCAGCATACCTGGAATTTAGAAAAACAGAAAAAAAACCCCGCATTAAATGGCAATTCAATGCTGAAGAATTCGCGCCGGAAATCTAGTATCCCGAGAGCACAACGCACCTGCCACACAGCTGTTGTTCACAAAAATGTCGCTCAGGCTACTGCTGCTGTTCGCCATGTAGCGGAAGTGCTGATCGCTCTGGGATTGCAGATAGCCCACACCCATTCCCTCCTCGTGGGAGGCATGCAATCGGGTGCTGTAGAGGGCTCCTCCGCCCGGAGAACTGCCCAGCGCCACGGTGGCATAGTGCTGCGCCTGGGCGGGCATCAGTCTCGGCTGATAGGCGTCCGTTTCGACCAGCTGGGATGCCGATCTCGGCATGGCATAGTGCACGGAAGCCAGCGGAGCACTGGGCACCTGATGTGGCCCCGCCTGTTCCATGGATCTCAGATGGGTCGTGCCATGTCCGTGGGCGTGGGCGTGGGCATGGCCATGGGCCACATAGTGATGCAGCCCCAGATCCGGACTGGCTGCCCGGGAATATGGCGGCGGCACCAGGGTGTTCGCCTCGTTCGCATTGCAGATGAAACTGGAGCTCAGGGAGTCCACGGTGCTGGCCGCACTCAGGGAGCCCCCCGCCGCCGGCCGGACAATGTAGTTCCGGAAGTACTGCACCATCAGGTAGCTGGAGCTGCCGTTGCCCTTGCCGTTGCCCGAGTCGCTGTTGCAGGTGAAGACGAGCGGATACAGGTCTGGTTTGGACGTCACCTGGCGGAGTGAGAATAAAGCAATTATTATGGATCTATAACACTTGAAACATTTTACCATCTTCATTTCTATTAATTATTTAAGACTACAAATAATTTCTGAAAAATAATATAGCACTGTCTAATAATTTAATTAGCCCTTTGGCATAGAAAACAAAAATCTTCAACATTGCTAGAACAGATATTGTGGATTAATTACCTCCGTGTAGGGTGGCGGCGGATGGTGAAACGAGTTGCAGCGACTATATTGCGGAGGCGCGTAGCAGGAACCGGCGGAGTCGCCCTCGGATTGGGTGTGGTGCTCATTGAATCCCCAACCACAGAGAGTTCTCCGCTTCTTCCATAGCGAGTAGGCACACAGGATGGCCAAGATAATGGCCACAACCACGCACCTGCAAGAGAAATATTGGATTAATACAAAATTTAATGTTAACCAGGGTGTATTATAATCCAAGGTATTTCACAAACTGATTTTTCAGCTGATCGATCATTTGGCTAAACATGATTTAATTTGTTTGCTACGGTATATATCTTCAATAAATATCATTAATTAATATATATATTTAAAAAGGGTTTTATGTTATCAATTAGCTCAATTTATTGAACTAATGACGATTTTTGTTGTATTATTTATTTATAAAAAATTTTAATTCTTGGTGTAGTTTTTAAGATCGTAGCTGTATTGGCAGGTGTTGTTTAGCTGATCATTACGGTTTTTTTTTATTTAAACAAAATCAAGGACTATCAAAAATTTATGATATGCCACTGAAGCCCAGCACTATTTTTTAATTATAAAATAAATCGAAATTATTCGAGGGCGCTAAAGTGGAAAACCCGAATGGAAACTTAGCTGAGAAATCGTTTTGTGAAAATGTTCGGAACATTAACTGCTCGTTCTGCAGCTGGCGCGACTGAATAAAGAAGCCCATTTGGCCGGATCCGGATCCGGATGCAGATGCAGATGCAGATGCGTTTGCGTTTGCGGATACGGATCCGTGTCCTGCTGTGCCCGTAATCGAATTTCAACTGAAATTTGTTTGCCTTTTCGGTGGCCAAGAGATGGGATTATATGAGCAGGGTGGAGGTGGCGGTGGCGGGCGGCTTTCGTCTGTGTCTCATTAGTTGGCATTGCCATTTCCACGGCCCCCAAGGGGGGCGGATGGCATGCACCAAGGCAGTGTGGGACTGCAGCTTGCATAAGCCTCTCGACTTGACTCGACTTTTGACTTGACGCAACCCCGGCGCTGGGCGCCACCTTTGCTGCCAATAATAATAATATCTCGCATGGCACACAATGCCAATCAGCTGGAAGTCCGACCCACCACCACCCTCCGTTTCATGGCCTTGCGTTTGACCTCCGGGGAATCCCCAAAAAGAACAACAAATGCCACCATGACCCTGGCCATATATACCATCGGAGTAAATAAATCATGCTTACTAAAATTAAAACTATTGGAACCCAAGGAATTTTCATGCACATATGAAACTATTTTTGATTGCCGCTTGAACAGGTTTCTACGAATCAAATTTCATCAGACAAAATCCATAAATTCAATATACAAATTCAACCTATAGACTGTTGACTGAGATCATTTCCAAGAGAAACATACCTGTATACGAACATTATATGGTATTACATGTCTAAGATATCATTCTTACCAGAAGAACCAGTGGGTGGCGAAAAACAGATTGAGAACGTGGGAGTCCGAGGGCGGCGGTAGGGGGCGTGGTCCGCCCTGGTACGGCGGACAACAGCCCTGGGTGCAGCAACCCTGGCTGCAGCCCTCGCAAAATCTAGCCGACACCTGTGAAAACAAATATTATATTACACCTATAAGTCGAAAAGTGTATTTCTTTACTGTATAACAAGACCTAAGGCTCGTTGAAAAAAAAATGAGAACAAAAAAGAAAGCAAACTTCGGCAAGCTGAAGTTAATAAATCCTTCCAGAAAAAAATTTTGATTTGGATATATATATATGTTTTTAAACAATGAAAGTTTGAATTAAAAACGTAATTCCAACATAATAAACCATTACTATATATCAAAGTATAATTGAAAAAATTTAAAATCAGCAAATTATAAATTTTTTTTAAATTTATTGATGTTATATTTATTTATTGTTGCTATGCTAGCTATACTATACAGATTTCAATAAAGGAAAAACTTAGTTCTGAAATATAAACCATAACTATATCTAGAAGAATATTAAAAAAAAATGTAAATTACAGCAAATAATTTATGTTTCTTTTTTTTCATATTTTCTGCTCATTGTTTCTGTGGGAGCTATATAATTTAGTCGTCCGATCATGCTCGACAACTTTTGGAAAAGTTTTATGCTGATAGCCTTAAACCTGAGAGACTAAAGACGGACAGACAGACGGAGACGGCTAAATGCTGATAAACATTATATGTATCCAAACTTTTGAAAACTTTTGACTGAAATTTTAAAACCCTCTGCAAGGGTATAAAAACAGTAGGCAAAGCAAACTGTCATTGTCAATATTGCCAACCACAATACAAGCAAAATTTAGAAACCGCACGTACAAACGTATTTTTAAAACTCATTTACTCTATTTTTAAAGGGTATTTTTTAAGTCACTGTCACCGTATTGTGTGGCCTTGTTATTGTGTTTATATATTTTTCTGTGATTTTCAAAGCGATACAAAATGTACAAATATAAAATGCACTTACTGCTGCCGTTGGGAATGCAATCGTAATCAAATTAAAATGCAGAGTCACATGCAACATTGACGCGCTTTCGTTTATTTATGATCATTTTTATTGATAGAAGTGTGAAGTAAAACCACTTCAAGTACCAAGTATCTATTTTTTACTATTGGTCTCAAAATAATTCCTTTTTTTTATTAATTTGTAATATCTTTTTCTAAAAGTTATGAAACAAATGTAAAAATGTAGGTAAACTTTATTTTACACAATTGAACATGTTTGATATAATAATTATTATAAATATCCATTGCTAAATAACAAAGGCATTATTAAATAAAAATCAAAACACAGGTTGGAGACGTTTCCTTCTACCTGTTACATACTTTTCAACAATTTCAATATACCCTCTTACTCTACGAGTAACGAGTACATAATACAAAGTTTGGCTCTTGTCTTAAAACTGATTTCTTGCATACTTTTTAGGGTTAAAAATTCAATATGTTTATAACTAGAAAGGAATGAATTTGATATAAATTGAACAAATAATTTGTGTTTTGTAGGGTTAAACATGTTACTTAGTTGTTGTTGTCTGTGTGTTTACTGCTACTTTGTGTGTTTGCAACATTGATGAAAGGCACTTACGTTCGCTGGCAGCACCAAAAGGAGAAACAAGGAGAGCAGGATCCACTGCAGCGCCGCCGTGTGAGAGGGAGCGTGGTGGAGCCTCATGGTTCTCTGCCTCGGCCTCAGTCGACGTCGCAGTCGCTGCCCGAGCTGGCGCCAAATGTCTTGTGATGCCTCGTCCTTTTCTGTTTTTCGTTTTTTTTTAGCAGCCACCGTTTGTTTTTGGTCCTCGTGTGTGATTTGTTTCTGCCTTTTGTTTTGTTTTCCTATCTATTTTTTTTTCTTGCTGTTGATACTTTTCTGTTCCGTTATTTGTGCCACATGCTGTTGTTGTTGTTGCGGTTGCAGTCACACTCACACAAACAACGTTTTGTTTTGTCCTTGACAGACGCCAAATGCAATGTACCGTAGCATTCTTTTGTGCGTTTGCGATTGTTGTTGCTGCTGCTGCTGCAGAGAAGAGAGAATTTGTTGCTAACTGAATGTTGTATTATTTATTTTATTTCACACTAACACACCATTACACACAAGAGAGCATAAGCACTCACACAACACACACACACAAACGACGCCAAAGAAAATTTTCTTTTCGTGTGACGCCACTCTTTTTTACGTTTACAATTTTAGCAAAAAACGGCGAACAAAAAATTTGAAGAATTGGAAAATGTGCAAATAAAACCTCTGTAATTGTTGTAAGCCCGAAAATTTGAGGCATATAGAAAACAACAACAACAGCAGCAGCAGAAGGATATTCGGATGCGGGGTGGGAAATGGGGGTGGTGAAATGCGAAGCACAGTGCAAACCGAAATTCACCGTTAGCCTCGAACGTGGGAGCGCGCACAGCAACAACTGAGCGACAAAAACGGAAACAAAGGAGCCATCAGCTTTTCCACTGTCAGTCAGGATTGTCACCCCACCCGAAAAATGGCAAAACATCCCTAGAGGTTTGGAATCCTTTATAGAAGAGTTCCGAAATCCCATGACATTCCGTTTTTCATAGCACACTTTTAGACACCACTTTGAAATTGATTCGAACTAAGCTTTTGCGAAACCTTAAATTATGCTGATTGATATAGAGCCGATTTATTAAAATAATATATTAAAAAAATATATATCCATGCTGCACAGTTTTTTATATGCAAGCCTGGCAACCCCAACAGCTGATGATAATTTGGCCAGTTGGCGGAAGTGGTATGATTGCAAAGCGCATGAGCCCAAAAGGCGCGGTTTTTTAAATCGAGATTAAATATATACTGACTTTATTAACTGTCGGATGTAAGAGACACAACATTTTCATTTATGAAATACCTAGCGTTTTCAGTTTCAATAAATTATTTGTTTCTTTCGCGAGAACTGCTATATTTATTTATAAAACGTTGGCAGAATTTGCAAGTCTCGGAAATTCATTACCAATAACTCACACAATAACTCACAACTTCTTAATAAAAAAAGAAACTCGAAAACAAAAATTGCAGAATTCTACTAAATAGGAATTTTACATAAAAAAAAAAAGTTAAATGAAAACGTATGTGAATTTGTGAGCATTTGTAATATATAAAGTAAGCATAATAATGAACTATAACTCACACGGTTTTGATTGAGACCGCAAAACGTGAGTAAAAACAATAACCTATGCTTAACTTACGCAGTACCTAAATCTACTTTACTTTGAAGAACGAGGCGATGCTCTTGGTGCCCTTGGCTCCCTTGGCCAGGGCTTTCTCCTTGGCGGTCAGCGAGCGCTCCTTCAGTGGGCCCGCCGTGGGCGATGTAATGCTGGCATTGGGATCACCATCGCTATCTAGTATACCACTACTCTTTAGCTTCGCGCCGGCATCGCTGTCGTTTAGCTTAATCTTCTTTGAGTCGCTGCCCTCGTCCTTTCCCGCCTTCGATTTCCTCTTCTGGGCAGCATTCTTTTCCTCAACAATTGCCTGTATCTCGCTGGGAACGTGCAGATAGCCGGTGAGCAAGTCGTGCAGATCCGCATCCAAATACCGGCCCACAATATCGCAGGCCATGCGTGTGTAGTCCATCTCGTTGCTGGCATTTTCTGCTGCCAGCTTTTCGCTCCGCACAAAATTTTGCGACTGGGCGCTGTGCCCGCAGTGGATTTGTTTCTCCTTCAGGATCGCTGCCACCAGGCGCGTCTTTAGAGCCAGCCAGGCCAACGTTCGCTCTTGGTTGTACTTGTAAAACTTCTGGTCGCCGGAGCTCTTTACATCCGCCACGCATTTGAGGCTCTCTGGCTCGAGGAACTCGTTTAGCAGGCGGCTGGTGCTTGCCTCATTCACCGCAATGTTGTCCAGCGACATTGCTCCTGTTTAATAAAGTTAAAGTTAGCTATCATAATATAATAATATATTGAAATCGGAAAACCATTTCATACTCTGAGCACAGTGTTTTCGGAGGTGGTGGAGGGCCAGCAGCGTTGGATCCACAGGCGAGGTCATGTAGATCCTGCCGTTGGAGCAGACCTCGCTGTTTAGTAGCCAGCTGCGTCGTGGTTCCGCGTACTCCAGCAGCTCCATCATCTGGCCATCGGGATGGGTGACGAAGAGTGCATCTTTCCCTTGTCCCGGGTGGTGAAACCGTTCCAGCCGGAGACGCTGATCGTCCGCATCCTTGGGCAGCAGTTCCTCCGACAGAAACAGCACCTTTTTCAGTGCGGAGGCCGTGGACTGTTTGCTAGATCCCTCTGCGTCTGGATCGGGCTTGGGTTTGCTTGCTCGTGTTGCCTTTTTGCTCATCCTACAGGCTTTAACAAATGTAAGTGTAAACAAAAATTGCCCAAAGTTTCCCGCTTTTGTTAGCGATGACAGTTGCCGATGGACGTTATCGATATTCAGACAATCAGTCGGTATCTATGCACTTTAGTGTTCAGTATTTTTTTATCTATATTTTATAATCAAAGTACGGCCACACTGGCCAGCTGTTTAAAATGATGAAATTGTTTATTGGTGTAAACTATTAACAACAGAATGAGTGTGGACATAGATATTGCCAGCACGATCAAGTTCCGCGACATTTGCGACCTGTTCGAGAAGCTTAAGGCCACCAAGAAGGTGGTCAACAAGGAGGAGGTCCTCAAGAGCTACTACGAGTCCTTCTGCCGTCACCGCGAATCCTTTCGCCGGCAAACCGGACTAACCGATGACCAGGCGGAGAACGGAGTCAGTAGCTTCCATTCGGTGCTGCGACTGCTCCTGCCGGGTGCGGATACCGGAAGGGAGAGCTATGGACTGCAGATCACGGCGCTGGGCAGGCTCTACATACGAGTGCTCCAGCTGCCCGTGGACTGTGAGTGCAGGAATCCGGCGATTTGGGTCAATCAGTAACCCTTCTGTTGTTCCCTTTAGCAAGCGATGCCATCATGCTGCAGCATCGCAGCGGGAACATGTACCGGGACTACGGCGATGTCGTCTATGCCGTCCTCAAGCCAAGGTGCTTCAATCCGCCCAGCGATCTGCGGCTGAAGCACATCCACGAGATGCTGGACACCATTGCCAACGAGGACACGGAAGGTGGGTGGCCTACCTTATTTATCTTGTACTGTTGTTCTGCATATAAGCCCCAATTCCATCCCTGCAGTCAAGAAGCAGCAGCTCATCCGGTTCACGGAGCAGGCCTCGCCCAAGGAGCAGAAGTGGCTAATCCGGCTGCTGCTGAAAAGCCTCGGTCTGGGCATCGGGGAGCAGAAGATCTTCGGGGTGCTGCACCCCAAGGCACAGGACATCTACCAACGCTGCTCCGATCTGGGGCACGTGTGCAACCTGCTGGCAGAGAGGAACGGCGACCTGGACGCCAGCACCGCCGATAGCAAATCGGCGGTCAAGTTCGTAAACTTGAATGCCGTCATCCGGCCGTTCCACCAGATACGACCCATGCTGTGCGAACGATTTCCGGGTGACATCCAGGAGTTGATGCAGTCCGATGTGCTCTACATGGAGACCAAAATGGATGGCGAGCGATTCCAGCTGCACGTCGATCGCGGGCGCTTCATGTACATCTCCCGGAATGGCGTGGACTACACCAGGAACTTTGGCAACGGCTACGAACGCGGCACCTTGACGCCCAAGCTGCGAGGTCTGCTCCCCCTCGGTCTGCAGTCCATCATCCTGGACGGCGAGATGATGGTGTGGGACACCAACCAGCTGCGCTTCCGGGAGAAGGGCGAGAACACGGACGTGAAGAGCCTGAAGCCGGAGGGCAGCTGGCAGCCCTGCTTCGTGATATACGATCTGTTGTACTTCAATGGCCAGAGCCTGCTGGACCACACCTACATCCAGCGGGCATACAAGCTGCAGAAGCTGATCGTAGAGCAGCCCGGTGTGCTGCAGCTGATGCGCGGCCGCAAAATCGGATCCGTGGAGGAGTTCAACCAGATGTTCCAGCAGGCCCTCGACTCCCACGCCGAGGGCATTGTGGTGAAGAAGCAAGGATCCAAATACGTTCCGGGCGTAAGACTGGGCGGTGGCTGGTACAAGGACAAGGCGGATGTGAGTAGAGTACTTTTCGACAGCATCCCATAGCTCAATATGCTTATTTATTTTGCCGCCCAGTACATCAAGGGCCTGATCACCGAGTTCGATGTGCTGATCATTGGCGCCTTCTACAACCAGAAGCGCACCTTCGTGGACTCCTTTCTACTGGGCGTTCTCCAGCCAGCGCCCCCGAGCAGCTCCAATCGGCCCGAGGTCTTCAGCATCGGAGTGGTCGCCAACAATACGAAGCAACGCGGAGTGCTGAATCACACGCTGAAACCGCATTGGCACGATGCGGTTAAGGAGCCACCGCCGCTATGGTTCCACTACAAGGCCAAGGAACGGTCCGGATGCCCCGACCTGTGGATCGAGCCACATAACTCCATCATTCTGCAGGTGAAGGCCGCTGATTTGGCGCCAAATGCAGCTTTCCACACCCGCAAGGCTCTGCACTTTGCGCGCACTGAAATGAAGCGAGACGACAAGTCGTGGAACGAGTGTATGACACTCAGGGAGTTCAACGACCTCTGCGACGGCTCCTCGGCCATCAAGAAGCTGAACAAGCGGCAGCTGCGACTGGAGGATGTGACCACCAAGCGGAAGCAGCAGCGAATGACGCCCGCGGAGCGGAGCCGCCAGGGATTGGCCGTCTACGAGAAGCGCTGTGAGGTGGACCCAGCCGCGAGCAGCTCCCGCCTCTTCGGCGGGCTGAGCTTCTGCATTCTGAGTGGATCTGCCGGACGGCAGAGCAAACAGCAGCTGCAGGAGCTGGCCGCCAGAAACGGTGGTTGCATTGTGGAGAATCCGCTGCCCAACGATCCCAAGTGCTTCTGCATTGCCGGCGACGAGACATTCCTGGTGAAGCGGCTCAGACTGCAGCAGCCGCGCACCTGCGACATTGTGCGCATGGAGTGGCTACTGAGGGTCTGCCAGAAGCAGGAGCTGGAGCTGAGGCCAAAGGACCTCCTAGCGGCCACAGAGCCACTGCAGCAGGAGTTGGCCGAGTGCTTCGACAGGCTGGGCGACAGCTACAACAAGGACATTGCCAACGTAGACGAGCTGCAGGAACTACTGCAGGACATTCAACTGACCCCAGAGGACTTGGCAGACATCAGCACATCTGAGGTGAACGCTCTGGAGGATCAGCTGCTGGCTAAGAAAACTAACCTTAACATGTTCCGCCATCTGCACGCCTTTTTCTACGATCCGCACGGCGATGAGTTGGCCAAGGTTCTGTTTCTGCAAAACGGTGGCAAACTGGCCGACGAATCCGATCCGCAGCTCAATCTTGGCTTCCTCTGCAAGTCCTCCGACCTGGATGACAATCAGTTTAGGCACTGGCTGGATAACCATTCCAAGTTAACTGCCGACAAAGTCCTAAATTCTGCTTGGGTCCATCAATCGCATCGGGAGGGCCACCTCCTGCCCATGCGCGGTTTCGTCGAGGTTATTTGTTAAAGCTCTTTATACGTTTACAACAAATACATGTTTGTTTCTTAATGTATGAAATCTGCCTTTATTGATAAAGTATTGGGTCGCCGAGACGCTTAGTTTATGGTGACACATTGAATAATCGCACAAAACATTTGGGATTACCTATCTTCAGAGCTGCGCAAATTCAAAATCACTTATAATAAAATAATTTTGACACCATTTTTGCATCTAGGTGTTGTACACGGTATTTGCGAAAACAAGTACTTAGGTAAGGTAATAAAAAAACACAGTTTTTCCAATATGTAGGTAAGGTACAAAGCAAACAAAAAATTTTTCAGTACCTCTATACCTAGCACATTCTTAAGGTAAATATAAATCCTTACATAGGTCAGGTAAAAGTTAGCCAAAAATTGTAAATTGTACGTAAATTTGTTGATAGTAATTCGTTCACACTGTTGCCCTCCACTCTAATGTACTCACATAAGTGTTGCTATATAAATAGTATGCATTTCTTACGTTGCATTCAGTTTAGTTTTGTTCAGATTAGCTTGGAATTGATTCTGCTGTCGCTCGCAATGAAATCGCGGTGTCTAGGAATTTTAATAATGTGTTTCCTTCTGGAAGAACATATTTTTGCTGGTGCCAAAGCAATTAAAGACCTGCCGCAGCATCCATCCGATCACAACAATACCAACGATAAGGTGAGAAGCCAACTGAATACGACAGAGATTATTAGAGACTTGCAGACTCGGTTGGCAATGAGAGAAGAGCTTCTGACTGTGAAAAACGAACTCCTTAGAAATAGAGACGAACAAATCTCGGATCTAAGGAGTCAGGTCAAGTCGATGGAGACGACTCTAGCTGAAAGATCTACTCAGCTTGCGGAATGCCGGAAAGCTGATGACAATTTACCCGACTCGTGTCCCAGTGGCACTCCCAATGGCATTTACCAACTTAAGCTTAGAGGCCTCGAACCGTTTCAAGTTCCCTGTGTGTCGTCCCCTTCTGGCTGGACTGTAATCCAGAGACGCCTGGACGGGTCCGAGAACTTCGATCGAAACTGGGAGGATTACAAGGAAGGGTTCGGAAACATCAAGGGAGAGTTCTTCATTGGGCTGGAAAAATTGCATCGATTGACAGAGGCTCGACCCCATGAACTCTACATTAAGCTGGGGAAGATTGATGGATCCACCAGCTACGCTCATTACGACGACTTCAAAATTGGCAGTGAGAACGAATTGTATGAGCTGAAGAGTCTTGGGAAATATTCCGGAGAAGCCGGAGATTCTTTTAAATACCATGAAAACAGAAAGTTCACTACATTCGATCGGGATAACGACGAATATGTGCATAATTGCGCTGCAAACGAGTACGGTGGTTGGTGGTATAACGACTGTGGTACAAGGTATAAATGTTCAGTTAATATGTAATTGATTCTTGTAAATTTAACAGATTAACATTACAGTTCCCTCAATGGAAAATACTATAAAGATGGTCAATTACCAGATGGTCAGTTAATTAACGGAATAAACTGGGGCATTTGGCATGACTACGACTGGAAACAATCACTCACCTACGTTGAAATGATGATTAGACCCAAGTCGTTATGAGCAGCAGTCGTAAATTATCAAAAATTATAATTTGAAACCAAAGCATGTGTGTTTAAAAATGCTATTACTCTTTTTCCATCGATAAAATGAAATCGTCGAAGTGTTAAAAATTATACCAATACCACAACTGTTAAGTTGTTGAGATTGCTAGAATTGATTTGTTATTATTCTTGTTGATTTTTTTAAACTTGCGTTCTTAGCTATGTGTATATTCGGGAAACCCACTTTCGTTTTAAACTTAACGAGTTTAAGCACTTTATTGTACAACAAATAAGCGAAAAGAATATTATAATGACACTGATTCAAAAACGGAGTAGTATAAATAAATATCTGATATATTTACAATTTAAATTAAATAATTAATCATAATATTAAATACAATGCATATTCAATTCCATGATTAAAATTAAAAATATTTCAACTTATGTGGAAATTTGGAAAAAATTATGATATAACCCCTTATCAAAAATGCGAAAAAAATCTTTTTTTTATAGCAAAGCAAAATAAATTCTTTGTAAATTGATCGGAATGGATTTTATGGGTCAACAGCAGTACAAAACAGTCACTGTTATGGCTATGTTTTATTTTGGCCAAGTTACATCAAAAGACTCTTTGGAACTATTTATTTTTCTTATTTCTCCAGAAAGTCAGAAAAATCAGTTTTTGTATCAAAAGCCTGGGAAAATAAAAGGAAGAATGTCATAAATCGTTGGATTCGTCATAAAACTTCCAATCAAATGGCATTCACAGCTAATTTTTTTTCAGTTTTTCAAATTTTGGCATTTTTTGGCATTCACAGTTTTTTTAATTGTGTCAAAAAATGATGCTAACTTGATCAAATTAGGACGCATAGCCATAAGAAATACGGTTTTCTACAGTTGGTTCCCAATACTATCCATTCCAAATGGATTACATAAAATGTTGTAATTTAATAATGAACTCTTAACTCTCATGATTAAGCCAACAGGACCCCGAGCTAACTAATTTCTTAGCTTGAAAATGCGTTTGATTAAAATTGTATACCAAATGGTTAATAATGTGGTGCCAACGGTTTTGGGTGGTGAGTGGGGGTCCGGTATGCAAACCAGTTCTGAAATATTTACTGTGTTATTAATGGAAATTACTGAAAGGGGTAATTTTGGTTCACAATAAATTCTCTTTTAATGTGCGATACCGTTCGCCTCTTGACCAACTATAAAAGTGTTGCAAGACCAAGGAAACTACTTACTTGTTGGTCGGAAAGACATGTTTTATTCTCATCAATATAAAGGACTTCGGTTCCCCATTCAGTGTGTTTGGCTCAAACTGAATGGCTCTTGGCCCTTATGGCCAACGTCAAAAGAAAAGAGTCGAAGAAACGAATCTGTTTTGGGCAATTCATATTTTGCCACTGCCTATATAATATGGGCGTGGTACGTCATAGCTTCTGTTGGCATTACAATCAGCTATCAAACCGGTTTTCTGATTAAAAACCTTTCGGATATTATAATCACCACTGAAAACTGTTGTTCCACCTTCATGGGAGTCCTCAACTTTGTCCGACTTATTCATTTACGCCTTAATCAACGGAAGTTTCGAGATTTAATCAAACATTTTTCTTACGAAATCTGGATACCAGAGTAAGTTTTGTAAAATCTTAGTTATGAACACCATTTTATTATTACTACGCTTTGTAATTTTGTAAAACTCAGTTAGAAAGCCAATACATGTTCAAATATTATGGATATCAAGCAAGCGTGAATTTACTGAGGTATTCAAAATATTTGAGACTCTTTGAGAAATTTGATTAACATGTTGGTATTTCGACTAAATTGTATGGGAACTGTCAATTCAAAAATGAAACATACTTTTGCTTTTAAAGTTATTTATGTTACATCAAATGTTTTTAAGAAATCTGCGTTGAAACCATTCAATGTGTGTAAGTTTTATTTTCAGCTTTAGAAAAACATTTTTCTGTTCTCCACATTTAGAGTCTTGTTTTAAACAGATTAATAAGATGACAAGGCTAGAAATGGAGGAATCATTTGTTTGCACGAATTACGAGGCATAATTGATGTATTTATTCTAATTATTATGTAAAGTTTTTTTTTGTAAAAAGCATACATATTAGGTAAGAACTAAACTCGACTAAATCGGTTTTTTTTCAGCAGCAGTTCGGAGAACAGTGTTGCTGCCGAGTGTCGGAAGCGGATGGTCACGTTTAGCATCATGACTGCTTTGCTGTCCTGCCTTATTATCATGTACTGCGTAATGCCTTTGGTTGAGCTATTTTTTGGCCCCGAACTGGACCCTCAGGACAGGCCATTTCCCTACAAAATGGTGTTTCCGTACAATGCCAACAAGAGCTGGGTCGGCTATGTGCTCACCTACATGTTCACATCGTATGCCGGAATTTGCGTGGTGACCACGTTGTTTGCAGAGGATTCCCTTTTCGGGTTCTTTATAACGTACACTTGCGGCCAATTTCAATTGCTGCACGAACGGATCGACAATTTGTTTACGGAATCCAACGAAGACGACAACCAAATGCAGTTGAAACGGCTCAAAGGAATCGTAGAGAAACACAACAATATTATCAGGTTGGTAATTACCCAATATTCCGTTTAGTCACTTTCCCTTTTGAACTGCAAAAAGTTGAAATGGCTTTATCTTGCTCTAGGCGCTTGGAAAATTAAACGCCAACATCTCCTTTTTTTTTAGCTTGTTCGTGTAAAATGTTTTAAAAAAATGAAATACACCTTCAATACGTAATAATATGCACTGTACTCAAAGAAAAGTTAAAAAAAAGACCTAAGCATCCTAGCAGTTTTAAAACCATTCTTTTTATTGTAGTAAACAAATTTTAAAAAATTCGGATAATTAGATTAACGTAAAGGGTTTTTCCATATTTTATAAAATTATTTAATATCTCACAGCTTAAAAAAATAATATTTGTCAATAAAATCAATTCTTTGTTTTTCTTATAAGATTCGCTCATCGCTTGGAGGACTTTTTCAATCCAATTCTATTGGTCAATCTTATGATTTCATCGGTTCTTATTTGCATGGTTGGCTTTCAAATTATCACTGTACGTATACATAATATATTAGAAATATAGGAAATATTGATATACCACCGATATGCCCTAAATCAAATCATTGTTCATCGAGGACTATGATATATACGTTGTTAAGGCTCCAAGTATTTCATTTCTTTCATTTCTTCATATTCCCATTTAGGGTAAAAATATGTTCATTGGGGATTATGTTAAGTTTATAATTTATATATCCTCTGCCATTTCGCAACTGTACGTACTCTGCGAGAATGGAGACGCATTAATAAAGCAGGTAAAAATATGTTATGAAACCAATTTAAACGCAGAGATTGTATGTATATTTTTTTAACACACAGTCCACATTGACGGCGCAAATTCTATATGGATGCCAATGGGAAATGTCAGGTCAAATTAAGCCAGGTTCCGATAAATCGAACAGCAAGAATATCCGGAATCATTTGTGGTTCATGATACTCTGCAGCCAACAGCCCGTGAGAATAACGGCGTTCAAATTCTCCACCTTGTCCTTGCAAAGCTTTACGGCGGTATGTAACCTTCTTAAAGAAAGCCCGAATGCAGTAAACCAATTCTTTTCTCAGATATTAAGTACATCGATGAGCTATTTCACATTATTGCGGTCAGTTTACTTCGACGACGAAAAAAACACAACTAAATAAATACGGACCAACAACACTTTAATCAAGTATTAAGGCAAACACTTAGTGACCAATAATTTTATTTCAAATAAATATTCGTCGAATTGTTTAATGCTGATTTGAAAACTTTTCTCAACTTTTCAATTAATGTAAGTAAGTAAGTAATGGAAATTCTCCAAATTAGTAGTTTTTGCATAGCTTTTTAAACAAAATCTGTGACTTTACATTTACATTAATGTTTCTAAAAGTCGATAGTGTATAGGTATTATATAATATTAATTTATGTTTCGTAATACTGAACTGTCGTATTATTAATAAGTCAACAAGAATTTAAAAAAAAATTACAAAAAAATTTTTTTTGTTTTTTTTATATTTTTATTGTTCCTATGGGAGCTTCATGTTATAGTCGTCCGATCTGGCTCATTCCGACTTATAAACTACTACAATAGAAAGACAACTTTTGGGAGAGTTTCATGCAGATAGCTTTAAAACTGAGAGACTAGTTTGGTCGGGAATGTCTCCTTCACTGCGTTGCAAACTTCTGACTGAAATTATAATACAAGATGGGTACATAAGTTATTTTTTTAAGCATTTTTTTTGTCAAAATGAGAATCGGCCAAAAATGTAATTCCCATTTTCTTTCTTTTCTTATTGTAACGAACTGTTTAAATAGGCTTGTTATTAAAAATAATACGCTTATTTAAAAATTAAACAAATAATAGCATTAAAAAGGAGGAGAAATTGGTAAAAAAAAAATTAGTTTTTCAACATTTTTATTTTTTTTATTATAAAAAATGAGAAAATTTGTAATCCCACGTTACACTAATAAAATCTTTCAAAAACTCTTAGTAGAAAACTGTTTTGATAAATAAGAGGAAAATATGTTTTAATAATAAAATTTTTTTTATTGAAACAACATCAGTTAATTGTTGATGTATCTTTCATTTTATTCTTGAATAAGAATCGTTAAGGCGTATTCATATTAGTATTTTGAAATTCCATTAGAATTGTCAGGAGTTGAATTAATTATAAATAAAATATATCTGAAAACCGTTTAACCGTACCGCTTGCATTTCCGAAATGTGTGACACTGGATTGAGCAAAGAGTCCCTTAAAATCTGCATCCAGCTAATCGATCAGGGAGTCCAACCTACGGTGGTAGCCCAGTTTATCAAGGAAATCAGAAAAGGGATAAAGGATGAGAAAAGCGAAAGCAATGGAGGGGCAATGGAGCTTCCATTGAAAAGCGTGGAGTTGAACAGTGATTGAGTTGAAAAACGTGGAGTTGAACAGTGATGAGTTAAAAGCGTGGAGTTGAACAGTGATGAGTTGAAAAGCGTCGAGTTAAGCAGTGATTGAGTTGAATAGCGTGGAGTTGAACAGTTATAAGTTGAAAATCGTGAAGTCAGATCGGACGACTATATCATACAGATCCCAAAGGAACACTCGGGAAAACATATGAAAAATTATAATTTGGCTGTTTTTCATGTAATTTGAATATACTTCGATAGAAAGTAATGGTTTATTGTTTCATAATTATAATTACAATTTTATTCAAATCAGACCACGATATCAAATAGCTGCTTCTAAAAAATAAAAGCATAAAAATCGGAATATTGTTGTTTTAAAAAATATTGAATTTTTGGAATAGCTGCACAGGTACATAAACTTTGGCTTGCCAAAGTTTGCTCCAAACGTAGTTTGTCAAAATAAAATAAAATTGTTTTTAAAACATGATAATAATATTGAGGAATTTTGATTATATTTCAAAGAAAAACACCTCTTAACGAGGTAAAACAACTCGTGACGATCGCACCTTCAACATACTAAATAAATGATATATTTGGATGAAGCGACCCGAATGGAAACATTTAAAAAGTGTATTCATTTAGTCGAAAGCTTATTAATTTTTCGTCACAAAATTTCATATCAGATATTTTATATGTTAAAGGTGCGATCGTCATGAATTTTTTTACCTCGTTAAGAGGTGTTTTTGTTTGATATTTATTAGGGTTCGAATAAGAATGTGTAAAACTGAAATGCCAGAACATCAAGAGCTTAAGATGATTTTTGCATTAATATTTTACCTTTAAATTATGTTCACTCACTTAAAAAAAATATTTATTAAAAATAGAATATCAACAACCTCTCAATTTTGTAATATAGTTTGATGCAGTTTCAAATGAGCAATAATATATGTATGTATATTGTAAATTAGAAAAGTCGACCAGACAACAATCCTCCTTTTTCGCCATATAAAGCCAATGCAAAGACTGCGAAGTGATTTTCTTAGTTTTAATTAAGTTTTACCAGACAAACAAAAGATCACAAATAGTAACTATGAGTATTTATGAATTCAAATATGTATGTACTACCCCATGCTTTGCTTTAAGATTTAGATATCGTGTTTTCCGCGAGCGGAACTGCCTACAGTAGCAGTAGACGAGTTGATTGTGGTGGATGCACTGGCGTTGGCACTTCCACTTCCACTACCACTACCACTACCACTGGCACTGGCACTGGCCACCAGCGGCTGGCCAGGCTCTCCGATTCCGGCCACCGACGTCTGTCCACCCTGTCCACCCTGTCCGCCCTGTCCGATCGGTCCGCTCGGTCCGTGCTGTCCGTGCTGAATGCCCATGTTCACCAGGAAGTCATGCTCGTTCTTGGCCTGGCGCAGCCAGTTGCGCAGATCCCGGGTGCGTTCCACCAAACAGGTGGTGTAGTTCACGGCACGCGGACTCTGCGACACGATGGTGTTGGCCGTAAGGATGGCCGCACCCATGGAGCTCTGCATCCGGCCGGCTGCCAACTGGCGGTAGGTCTCCAAGCGATCCGCCAGCGTGGGTATCGAGTGGGGCATGTGGATGGCATGTGCCCCACCCAAGCCATTGCCTACCTCAAGCTCATCCGCCATGGTGAAGTGCACCGGTGCGGCACTGTTGGTCTGGAGCTGGACAGATCCAGCGGAGTGCTGATGCTTGAGCACATGCGACCAGCCGAGATCTCGTGGCGACATCATGGGCATGCCCGCACCCGCAACTGCACCTACACCTGCACCTGCACCCGATGAGGACTCGTGCTGCTTTTGGCCAAATATGTCGAGAATTTCGCGGATCTCGGCATTGAGGATCTCCAGGTTCTCGATGCACTCGTTCGACTCCTGCTGGTAGTACTCCTTCTTCTTGTGGAACTCCGCCGCACTGGCCAGTTCGGTGCTGCTGAAGCCGGAACTGGAGTGCGACGAGAGATCGCTGAGCGTGGCCGCATCGTCCATGGCGCCCACGTCCAGAATGGACTTCTCCTTTTCGTAGATGCGCAGCAGGCTCTGCTCCAGATGCCTCAGCCGGATGATCTTCTCGCCCAGCAAGGAGCGCGTGCGATGCAGATTCACCTCCATCTCGGTCAGTTCCCTCTCCTCCTGGATGAGCTGGTCGATGGAGTGCTTCGGCGGCGACAGCGCCGTGCTCTTCCGCTGCTGGCCAATCTCGCGCTGCCTCAGCCGAAAGTTGGTGCGCTGTGTCCTCAGCGACTCCTTGGCCCGCCGCACCGAGTCCCGCTCCAGATGGATGCGATGCTTAAAGAACTCCAGCTCGGAGCCCACGCCATTCGGCTTAATGGAGATGTCCGTGAACGGGTAGCGCAGATGGTAGGGCGCCTCCAGTGTGTTCTCGGGGAACTGATCCTCCAGAGCCTCCAGCTTCTGCAGCTGGTGTCGCAGGCTCTCCACCGGAGTGCAGGCTCGCTCCCCCTTGTAGCCCGTATCCGAGTTGAGACGTGACGTCGACGCCGACTTGGTGCGCGAAAACCCAATCCTGCCCGTCTCCTTCGCCTGGCTACTATTGTTATTCTTCTCCAGCGCCGCCGCCGCCGCCGCCGCATCCAGCTCCCGGGCCGAGTTGCCATTGTCGCTCCGCGCCGACAGCACACCACTGGCCGACTTGAGGAACGGCGATGGTCCGTAGCGTCCGTTGTTGTAGGTGTTCGACAGCGTCGTGTCGGACTGACTAATGGAGGTGTTGTCGTCCTGCAGCTGCAACTGCCTGATGCACGATGCGTGGTACGTCTTGGCCAGGTGGTTACCCTTGTGGGGCACCGCTGGCTTCACCTTCACTGGTGGCTTCACCTTCACCTCGCCGGCAATGGCCTGATCCGAGTAGCTGAGTGAGCGGTTTTCGCTATTCCCCGATTGCGCCGACGCCTTGTAGTAAATGGAGCGCTCCATCTCGGTGTTCGATTTGCTGCTATTGTTCGTGTTGTGGCTGTGCTGACTGTGCTGCTGACTGTGCTGGGGCAGCACCTGGGCCTCCCGTCGACGGTTGCGTCGCTCGAGGGACAGCTTGACGTCCGTCTTGAGGCGCACATACTTCTCCTTGAGGCAGCGGTACTTGTCCTCCAGCAGGCGCTTCTCGCCGCGCACCTTCTCGTAGAGTCTTTCCTCGCCCTTCTCCCGCAATCGCTGCTTCTCCGCGTCCAGCTCCCTGGCCAGCTTCTCGCGGAGCTGGGCCAGCCGGGCGGCCTGCTCCCGCCGTACGATTTGCTCCTCGTTGTGCAGCTCGCGCTCCAGCTCGCGGAGGATTTCGTCGTGGTTGCTTTGCAGGGTGTCGATCCGCGCCTTGTGCTCGCTGACCACCAGACTGCGCTTGCTCTGCAGCTGGCGCTCCAGTTGGGCGCGATACTTGTCGATCTGCAGCTCGAAGGCTTCCTCCAGCTTGTGCTGGTGCGAGGTCAGACGGAGATCGTACTCGTGCCGGAATCGCTTCAACTTGGCCTCGTGTTCCCGCCTCACGGTGTCGCAGTCCTTCTGCAGTTGAGCCTCATCCACCTGGCCCACTTGGCCCACCTGGCCGGCGCCATCCGAGTTGCCCGACATCGCAGACTTCAGCTGCAGCTGCTCCAGTTCGTAGCTGTGCTTTCGGCCGAGCTCCTCCAAGTCGAAGGCACAGGCACTGTTGCCCGCCAGCAGGGACTGCGACTCCTGCTCCGACTTGTTGATGATAAAGCTGCGCACCGAGCTGCCCTTCGAGTCGGAGTCCGTGTCGTCGTAGAACAATTTGGGTGCCTCACTGTCGTTCGTCTTGCTGTTTGGTTCGCCGGGCACCGATGAGCACGAGTCCAACAAAAAGGGATTCAGGTTGTAGACGCCACCCTGCTCGTTCCACAGTAGATAGTCCTCTGCCACTGGGTCAGCAGTCTGCTCCTTGCCATCGACATCGACATCGGCATCGTCCTCGATTACCACCTGAACGTCGTCCGCGTCGTCATCCTCCGAGTTTTCGGGAGACTTAAGGTCCGGAGTCTTCGGTGCAGATGCGGTTTCCTCCGGGGATCTCCTCACAATCTGTCCCTGATCGAGATTGAATCGCACACTCTTTTTGTCCTCCGCCTCGAACGTGGGCTCAAGACGATCCAGTCTTCGGTTTATGTCGGTCATGCTGGAGTCGCGCAGAATGCCCTTGACTCCCGAGGGCGAGGTGTACCCATCGCCGTCCGACTGGCGGTGGGCCTTCTGCAACATCGATATGGTGTTCGACACCTTACCACCAACGCCTTTGCGCTGCTCTGCCAGCGAAATGTCGTGCTCCTCAGTGCCCTCGGGCTTTCCGTTCCATTGCGAACTGTTCGGAGGCTGCTTGTTCGCGATTTGAGGCTTGGTCCTGGTTACATCACAACCCAGCTGATAGAAACGTCCGAAATCCTTGGGGCCAGAGTCCAAAAATCGATTTTTACCTGCGCTCAATATACTTGGACCCAAAAAGCCGGCCTTATTGGCCATCGACCACTTCCTCAAATTGTTCAGGGGCAAGGGGGCGGGCGAGGAGGGCGTATCCTCGATGCCCTGCATACTGCGTATTCCGGAGTCCAACTGCGACAGATCGTCGGAGGTGTCAACAACTGGCATGGTTTCCCCCACCGCAGTGGGTTCCAATCCCCTTTCCCGCGCCTGATTCACCAAATCGCGGTATATGGCGTCGAGGGGATGATCCCATTGCGACTCCTTGGTGCGCGTGTTGTGATAGTAGTGACCATTTTTTTCCTCAGAGTAGCTGTGAGGAAATACAAATACAAATAGTATCATGCTAAGAAATCGTTTTTTAAAAAAATATCAATAGCTCACCATATTTTCCAATCCAATGGCAATGCGGCCATCAATCCTTCCTTCGCGAGATAAAGCAAATGTTGTTCGCGATGATGATCGATTCCAAGCAGAGAGGCGTACTCGTTAATTTCTATAAAGAAAACATAAATATAACTTCAATAGCACAGCAGAAAGCCTTTAAAATCAATTCGGGGGAACAAACATGCAAATCAAGCCGTATTTCAATATTCAAATACAAATTTATATTAAAGATATTGCCAGTAATTCGATGGTGACTAAATCAGCATGCCCTGAAATAGTATTACATTTTCTTTAGCTCTGTGACGCTGTAATTCCCAATAGGTTCTAGCTGGTAAAAAAAACGTGATTTTGCTGAGTAGGTCACATACACAATTATATTTCCTCTTCTTTGGAAAGTGCTTTATTGGCAAAAAGCATATTGTTGCATTTTATTTCTAACTTGTCACTTTTATACAACACCATTTAAAGCATTGTTTTTTCCTGTGTAGAAAAGGGATTGCCACCGAAAAGTTTTCTACTTTTGCTTACTTTAATTTAAGAAGAGAGCTCGAGCTCACCACTTGAACTGGATGTTTTTGTTACTTCTTTAAGCCATGGTCTTTTAACCATAATAAGATTAGCAAAAAAGTTTATTATATAAAATCTCTCCCACATATTAATGTATATTTGTTCACTGAAAAGTCTGACTAAAATTGTTACACCCTCTAAAATTCGATTAAATACACCGAGTATTTTGTTTTCGGAAATAAAAACAAAATAAGATCATTTTTTCTTAAACATTATTTTTTCCTTAAAAAGGGTCCATGTTACAATGCATTTACATATTATTATTAACACATTGAAAATTGGGAACGGGTGGGAGTCGTTCCGGAAAACTCACCCTCTGATGAAGGAAAACAGGCATCGTCAAATACTTCTTCGCAAATAACCGATGTGCCCTGGGATTGGGATGGGTGTTCTGGAGGCTTTGCTGGTGAGACCGCTGTGGCTATTCCAGTGGGTGCTGCTTCCGAGGATAGCCTCTTGCACATACTGGTGGTCGTCATTCTATTGGGAACTCTTCTTTTATTTCACTAACCGTCGAAACTATGTAGTTTGAGCCGCCGCCTTTGGTTCTTTGGAGTTATCCGTACTCGAAGTGTCGCTCAATATATTTACATATATTATTATATTTTTCCCATTTGACAATCATAATTTTCCATATTATTCCTTAGGATATGCTGCCGACAGCAGAGTAAATGGCAGAATAATCGGATGCAGTTTGACCTAAAAACGAAAATACAAATACCTACTGAGTCATCGGTATATATGTACACGGAGCATGCTCGGAAGGAGGACCGTTGCTGGCCAATTATCTGGTTGGCAACAGGATATTGCACCGAGTTGACATTTCTGCGCAGCCCGAAAGGGGTCTCTTTCAACCACCAAAACCACCGAACAGGAACTCGATATAAAATTTCTAAGCACTATTACCATTACTATTACTATAGTTTCACCCAAAAACAACTCACCTTAAGAAGTAATGGGGGTGCAAGTCCTCGCATTCGTTATTTATTCATCACTATATTTTGGATTAGTTTCATGTTGTATCCTTTAAATGTTGAAGTAGAAAAAACCCTATCACCAAAAACAATCGTCCTATTCTATTCTATAATTATCAAAAAAGCCCTATAAAAAACAAATCCGGTATCCAAAGGACATATTTACACTCCACTCCAATGGCGTTTTGCCCTAAACTTAGTATTTTTTCATTATCCTTGAAATATGAGCCACTGCGCACACTGGCTCAATTGAATATTATCGTTTATCGGACAACTGGTCTGGTTAGGCCTTGCTTAAATAGGTTTATATACGTATTATTTCAATATTAAAGTGATCAATCCAACACATGGTTATTAAGTACAATATTCCATTTTTAATTTTAAAAAATGTATTTAAAGATTTAATACATTTGTCAAATGCGACGACGCATTCTTTAAAATGTCAAGTTAATTGTAAAATCGTAAATCTGAACTATCAAATTATTACCATGTCCAAAAAAAAAAAAAAATTGAGAAGTTCAACTTTTTTTGTATTTGTTTATTTTAATATTCCAATTGATCCTTGGAAGCTCTATGATATAGTCGTTCGATTCTAATGAAATTTAAACCGTAATTCTGAAATATTTAATTATTACTTTATCTCTAAGAACTAATAAAAAAAATTACAAAACAGCAAAGCTATCAATTTTTTTTATTTAATTTTTCCGATTGTTCGTATGATAGCTATATGCGATAGTCTTTGATCCGGCTCGTTTCGACTTATGTACTACCTGCAACAGAAAGTCAACCTTTGGGAATGTTTTATGCAGATTGCTTAAATACTGAGAGACTAGTTTATGTAGAAACGGACCGACAGACGGACGGACTGATCAAGAATATATATACTTCATAGGGTCGGAGATGTCTGCTTCACTGTAAAATTATAATACCCTCTGCAAGGGCATAAAAATGTTGGAATCTGTCTGTGTGACTGTCGAATTGGGAACGTAAGTTTTAGATGACGGACTAGTTGGAAGCTTTTTGCACGGCAAAACATTATGAACTATCATTAAACAAAAAAGGTTTGGGAATTGTTTGAACTTGATGATTCTGACGCTTGTAAATTCATCGGACGGAAGTGAATATATTATTTTGTTTATTTTATTTTTTTTTATGACCTGTTAGTTTTATTTTTTTATGAATTTTAGCCGGCTTAAGCTCTTGGTGTTTGCCATTTTTTTACTATGTTTATATATATTTATTTAAATTCAATGTAATGCGGTATAAAAACTCACATGAACATTTCAATAATATCAACTATTTGGAAGTAAATTTATCGTACTATTTAAATTTATTATATTGTTTATTTTCGTAAAATAGTGGTTAGTAAATCGTTTGTCGATTTAATTATGATACGCATAGATTAATGTTTCTTTTAAAAGTGAAGAGTTGATTTTCGGAAAAGAAACATTTAGCACGGCAAAAGCTTAATTTGCCATAGATGCGTCTCGGTGGGAATACGGTATAAGGCCTTTTGTGGACTATTTTTTATCGATAATGCTTTATGAACTCTTTCGATTTATTATTTCTCATATTGCCATTTACTTCAAAACAATTTGTTATGTTTAAAACACTTCTCAACCCTACCTGAAAATAATTATAACAATAATATAGATAACGATTCCCCGTAACTGCAAAAGCGGACGCGAACATAGTTATGGCGGGCATAAATAACTACTCTAGCTTAAAGTACGTATGTGACCTAATACATAATAATAGCATTCTAATAAATAACATCCATTTATAGATTCCAAGCGGAGCGTGGACTGCACGACGAGCAGCACCCTGAGAAGGGACATCCGGGATCTAGGGACTTGCCCACGACCTATAGCCCCAGCAAACACCTGGGAAGCAGGTTGGTAGAAACCAAACCCAAGTGTGCTTCATCCATCAGTTAAATTATATAAATTCCCCTATGACCACTCCATCGAATCAGCGTCGATCGCCGCGAGAAGTCGATGGTGGAGAATATTAATGCCGATCAAGATGCCATTAACAGAATCCAATATCTTAATCCAGAGCATGCCGCCCTATCGCTGCCGTTGGGAAAGCACAAAGTGCTGGACAAATACTCGGATGCTCAAGAAGATGGTGAGGTCGAAGGTTGGAGGTGTCAGCAAGCAATTATACGCACATATATCCATCTTACAGATACATCGGTTCGGAAGTACCTGGTCATGGGCGTTCAGTGGGTTTCCCTGGTCACCGAGAACCTGTTAAGCCATCCGTTCATAGTGCTGCGTCGGCAATGCCAGGTCTACAATGCCTCCAGGCGCTACCATCTGCATCCCTTCACACTTCTGCCCAGCATCGTCCATCTGCACCGTCGGCAGGGACTGACCACGCTGTGGAAGGGCGTGGGCAGCTGCCTCCTGGTGCGCGGCATGACCCTGGCCATAGACGACTTCATCTCGAAGTGCACCAGCTGGCCCAAGGAGGTGAATAGCCGAACCACATTGAAGCGCTTTGGACAGCACATACTCCTTAAATGGTATATGGTATTGCCATTTTCGCCCGTTATCACTATACCCTAACTCTTGATTCGTTTAAAGCATAAGCATTGGGCTGGTGGTGCCCTTTCATGCCGCCTCCCTCGTTGAGACTGTGCAGAGCGACATAGCCAGCGAAAAACCCGGACTTTTCGACGTCTTTCGGGAGGGAAGCCTGCGGCTCTTCTACTGGAGTTCACCGCAAAAAGGACGCATGCTGCCTGCCTGGGCGTTAATCGGCCCAAGTGTCTCCTTCGGCATCACCAAGTATCTCTTCAACTTGGTCATACGCGGCGTCTCATCTCGCATCATGCGGCGGCGAATAACGAATCAGTCGCAGGACAGCCAGGGCGGAAAGTTCCACGATAGTTCGCTGGAGCATCAGAATGCGGAAGTGTATGCAAACCTCATCGCCATACTGACCACTGAGGCCATCTTCTTTCCGTTCGAAACAATTCTGCATCGCCTGCAACTGCAGGGCACACGAACTATAATCGACAACCTCGACAATGGCTATGACGTGGTCCCCATCCTGACAAACTACCAAGGCGTTGTCGATTGCTACCAAACCACAATTGTTTCGGAGGGAGTTTGTGGTCTGTACAAGGGATTCGGAGCAATGATCCTGCAATTCGTGGCACACGTTGCCGTCATCAAATTGGCCAAATGGGTTGTGAATCAAATAGCTGAGGTCATATCCAATCGACCACCGGCTCGAATAGTGCAGTACTATAACCTCGATGGCATTGCTTGCTCGAGGTCCACGACACTGTCGCCGAGCATTTCCAGCACCGAAATGGAGGACAACAGCGTGGGACAGAATTCACTAGATTAGTTAATTGCTAGTCCAATTATTATGCATATGTAAATTATATGAAATCATTTAATTGTCGAAGTCTGTGTGTTTTTGTTTAGATCCCATGGCAAATAGTTTTCGACCAACAATAGAAAGAGATGCACAAAAAGAAAGAGACGGAAGAAAGTGTGTAAAGAAAAAATGTTATAGAAAACTGTTTAAACCAGTTAAACTTAAAATCTGAAACTGCAAAAGTTGATTATAATTATCGATGCGTTTCTCAAATCCAAAACTCAATGACTTAAAACCGACATACAAAAACAAAACTAAAATTGTGGAGCAAAAATAAATAAAAATTTAAAACTTTCTACACTCAATTCTTAGGCCAAACCGTTCATAAATACCTTTTAAAAAGTTAAAAACTTAAAAAGAAAGGATTCAATTAAAAAAAAACTATTTTCATGGTTGGTAACGTTGAAGTCGTTTTACAGGTCTATGCAAACAAAAACCGCAAATTTAACATGATGTATATTTTGTTTTGCTCAAAAATAAATATGCATTATATTTGAGTTATTTTTGTTTTTGTCAATGAAGTATTTGTTCAAAACAAAACCTATGAATAAAATACGATTACAAGACTTCAAATAAATTACTTCATAGGAAATAGCTGTTTTTTTTTTAGTTTTTTTAAAATGCCAACTTTGTATTTAAGCCAGCTGTTGAGATATAGAAGCACAGCTCGAAATATCCTTTTTTGTATCGAAAGCCATTTATTTGTATTATCCGTTTGATCCAAAAATGATATATACAACAACTGAACGTTAACAGAACAATATTTAATATGACTTCTGTTCATAAAAGTGTATGTCGTTTTATGTTGCACATTTTAAATTTAAGTTCTCTTCATCGTTGCCTTATTTCCTATACCACATCTGGAGGGTCTTCATCCGCTTCACTTTCTTCTGCAGCTGCAAGACTCCGTACATGAGTGCCTCCGCCGTGGGTGGGCAACCAGGCACATAGATGTCGACGGGGATTATCCGGTCGCAGCCGCGGACCACGGAGTACGAGTAATGGTAGTAGCCACCGCCGTTGGCACAGCTTCCCATCGAGATGACCCAACGTGGCTCGGGCATTTGGTCGTAGACCTTTCGCAATGCCGGTGCCATTTTGTTGGTCAAAGTGCCAGCCACGATGATGACATCCGCTTGACGCGGGGATGCACGGAAAACGACACCATAGCGATCCATGTCGTATCGCGGAGCTGCGATGTGCATCATTTCGACGGCACAGCAGGCCAGTCCGAATGTCAGGGGCCAAATGGAACCCTTGCGACCCCAGTTGAGGAGATCATCGAGCCGGGCCAATGACCATTCCGCGACGGAGGACTGCTTGGTTCCGAACGGAGAGTAACCCTTCTTGGGCAAGTTCTGCGCCGTTTCGGCGAGCGGCAGGGTTTGTTGTTGGCGCACCAAAACCATATTCAGTGCGGGCACAACAGACAGTGCATTCGAGTTGCCCTGGGCCATCCTTTGAAGGCCCTTGGCCAGGGTCGATGACATGATCGCCGAACGCAGCATGTTGGTCCTGCAAATCAATCGTAAAGTTATCTACGGCTAGTGCATTTAAACATTTAATACCTATTTATGTAACTTCAACCTAAGTCAATTTATAGGAGATGCGTATGGTATGCCCGCCGCTGGACTGCTGAAATATACCAACTGCTGCACCAAAATATACTAAAATATACCAACTAATTATCTAATACTTCGTTCCCAATGCGACACATCGGTCATCAATTTTCAGAGTGGATACCCTGTTCCCGCACTGGCACATCCGGATGTTCCAATTTCTTTTTGTTTCACCCTACTAGCATGTTTAATTTTTAGTGCACCTCTTAGCACTGTTATTTTCAAGGAAAAACATTCCTTGTCAACCAACGCAAATCCAAAGTCAAACACGAAATTTCGGGAAAGTTGAACAATTAAACACTTATGTTGATTAATTTTTTACAATTTTTAAACAGACATCGCAGCAATACTGTTTGTAAATAAGATTTTAAATAAAATTGTATTATTAAAAGATTATGACTCAAGACTTACGCTCTTTTTTTGTAGACTTTTATGAAAAAAAGCGTGATCTGTTTGCATTATCAAAATAACATTTTACTCAAGAAGAAAACGAGATAGAATGTTGATTTAGAAAAATTGTTTACGCATTATTTTAGAGGGCGTTAGCTTTTATCTACCCGACATGAGATAGTTGGAGGTTTCCAATGGTTTACTGCCCCAGAAATACAGATTCAACAGTGGTTCCTTCAAAAATAGTATCATCTTTGTTGCTTAGAAACGTAATCGTATCAGCTTATCAAAATTTAAAGTTGCATTCAAAACCAATAATACCAGATTACAGCCATAGGTCTTCCGATCAATTCCATGAAAGCTGCATAATCGACTCCGATACCAACCTAATAGAAAGGACTCAAAACTAGAACTAGAGTTTAAAAGCATATATTATGTTGATACTGATCAAGAATGGGGTTTACTCGGATTAAGAAAGGTAATTTAAATAAAACCTTTGCAAAGCGACAAAAGTACAGGGCTTTTGCATTTTTCCTTTATTTTGTAATATATGTGTTGGTGTAATTAAGTTCAGTTATCGTCTATTGTTACAGCGACTTGGGTAATGTATTGCTAACAATTGATTGGTAAGTAAAGCGATAAATCAAAGTAAAGATACCGGGTGCCTAATGGATTTTACAATGAGCACTCGTAGAAACTAAAAATCAAAAACCACTTGATGATTTAACTCGCTAATTTATATTTCAGTTTGAATTTGCAGATTGCGTTTGTTTGATTTTACTTTTCCAAAAAACTCCGGATGGGAAGCAGCTTGTTTTAGATGTCATCAATGTTGATAGCGTCTTCCTCTGGCTCCGCCTGGTTGGGGTTAGCGCGGTATTTGTCCCTTCGCATTCCTTCTTTATCAGATTCATCAGATTCGACAAACTCCTCCTCATCCTCCTCCTCCTCAGAGGATTCGGATTCTTCTTCGGCATTTTTAAGCCACTGGACGAACGGCATCACTTTTTCGTGTATTTCAGCAGCAATTTTCTTGGAAACATGTCGTTTGCTGACTTTCTGTGCCCACTCCAGTATGACCTTCTCCTCGAGTATGTCCAAATCATATAATATTTTAAAGATTCCAGCCACCTTGCTCATTAGAGTACTTGTATGTAGCTCAACTGTTTGCTCAACTCCGCCAATTAAATATCGCTGTGCCTTTGTATTATTAAGCGTGAAGCGAAGAAGCAAGTTACGGTTTTTATGCACATCCTTGATGATGTTTTCAGTAAAAAGCAGCTCAGCTAGGACCAGTGGAGCCTTGTTAAGAATATCCAAACGATCGGCTTCGATGAACAGTTCCTTATGAATTGCTATATCATCTAATTGCTTCTTGTCCCGCTTGTCCTTCACTAATTCATAGAAAATATCAATGCGCTCTTTCTCAGTTTTATCATAGTCATCGGAAATAGTCATGCCCTTGGCACCATCTGTCAGATCTTGTAAACGAGCACGTATAGCCTCCTAATGGGAGCGGAAATTGTTATAGTTCAATAAGCAAGCGAAAATATTTCTAAGAATTTGAAACACCTTACCTTCGAAACATCGACGCTCCATCCTTCATCGTCCTCCTCTTTGTTTTTCTCCGGAATGGCAGCGCTTATTTCCGCCTCGGTTTGAATAGCCTGGTTGGTTCCATTGCCGCCATCCGACTCTCCGCCGGAGTTGTTGGCCAAAGAGTTATTCGATATGGATCCATCGGAGTTATCGTTCTTTTGCTTCTGCTTCTTAGCGCGTTTGCCCTCGGTAAGGGACGATCCTTGGGCGGCCGGATTAAGCGATGGAGGATTTTTCACAATGAACGTGTTCACTTTGTGGTTGACCTTCAGCAGGCCATGGAAGCCACATGCCTTGCATGACTGCGAGATAGTCTGGTTCTTGGCAGATACAGTCAAATTGGTCTCCGGGTTGTCGCATTCGGGGCACAACACGAACTTGCGAATAAAGCCATCCAATAAATCTTGCAGCTTGTTCACATCGTGCGATCCATTCACAACAAAGCGCTCGTTCTGCAATGAAATGTTTAACCAGCACATACAGATACAGCTGAATTAGGTCGGGAATTGGAATTCACTAGTTACGTTATGTTACGTTACCTTATGATCAAACAGAGTCTGGGCGCCTAGCTCGCATCCAAAGTACTTGGTCGGATAGGTAGCCGGTCGACCTATGGCCCGAGCCACTTCAGCCATGTTAACGAGAACGGTCTTGATGCCGTTGCCCTTGCCTTCTACCTTTGCCTGCAGACGTGGCATCTTATAGCGATAGAAGATGTCCGTCACACTGCGATTGACGTTTACGGTGGCCATTTTGTAAGCTTTTTGGGTCCAAGGATAATGCTAATTTGGCTTATTGTTCGGGTAATGATGTTACTAATAGAGGAGGCCAGTGGTATCTATTGGTTGTATGTGGATGGTATTTTATTGACTTCACGTTCTTCGCTAGTTTGTGATTTTTCCAACTTTCGTTTCCGTTCATTAAATTTTCTTTTTTTTTTTTGTATTGCCGCCGCTTTTCACTTAACAAATGTACTGAGAATAAGCATGAATTGGTATATCCAACCGGTACCGCGAATTAATTGTGCTTTAATTAAACAACGGTGTACATAATTTGTTTGTTTTGTAGATTCAGTAAGAATTGCGTGAGAACAATTTTCTTTAAATTGTTTCGCAAAGGTATTATACTCTGATGTTATTTTGCTGAAGCTTTGGTTGAATTTTGCCTTGGTAAATATTCAGCTATTCTATTTCTTTAATTAAATATATACATATATATCTATATATATATATATGTATTTATATATATATATATTTATTTATATTGTAAATTTACCAGTTTAAGTCTTTAAAAAATGGCAAAACAACAGGCTCATGTGTACCTGAAGGGCTGTAACTTCCGATGTCTGTTACTCGAAGTCCTGTAAAAACAAAATTTCAAAAGATTTTGTAAGTCGCTATACAGAAATCGGAAAAGAAAGGGTTGTTACAGTTTCATCTCACCCATTAATCGGTTCTTCTCGCAATAAAACACGAGTCCTATACGAGTTTACTGATGCAATTAAACACTACATATATAACCTTAAAAATTACAATTTCTGTTTCACTAAATTAGTCGAATGACCCCAATACCCTATAAACTGAAACACTACGTGTGTTGGACTATTTTTTACGTTGGGGTTGTGTTTTCTATATTGCATAGCCTTAAACAGCCCCATCACTTGCCAGCATTTCGTTGCGTTTTTTGAAGGTAATCAAACTTTTGGCTTAAATAATTGCTAGCACGAAATGTAAAAACTATAAAATAAATGTCTCATAAATCTACATGCAGCGAAGAAAATTTAAATTATTTGGTCAATGCAATTATAATTTAGCACCTAGTTGTCTTTCCTCAGATATTTAATCAATTTTCGACGGGTATTACATGGATTTGGTGCTATGAAATAATTTCCTTAAGTCCATTACAAACCTAGACATCTTATGGTCATGTTACAAAAATATTTAAAAATTAAAATTCAATCGATGAAAAATATTTACATTTTCTTCCAGTGATTGCATGTGACCGCATAATGCCTACTTAGTTTTAAATTGTGAGCCAAAAACTCAAAGTTGCAATGACCGAACAAATAAATTCTCTTGAATTTGATAGCCTGATAAAAAGCAAAGCTCTGAATTGAAACTAAGAGTCAAAAACATTTTAAAGCAACATTCGTTTGAGAATTAATTGGGTGTTTTTTTTTTTATTTTGATCCCATTTGATTTGAATTCCGAGTTCGGTATTTTGTAAGCACAGAGAACTTGCAATTCAAAAGAAAATTGGAAGGCGCCTAAAAATTGATAATTATAACTATGTCGTTGACTTACCGGTGACTTATGGTTCGCCCTTTTGAATTCATGCACAGCTCGAACCCTTTACTCCGTTTTTGTTGAATTAGAAGTGCGGTTTTTTTTGCTGGTGTTTCTGAAAAATACAATTTCATGAATAAATAACTAACAGTTACTGCATTTGAGCTATTAAGCACGCGAGAGTTAATGTGTACTTAAGCTTGCTCAAACCCACAATGCATTTATACATTTATTCAATTATACAATTATAAACAAACAGACACTTTCTTGAAGGCGACCACTACGAAAATTTGAGATCTGATGAGGATACTCCCGCATGAAACTTAAGTCGCTTAAATGTGAGCTTATTTCAACGAAAAACCGAACCACAGTAAAGGGCGGTGCACTTAGCTCCATTTATTTTCCGATCAACTTTACAGAATAATGTTACGACTAAGTTTTTTTTAGATTCACTTTTAAAAAGAAGAGGAACGAGGGCACCCGCAAAATAAAGGTTAACGCAGAAAATTTGGGTAGATATTTCTCAAAAATGTTCTACTGAATACTGATAATTTGGTTAAACTGACAACTATTTCATACCGCTTTAGATTCAATTCCCAGTTCTTCTTATCCCAATAAAAAAACGAAGCATTGGCATTAAGTTTAAATCAAATCAACAACACCTGCATATTAAACCATAAGTTTTATAAATCTTTTTTGTCAGACCTCAATAAAAACAGTAACAATTTTGTGTTGGCATGGTTTTTCTAAAAAAAAAAAAAATGAGATTAAAATGTAGATAGAAAACCACACGCACAATAAGGAAAGTGGTGTTGAGCACGCGATATTATTAAAATTTCTTCTTCTGTAGCTTTCCTTAAATATAAATTGCGATTTTTTTTTGTTTGATATTGCTTGTGCTATTGTAGTTTAACTTGTTCGTATTCTTTCAGCATTTTGCTTATGATCATGTCAAATAAACAGCACTAGATATGGATTCTCTATAAGCAAAGATGTTTTAACAATTGCACGACCATTTCAAATAAGTTTTATTTCAGGCTATCGAAAATTACAATAACACATTAATTAATATTTTAAACACCGAAAAAAGGTTATGAGACTCGTTAGATCTTAAGATAGCTCTGTACTTTTATAGATTTTTATAACATTGCATTTTTAGTTTTATAAAAATCGAACGCATATATCAAAAAGTAAACGTAAAATAGGCATAACTTTGTTTTTTGTAGTGACTAGTGTAGCGCTAGGATAGGAACAACAAAAAATAAATAAATATACGTATTATATCAATATTGAATGTTAATTTATTTTAAAATAGCAAGGGTATTTAAACTTCGTGCATCAACATTTTTTTTTTTTTTGCTACTAACTGACTTTATTGACGTGCTTTTTTTCGTTCTGGTTACCGTAATTTGTAGTTATTGTCAAAATATATGTTTAAACGATTGTGTGCAAGATACGGGTTGGTATTAAAAGACCAAGGGAACCCGGTGCATAACACTTGGCAAAAATATTATCTCAAGTGAACCATTTCTTCTGTTCCACATGTGGCTTTAAAGGTAGAGAATAAAATCAAATGCATTTTTGTATGCTATAATATATATAAGAAACACTTAATATTTGCATGGTGTTATAATTTTTAAAAATAATAACAAAGTTGAGCACGAGACAAGCTTAAAACACAAACTAAATCTTGTTTCCTACTTTGGTCGATATTATAATGCACTTATATTTTTGTTTTGAAGAAATTACTGGAATTAAATGGGGTTGATTTTAGTTACCATATAATGGAAAAGTTTGGAAGCAACCCAAAAAACAACACAAAATACTTCACTCCCTCGCACTTTTTTTTGTACTATTTAACACTGCAAATCGCCATATGTTCTCGAATAGTAATTAAATACATAGATGTGGAATGCAAAGGGATTTAACGATTTAATGGGTTCGTTGTTACTTACCACCGTATCTTTCAAAAGTCATATAAGATTTTGTTTCCCCTCCTTGGGGTGCGCAATGCCAGTTCGCAAATTAGACAAAGATATCTTACTCTCGGGTATTCTTCGTTAAGTCAATCGGAAATTGACTCAAAAAATATATAAATGAAAAACAAACAAATCGCTCTTTCACAAGAATTTGGTAGGTTTTATCAGCGATCCAGTGCTAATATTACTAGGGGCGCCTAAATCGCACAAATTGAAAATTTGGTCTCAACTTTTCTGCAAAGGGAAAGAAAATAAAATTAGGAATGCGCATGAACGAGCATATGTATACCACTCGGTATACTTTGCATTGCTGACATTACATTACTCAACTATTTAGTTAAAAAAAAAAGGTTAATATAATACGCAAGTACATACATATATATATTTTTTCTTATGTATTAAAACGTATAAAGTATGTATTGCATGAAATATAAAGTATAGTTTTTTAATTCAAACGATAATTTTTTGTATTTATAGATTAAGTTAAATTCCTATCGGACGTAAGCCTAACACAACGTTATTAAAAGTAATGGGAAGCTTATTTGCCCAATAAATGTATATTTTCATGCACGTATGCATTTACATATGGATGGAAGCCACGCCATTTAAACTTTTGAGGTTGTGTTCGTTAAACTCTTTCACTTTTCTATACCTTTTTTCTTCAATATTACATTAACGCGTTACTTGTGACAATCAAAGTAAATTAATAATTTTGCTTAATAAACCATTCAGGAATATATATTCTCCAAAGATGAACATACGACTCTACGTCACTGCACAATATAATGACTTACGTAGGGGTGCATTCAATGATTATCGATTGGTCAAAAATATGTTGAAAATTATCTATACATATTTCACACTAATATTTTTACATCATTTTGGTACAGCGCAATAAAGAAACAATTGGGGAAAATAAATTATATATATTTTTGGGCATTCCTCTAAGTGTCGAATACAAATGCTTAATGAGTGTCGTTTTCTGCTCAACATTTTATTTAATAATTTGTCTGTATATTTTTAATGTAAAAAATTACCCATTTTATCCCATAACTGCACGATTAAAATTATTAAAACTTGTTGATTTTCTGCTAGATTTAAAAGAGTTTTACTATTTTGTTGCCGGGATGGCAGTTTCAAATACTTCAAATAAGGTTCTCTTTAAGAAAAGGAACCGAGCTGATCTAAAAACGAAATCTTTCGTTTTTTTTTAAATATGTCATAAAACATTACGAACGGTGAAATTAACGCAATTAATTAACATTCTAATTTAACCCAGCTGGCATAAATTACAAATATGCTTTAAATCACCATAATAGTCAATTCAGCTGGAGGCGAAGTGCTAAGCCAGCCTGGAATTTGTAAACAGAAAAGTTGTAAGTTTTTTTAATTCTGATAAATTTAAGCTTATTGGTCAAGAGCATTAAATGATACAAAGGACCACTCTAAAAAGTGTGCTCACTGAAAATTTGGATGGCAGATAAAAAAAATCCCAACTATTCCACTGCGCTCTGTACGATTCTGGAATTGTTTATTGGATTTTATTATCGTGTTTTCATGAATATTGATTAGTTACGCAATTTAAGAGTTTATTAATTATATTATTAAGTAATCAACTAAACGTTTGCATACTTGTCCAATAACTTTGTAATTTTGTCATTAGATCCGACATTATATGTTTTTGAAAGATGAGTTGAATGGGGATCAGAACGAATCGGAAAAGACCATGCGGCAGTGTACATACGCTATTATAAAAATAATATAAAAATATCGATTTATTTTGTTTCGGCTATAAAAATAAGTTGTTAAAAATATATTCGTTACAGTAAATATTTATCGATATTTTCATACTTTTTGACTACCTTTTTCATATCGATTTATTTTTCTGAGTATACAGAACGTACTTTCATTTCGTTGTTTTACAAAAATAATATTTTTATATACTTGCGGATATTTAAATCGGCAAAAAATGTGCCGCTAAATTATTGTGAATCTAATGGTATAGACGACTCGCTCAACAAATATATATTAAAGGCAATCACGACGAAAACTCGTGAGTACCCAATACCAAATGGACGCTTCTAAATACTTACATGAATAGATACATGTTTACATACATATGTATATCGATGTGTACTATACATCTCGTTATAAACAGTTTAGAATTATATTCTGACGTAATAAACACCCAAAATGTAAACCCAATAGTTTTTAAACCATTTTAAACAATATAAAGATAAATAATTAACCAAAAAAGAGCATGTATACATGCATACATGTACATATGTACATACTTACCTGGGCAGGTTTTACCGAAGCTTGATTATTTTTGGTGTTCTGCTACCACGAATCATACGTACTTACATGTGTATATATGTATGTATGTACATTATACGTTGTGCTTACACTCGGCATCATATCTCTTTATTGCTGGATAAATAATTTAGAAAGTGTTAATTTTACAGCAAATATGTACAGGATGTCTTATTTTTTCATAAAAGTTAATAACAACAAATAGCCCAAAGTTTAATAATTTTGGGAACAGGTGATTATTGCGTTTACCATGATTTTTCAATATTTCTACTCGCCGCATTTTGATTGAATTTACTTCTTAGTGCTTTGAACACAGTATTTTTTCCAATCGGATAAACAACTGTCTTGTAAATATTAAATGGAATGGAAGAATAGGTCGTTTTCTTGTTGAAAAGAGCAAATTTCTTGTATTTCTGAACTGCTTGTTTTTTTATCTTAAAAATTGGATGTAAAATGGCTCACAACTTAAAGTACATATAGAGATAAGGCAAATAAACGTAAAAAAAATACCAATAAAATCAATATACCGGGGTGTAATTAAACAAAAGTATTTGTTTCAAATGGAGTAATCAAATCAAAGCCAAATTTTTTGTTTTCAAATCCGCTTAAGATCTTTTCTTAGGTAAAATTGTTTGAAGATTAGCTTTTTCCATGGCTAAATAAGATTTGAAAGTATCTTCATAAAACCGACCCGACCATATGAAAAAAAAGGTCTAAGAAACTTTAAAATCTTTCGAAGACATTGTTAGGGCGTCCTCAGAAAAAGATTACAAATTTGTAAGCTCTAAAAAATTATTAAAAAAATATTTATCAGTCAAGTGACATTATTTTTCTTAATAATCGTATGTACTGGTATCAGAGAAGAATTAATTTTTTTTTTGGTTGTGTCAAGGAAACATTAAGCAACTTCTTTGTTTTGCCTTAAATGAAACTTTCCAGTGTTTAACTTACTTTAAGCTTACGACGAAGATAAGAAAATGGGTCTTAAAATTTTCAGGTAGGCAGCAATATAATACACAGTGCTCTGAAAATACATCTTGACAATAAATTAAAGATTGTGTTTTCTATTATATTTTTGTGTACACTTTGTTCGGATAACAGCTTGATGTAAGCTTAGCTTTATTATGAAATTTGGCATTATTTACTATATTTTTGGTGTTTGTTTTCATTACAGAAATAAGTGCTGAAATTATTTGGTGAGTCATGGAGGATCCAAATCGCATGTTGGCTCACACCGGTGGCATGATGGCGCCACAAGGATATGGTTTGTCTGGCCAGGACGATGGTCAAAATACTGGCAGCGAAAACGAGGTGCGCAAGCAAAAGGACATTGGCGAGATATTGCAACAAATAATGAGCATTTCGGAACAATCGCTTGACGAGGCACAAGCCAGAAAACACACGCTTAACTGTCACCGGATGAAGCCGGCACTGTTCTCTGTACTGTGCGAAATTAAGGAGAAGACTGGTATGTTCCAAATATTAATCTCAATAGAACTTTATAAATACCTATAGGGCAGATCGTTCCCAAATTGGTAATTTAATATGAAATTGCATGTACACAATATAAATAATACAAAACAATGTATGTAAGTCCTTAAATCAATGGCAGACTCATAAGTACTAAACTGCCATAAGAACGATCCGAAAATCTAGAGAACTTCCTTAGTTTTGAAAATTAAAAACACGTTAAAAATTCAAAACATATTCAACTCGAAAGGTATACTAACTTTGGCTAGCCTAAATTAACAATAATTTTCTTATTTCCTAACAACAAAAATGGCTTCCTATTTTTCTAGTCCTTTCAATTCGCAATACTCAGGAGGAGGAGCCACCAGATCCGCAACTCATGAGGTTGGACAACATGCTTATTGCCGAGGGCGTGGCAGGACCCGAAAAAGGAGGTGGCGGAGCGGCTGCTGCATCTGCTGCTGCGGCCAGCCAGGGTGGATCCTTGTCCATAGATGGTGCTGACAATGCCATTGAGCATTCCGACTACCGTGCCAAGCTGGCACAGATTCGTCAAATATATCATCAAGAGTTGGAGAAATATGAGCAGGCATGCAACGAATTCACCACGCATGTTATGAATCTTTTACGTGAACAGAGCCGCACGAGGTCAGTAGTATAAAGCGCGAATTTGTGTGGTAGATTTAAATATTAATTAAAGTTCCGGTGCGGCATAACTATTTCAGACCGATTACACCAAAGGAAATTGAACGAATGGTGCAGATCATTCACAAAAAGTTTAGTTCCATACAAATGCAGTTGAAGCAGTCGACCTGTGAGGCTGTAATGATTCTACGTTCGCGTTTCTTGGACGCTCGTCGTAAGCGCCGTAACTTCAGTAAGCAGGCATCCGAAATTCTCAATGAGTACTTCTACAGTCACTTGAGTAACCCATATCCATCCGAAGAGGCCAAAGAAGAGTTGGCACGAAAATGTGGCATAACGGTGAGTTGTTAACTTAATTTTGCGCTCTATTTCAGCATGTTATAATGCCCAACACTACCCACTCATCTGCGCCAGGTCTCCCAAGTATCCAATTGGTTTGGCAACAAGCGAATTCGCTATAAGAAGAACATTGGAAAGGCACAAGAGGAGGCCAATTTGTATGCGGCTAAGAAGGCTGCAGGCGCTTCACCGTATTCCATGGCTGGTCCTCCGAGTGGGACAACCACACCCATGATGTCACCCGCTCCCCCGCAGGATTCAATGGGCTATCCAATGGGCTCGGGCGGCTACGACCAGCAGCAACCGTACGACAACAGCATGGGTGGATATGATCCCAATCTCCACCAGGATCTAAGCCCCTGAGGATCAGGGCTGTGAACCACTCCGAATCGGAGACTCCCTCATGCAGTTGCGGTCAAAATAACTGCACTGAAAATCTATCATGCAGTTTCTTCCTAATTATGTTTTCTTAGGGCGCTTGTAAGATGCACTCTTTATACAAAATACAGTTTATATTTGCTCTTTTGCTAGGACCAACAATCCCGAAGTTAAACACAACTGTTTAACTACGCTTCCTTGTTTTTTTTTTTTGCAATCAGTCAGTTAAGCTTAAAATTCCTTTAAATTTAGATATAGTTCAGATAGACATACGTGAGTAGAATAAAAGAAAGATTTCAACTAAATTGTGTTTGCTAGATTTTGTTATGTCGAAAACATTGCTTCTTATAAAAAATTAGTACGATAACAAAATGTATTTCTAAATGGCTCAGTTTCCTGACTAAAACCCGAAGCTATTCAACAATTTAAGCAGTATATACCGTTAAGGTATTACGGTCATATATATGCTTTTAATTATTGATACAAATGTTAGCATGTTTGCAACATGTAAACTGTAAAATAAATAAATACGTAATTTTTGTTTTAAGCAAGTATACTTTTTGACCCAACTGATATCGGAGTTAAGTCGTAACATAAATTCTTGAAAGATTTATAATCAATGCAGAGACTTCTGTAGGACACCATTAGCTTATATATTAACCATTGAAAACATATTCAAAGAAACTCAAATTAACTAATAGTATACGATATATTTACAAAGAATGGAGGCATAGTTTCAGTGCTTTTACTTTGACCGCAGCTGTGTATAAATATATTTTAATACATTTACCTATATTTGCGGGTATATACAAATATTGCATGTGTAAATCATACTATGACGGTTCTTTTTGGCTACAGTACGTATACGACAGCAAAATAGTGTTTACTAAATTTAAATCTGTACGAAATTTTTAACTTGAACAATACGAAACTAAACCATGTATACGATGTATATCAAATAAATAAATAATACATGTTGTTGTTATCCGCACACGTCAACTAATAACAAATATTTTTAATGTAAAAACAATAAAGTCTTGGAAAAATAAAATGTCCCATTCCTAACGAAAGACGAATTTTGCTGCATTGGATTCGATTTTTTTTAATTGAAAAACAAGTGTATTGAAAAACTTATTTTTTAATATTTAATATGTGTTTTATTACATAATACAAAGTATTTTATTTTGAGAATGTGCTGGTTACATTATTTTCGCTTATTTGCAGTTGTCATTTAATTTAAATGATTTTTAAGTGATTTTTTTTACCTTACCTTTGTTTTCTATTAATTTAATTGCATTGCAGATATAAATAAATGCCGAAAAATTCGTCATTCGCTTCGAATGAAATAGACCGGAATGAATTAAAATGGATATTAAAACAGATAATTTAAAACAATACAAACACGATTATAATTTTAACTGAAAAATAACATTTGTCAACGCCCGTCTTTCGCTCACATAACGGTCAAATGAAACCATTCAATGTATTTCAGTAAGATAAGGTACTGCATTAAAATTTTTGGATAACAATAGAAAAATATATAAATACACAACTTTACACGAATAACTTAATAAATAAAATCGTAGTATTCATTTATGGTCTCATGGGAATAATCAAGGCCCCTATTGGTCTTCCTTTTTTAAGGGAATAAAAATACCAGTCAAAAGTCTGACATTAAAGTATCTATAGGCGGCTTGAAACCGCCATGTCCGTGGAACGGGACGGATCGGAAAACATTATCATACAGCTAAAAAAAAAAATTGGAAAAAAATATTAAACAAAAATATTCGACTTATCCCTCGCCTATTCTTCTAAATAATTCCCAAAACAAACAAAAACTGGCAATAAAAAGGACATTAACAAATTGTAAGCTCGTTATACCCGTTACTCGTAGATTCAAAGGGTATTATGTACTCGTTGAAAAGTATGTAACAGGAATAAGGAAGCGTTTCCGACCCTACATAGTATATATATTCTTGATCAGGAGTCATAGCCGGGTCGATCTAGCCCTGTCCGTCTGTCTGTCCGTTAAACGTTGAGATCTCTGAAACTATAAAGGGATTTAAAATGTAGATTCTAGTTATACAAACATTGTTCGGCAAATGGCGTCTCCAAAAACCCTATAATTTTCAGGGGACATATTATTATTATTTTGAAATTGGTTAGTTGAGTAACGGGTATCTAATAGTCGCGTCACTCAACTTTTCTTCATTTATGTATATTTATTTATGTGTTTTATTAATAAATATATCAATCAACCTGATTCTGGACTTCAGATCAATAAAGACACGAAAATAATTTTAGAATTACGCTTTTGGTTAATCGTATAACAAAAAAGGTGTTTCTATAACAAAACTCAAGACATTTTAAAAAGGTATTTTTGAAGTCTAAATAGAATAGCTTAAGATTTTAAAGAAATTTTCAGCATTTAAGGGAACGGCCAAAAATGGTTAAACAGCTGATCTGCGTTCTGAGAACTTGAATAAACAATTTTAAACCATTCGTAAAATTATACATCCTCATTTGATTTCATATTAAATATTCCGTGAGGGTTGACATGGCTATAGATAGACAGCTCTGGTTTTCAACAATTGAATTGTTGAATTGATAATTGTTCAATTTGTATGGAACGGCTGGCAAACAGTAAACCGATATGCAACAATAAGAGTTGTAAAGAGAATACTTAAAAGAGTGTAACATGTTTTACTAGTTTTTTGTATTTCAATATTTTGGGTTTTCCCCAAAACGACTGAATCTCTGAGTTGCTGAAAATTCAGCAGTAGTTTCACTCGTTTAGGGAATTCCCAAATCATTAAAAACAAAAATCATCGAAAATAAAATACTAACGGTATATTTGATTGAATCGAATGGTATATTTTGACAATCCCGATGGCATATCTCGAAGTAAAATTTGAACGGTCTCGCGGTCACACTGCTGGAAGTGAACAAGGGAAACGAGAGAACGACGGAACGAGAGAACAAAACAACAGAATAAGCCAATAAAAAGCAACGCAACTCATTGGCCTGGAATGGCTGGATTTCTGAAGACACGGTTAGTGGGTTCAGTTGGGCTCTGGGCCTCATTCCGCCTAACGATATGTCCCAACTCGATACCAACAGGAAACGCAGCCGGGAGGACGACCTGCCATGCGAGTCCACGCCCCTGTCGAAGCGCATCAACAACCTGCACCTGAACTACGACGACGGGAATAGCAGCAGCAGTAGCAGCTGCAGCATCCCGCCCCTTCCAGGAGGAGCTGGTGGCCCCGAGACAGGCCCCCCCGGAACCGGAGTCGCCACCGGGTACGAGTACAACCCGGAGCTGGGCGCCGAGCAGAACCCGTACTACTACGAGAAGAACAAGATGCTGTACGATCTGCACATGGAGCGGACCAAGAGGAGCAGCCAGTAGCCAGGAGTCCGGTACCCCTGGTACTGGTGCAGCCGCCATTAAAGTGCCAATCCGAGTTCTCTGCCACAACAACAACTCTAGGTAGTCCTAGTTCTTAGCATAGTTCTCCTCCGTTCATCCTAGTGTTGGCACGGATCCGGAGACGATGATCCTCAGCACTTGCATTTGTGTGATAAGCATTAGCATCGCCTCGGATGCGGCAAGAATACTACTAGAAATCGAGCCAAGACATCCACAAGCACGCACATATAGCCTAAGTCGTATAGTTGTTAAGCTTGATTGTTATCCAAACAATCGAAGATACCCCAAATTAAATTTTTTTTTTCAATTTATCGCCCAATAGAAGGAATCGGTAGGAATGTGAGGCTAAAATGGAATTTGGGGTCGTATTGGGTCATTTGTTGAGTCGCTGGAGGTGTAAAATACAAGCTACAGCGACCTGAAAAAATACATGCTGTGCTCCTTTCTAAAGACAGTTGTTAATTTATATACCCATAAACATATTTCGCTTATTTCTCAGCTCTTGAAGATTGGCCCGTGTTTGTAAATGCATATTAATAAATTATTAAAAAAAAAAAAAAAAAATTTATTTTGTTTGCACATATTTAAAAAAAAAATACCTTCGGTTGAATTTTGCGCTCAATAATGCAATTAGCCATTAAAATATTTAAAAATTATTAAGCCGCTGTCAAGGTGGCAACGCCATATGTAGCTTTAGTATTTTTGTTTTCTCATTTCACCTGGGCAAAAAACACTGACCGAAATCGTTTTACAGCTACTGATCTGATCTTGTTCTAATAATCTTAATTTAGTTTCGGTTACTGTGTCAAAATTTTCATTTAGCTTGTGATCCAAAACTAATATTTTTGACAAAAAATGTTAGTTAAGCGACATCGCGTAACTCTTTTGAAAATGCCTCCCTCGGGCATTATCTTTTTTGGGATATAAAAGTAAGTAAAACTTTAAGGCCCAAATTCTTGTTGATATGAAAAGCTTAAGGTAGAAAAAAATTCAAAATTCGTCAGGTAAAAACCTACTTTTAGCACGAGAAGACGGTCCTAAAAACACCCCATTATTTGTTGTCTACAGCTGTTATAACAGTAGTTATAAATCAGCTTCATGAACCCCCCTAATACATTTTAATTGCGGCTTGCATTTCCAGGGAGCTTTGTCAAAGGGGTAATTTCCATATATGCACAGCTGGTCACACTGTTCACGTTCATGCCGCGCACATAGCAAACTTCGCGAACAATTTTTAATGCAGTGCAAGCTACTGAGCGATTTGGCCCCCTGCCGAGCACCATAGATGTAAAACGCCTTTTGCCAATACGTGGTAAGTTGTCCCACTGCCAGGAGACGAAGTCCAGTGCAGAGCACTGCCGCCATCCGCAGTTCTCGAAACGCACACCCGCATGAGCGAAGTGACTTACTCTTTCTTTCTCTCACGGCGCAGCCTTCAGCCCAGAAATTGCCATTGCCCGGAGCATCAAATTGCCTGCAAAATGAGGCAGTCCGCGACTAGCGAGGATTGCAGGAGCAGCAACCAGGAGGCGGACCACTAGCTGGCACAGGAGCAGCAGCATCAGCAGTAGCAAGTGGAGCAACAAGTCAGTCCACCCTGCACGCAACAAGTTAACACAGGGGGCCCCCAATAAATCCCCATCCCCGAAGAGCACCCCCATTTGAGAATCCCACATCACAGCGGTCACACATCGCACACATCACATCACATAATCGCGATGAGCCTCTTCGGCACCAAGAAGAACCGATCCCTGTCGGTGCGAGTGAGCACCTTCGACTCGGAGCTGGAATTCAAGCTGGAGCCGCGCGCCTCCGGGCAGGATCTGTTCGACCTGGTGTGCCGCACCATCGGGCTGCGCGAGTCCTGGTACTTTGGGCTGCAGTACGTCGACACGCGCAGCAATGTCTCCTGGCTGAAGATGGAGAAGCGGGTGCGGGACCAGCGCGTCGAGCTGCACGCCAGCAACAATGTGTACGTCTTTAGTTTCTACGCCAAGTTCTTCCCGGAGAACGTCAGCGAGGAACTGATCCAGGAGATCACGCAGCACCTGTTCTTCCTGCAGGTGAAGCAGAGCATCCTCTCCATGGACATCTACTGCCGGCCGGAGGCGTCCGTTCTCCTGGCCTCGTACGCGGTGCATGTGCAGTACGGTCCCTATGACTACGAGACCTACAAGGACGGCATGCTGGCCGGGGGCGAACTTCTGCCCAAGGGAGTGACCGATCAGTACCAGATGACGCCCGAGATGTGGGAGGAGCGCATCAAGACTTGGTGGGTGGCACAAACACACACACAATACCCTAAATCAAGCAACTAACTCAAGCTGTTTTCTTTCCTTCCCCACCCAGGTACATGGACCACGAGCCCATGACGCGCGACGAGGTGGAAATGGAGTACCTGAAGATCGCACAGGACCTGGACATGTACGGAGTCAACTACTTTCCTATTACAGTGAGTGGGCGCATTGCCCAATGCCGTGTCGAGTGAATCTAATCATTTGTGTGCACTTCTCAATAGAATAAGAACAAAACCAAATTGTGGCTGGGCGTCACCTCCGTGGGCCTGAACATTTACGACGAGCGCGACAAGCTAACGCCAAAGACCACGTTCCAGTGGAACGAGATACGACACGTCAGCTTCGACGACAAGAAGTTCACCATTCGCCTGGTGGACGCCAAAGTCTCGAACTTCATATTTTACTCACAGGACTTGCACATCAACAAGATGGTAAGCAATCAGTTTTGAATGGAGAATAGAGTTTGAGAGAGAGAGAGATCCTCTTGGCAGATCCTCGACCTGTGCAAGGGCAACCACGATCTGTACATGCGGCGACGCAAGCCAGACACCATGGAAATCCAGCAGATGAAGGCCCAGGCCAAGGAGGAGAAGCAGCGTCGCCAGATCGAGCGCAAGAAGTTCATCAGGGAGAAGAAGCTGCGCGAGAAGGCGGAGCACGAACGCTACGAGCTGGAGAAGAGCATGGAGCATCTGCAGAACGAGATGCGCATGGCCAGCGACGCGCTGGTAACTGAACTGTTTCCTCTTTAAAGACTCCCCTATGATAGTGTATTTGTTTGCCCTTATAGCGACGTTCCGAGGAGACCAAGGAGCTGTACTTCGAGAAGAGCCGCGTCAACGAGGAGCAGATGCAGCTGACCGAGTGCAAGGCGAACCACTTCAAGACGGAAATGGACCGGCTGCGCGAGCGGCAGATGAAGATCGAGCGGGAGAAACACGACCTGGAGAAGAAGATCCGCGACGCTGACTTCTATGTCCACCAGCTGACGGTGGAGAACGACAAGCGGGAGGCCGAGACGGAGAAGCTGCGCAAGGAGCTGATCTGCGCCAAAATGGCCGAACGCGAAGCCACCGCCCGCCTGCTGAACTTCCTCAATAGCGGCCGCAAGTCGTCCACGGACAGCCTGCTGACCAGCTCCAGTGTCTCGCATGCGGCCAACACAACGTCCAGCATGGCGGCCATCAGCACGCCCTCGCTGACCACCAGTAGCTCAACCAATGACATGGAGACGGCCGGCGGTGCCGAGCTGACCACCCACTATTTGGCCCAGGGCGACAACTCCAGCGGCATCTCGGACGACTTTGAGCCCAAGGAGTTCATACTGACCGACAACGAGATGGAGCAGATAACCAACGAGATGGAGCGCAACCATCTCGAGTACCTGCGCAACTCCAAGAAGCAGGTGCAGAACCAGCTCCAGACCCTGCGCTCCGAGATTGCGCCGCACAAGATCGAGGAGAACCAGAGCAACCTGGACATTCTCAGCGAGGCGCAGATCAAGGCCGGCGAGAACAAGTACTCCACGCTCAAGAAGCTCAAGTCCGGCTCCACCAAGGCGCGTGTGGCCTTCTTCGAGGAGCTTTGACCTCCTGCCTGAGGCGCCTTCATCATGACTAACACTAACCCCCCATCATCTAGCTGTACGATACTTGTACTTGTGTTTGGTTTGTGTGCCTGAGCGCGTGCTAGAGGGTGTGAGTGCCTTAACCGTAGTTGTAATATATACTGTACTAAATGTTTTTCGATTGTTCACTCAAGCCGCTGCTGTAATAAACCAAAACTACAAGGCCTGGACCACATAGCCACACATATGTTATGTATGTTGTGTGCAGGCCCAAAGATAGATAAATCTGTGTGATCATGTGAGCGGGGATGACCTTGGTTAGTTAGCAATTCGAATCCGAAAAAGAGGGAAGTATATATGTATTTCAACATCTTAAACGTATGAGTCGTTTCAATAATGTAAACAACCCATATGCAAACTCAAAACAGTCAACTGAACTAATAATTCAATTACTGCATTAAAATGAAAAAACAGTTCAACAACTTTATACCTTACTTTTCAAGTTCACATCAGCGATTGATATAGGAGACATCTTCCCGTTTAAATATTTTAGAAACCTGAATAAAAATGCTTTTTAAGGGGACAATTGACATTCACTGGACATCTTATAAACAGATTTGCATAGGGTGTATTTTTTATTATTTGTTAAGGAAAAAACAGGTATTTGGTGCTAACGATAAAATAAGAGACATTACGCTCTTGGTAAATATTCGAATAAAATTCTAAAAACTTCCATTATATAAGCAGTTAAGTCTTGATATCTTTAAAAAATCGAAAAGGTTTTTAAAAAGTGGAGAAATCGGATTGCTCTTTGCCTTGTTGTACCAAATTTCGTCTCGTAATATGTTACATTTGCTTAACTTGTAAAACCCAAAATTTGTTTACATTTTGCTAGCACCGACGCGATACAAATTGCAGGTAATAAACATATATATATTATTTTACCGACAGGTAAACCAACTAAAACGATCTTTTCCAGCAATTGTCGATCGAAACCTTTGCAAACTAACCATAAGCCACACATCTTCGATGTGAATAAAACGAAAACGAGATATAATCTAAAACCAAAGTAGCTTTATTACTGTTTTAAAACATGTGATCATTTACATTTAATTACTTAGTTTCACGTCCTTCACTAAACAAATAAACGTAGCTCCGATCCTCTTCAAATCGAAATGAAATCGAAACGAATCGAACTGAATCGGTCCAGCTCCAGTACCTGCCCACCCACCCAATCCCCCATAGCTGATGATGTCGGCTCACCTGCATACTCTTCACTCCGGCGAGCCGCGATATATATGGTAATATAGTACTTACAGGGTATACATTGATTTCTCACACTTTATATAGACAGTGAGCGCACGAAAGGAAACGTTTCGAAAGCATATGATTGTGGGATGCGGATGCAACCGGGACTGGGGACCCCACTAGATCCGTCTGAAGATCCCAAAAAGTGTGTTATACGGATGCGAATGCTTCGAGTAAAATACAAATTATAGTGTTTTTGGGGTTTCTCTCTTTTTCTTTTACTAAGGAATTTCAAATAGTTTTACGTCTTTTGTTAACACCATGGAATATTTTGTTAAGTTTAATTATATACCCCTATATATATACACATGACACACATGAACGTACAGTAGATATCGGCCACATGCAAATCGCTTGTGTGCAAATTACGCCTATGTGCAACGAACTTTTTACAGTTTAATTCCTTTAAACGGATAGGATAAATAACGCTCGGAGATTGCTCTTATATTTAATGAATCAATAAACATTCTGACTACTAGTATTGCTTGAATGCAACTGTCTAAGCGTACCACACAGTGCTTGCATGCAGAGTATCGCTTATCCAGCCATTGCATATACGCGATATCTACTGTACGTTGTCCCGTTTGCAGTTGTGTAATTTCCAGAACATTTTCGGATTGCGAGAAAGGGAGGGGAAACGGAAAGAGAAGGTCTGGTCCCGATTGGAACCAGCAAGGATTCTACGTCTATATCTAGAACCTCCGATCGTTCGGATCTACACCGCTATTCTCTTCCAAGCACACATCTGAATGTCACAGTAACGACGTGTTTATGACATTGTAGTTACATTGATAATGACAAGGAGGAGCACAAACCGGCTCGATTTATTGAAAAACATCAAAGTTCTCTGCCAAAAGTGTAAAACGCGTGAAATGTTTTTGTTTCTAAAGTGTGTGTGTGTCGGTGTGTGTGGGTGTGCAGCTATATGCTGCACATGTGCATATTCAAGAAATTTCCGCTTTAAGGGTTCTCAGGTGTCTCGTGAGCTCTCGAAAAGTAAATAATTAAAAAAAAAAAAATTTATATCAACTACACAAGTGCCGACACTTTGGTATCTCTATCTATCTTCCTTACCGGCGACATATCGCTTCAAATACCTCTCCGTTCTCTAGGCTCCTATGCTCGTTTGCCGTTGTCTGTCTACTGTGGCACAGGATGTGTGTGGTTGGTGTGGGCATAAAGGATTCAAGATATTTCCGGCACGATGGGGGATTAAGCAATCAATTTGTGTGTCCGATGTCCAATGTCTGATGTCTGATGTTTTTAGAAGAAGGACCCCATTGTGCCCCTTTCTCATCGTTTTCTCGCTGTGGTTCTCATTCGCGTTCTCCAGGGCTATAGTGGTAGATATATATGTAGTTCGTAGATATATAGACAGGTTGTGTACAGTTTGGAAATGGCTTAGCGTTGTTAACTCAGGGACAACTGGTTGAGGGACAGCAATCGCTCTACCGCCGCATTGATGTCCCCAAAGGTGGCGATCAGAGCTGTGGATATGAACGATTAGAATTTGCGATTGTCAAGTGGTTGGCTAAATGCTCGCCAAGAGTCTCACCCTGCAAGTTGGCATCCCGGTTGGCAAAGCCCATCGCTGCCAACTGCTCCAGCTGCGACTGGTAGCGCACTTCCGGCGGCTGCGTGCTGTCCGCATTGTTGGACATCCCGTTGAGCATGCGCACCATGAAGTCGTTGAAGAGCTGCGCATTGGGACCACCGCCCGGAGCCAGACTTGGTCCTCCGGCGGCGGGATTGCCTGCGTTGAGGCCACTGCTCGGCGAGACGTTGTTGGTGGTGGCGCCGCCGCTGCCATCGCCGCTGGCCGGATCCGTGCCGGAGTTGACGCCCGGCGGCGGCGGCGGAATGCCAAGCGTGCCAACGAGACCGGGGGCCGCACTGCGCAGCTGCTCCATGCCCTGCTGGATCTGCAGGATGGCGTTCATCGCGTCCGGATTGGTCAGCATGTTCATCACCTCGGGGTTCTGCATCTGGGCCATGAACTGCGGCATCATTTGGCGCACCTGCTCCTGCAGGGCGGAATTGTTGGACAGGAGCGGGCTGCTACTGAGCAGGCGCGAGGCCATGTCCGGGTCCTGTGACATGGACTCCATCATGGAACGCGTGTACGGGGCGTTCAGCAGGTTCTGCATCATGGCCGGATTGTCGGCCATCTGCTGCAGCAGGCTCCGCATGGCCGGCGTATTTAGGACATTGTTCGGCGGCAGATCAGCCCCCGTTCGGTTGCCCGTCCCAGTGCCACTGCCCGTGCCGTTTGTGGCCGAATTGGTGCCGCCGCCGCCGCCGCCACCCCAGGGATTGGGCAGCGGATTCCGGTTCTCGGTGCCCTGCTGCGGATTGATGCCGGCCCCCGAGCCGCCGCCTCCGTCGACCAGCCCGGCGAAGGGATTGCGACCGAAGGACTCGGTGGCCGCGTTCATCATCGGCTCCTGGATGTCGCGGTAGATGCGCTGTAGGGCACTGTAGCCGCCCGGCACCGACTCCAGGTTGGACATGGCCCGGTCGTGCGACCGCATCAGCTCCTGCAGCATCGAGGGATTGCGGGCCAGCTCCATCGTCTGGCGCAGCAGGTCCGGGTTGTTGAGCATGTGCGAGATCTCGGGGTTTCGCTGCATTAGGTCCTGCATCTGCGGATTGGACGTGATCAGTTGGCGCATGGTGTCCGGGTTGTTCATCATCTGCTGCACCAGCGGGTTGTCCATTAGGGAGCGCAGCATGTCGCCGTTGTTGAGCAGCTCGTTCTGCATGCGCGCCTGCAGGTCCATGAAGGTGTTCGACCCGGCGCCCAGTGCCTCCAGTCCGGCCAGTCCTCCAAACTGGTTCAGGCCAAAGGGCGTCTGCCGGACATCCGCCGGCTGGCGCGCTGGCACCTCGTTGTTGCGCGTGGGCGCCTTGATCACCAGGTGCACCGTCAGGTTGTCCTTGATGTTGTGCATCTTGAGCGTGTCCGTGTCCTTCATAATTTTGCCGGCAAAAATGAGCACCAACTGCTCGGGCTCCGCCTCGAACTTTTGTGCAACCAGAATTTTGAACTGTGGGGCAAAGGATTGAATTCATGATTGTAGTCACCCATTTCGATTGCCCTCTGGCAATATTACAAATGCACTTTGCCACCCACCCCTGTTATGTGGCATAGGCAAGGTGCACTGTACCAGCATAGGCGGCAAGCCCCCATCATTTGTGGCTTAGGCAAAGTACACTGTACCCCGATTACGGGCATTAATTGGCCCGCCCCGCGGACCAACTGCAGCGGGGGAGGCGGGGGGAATCACCGATGGGAATTGGGAATTGGGTATTGGGAAAGGGTGAACAGAAAACAGACAACAGACTGGGGTCACGTGCCCACCTTTACTGTTACTCACGTCTTTTATTCCAGAATCTTCGTCAACCTCGACCGTCTTCTTGTCCTTTGGCGTTTTTACAACCACGTTGATGCGCTTGCTGCCGCCTTCCGCCATTTCGCTGGTGTAGTTGTTGTGTTTTCGGGTTGTGTTTCCTGCGCCGAATTAGTTTGTGTTGTAGTTTAAATTGTTTCACAACTGAAATTTTTTCCTCTGCTTTGGATAGATACGTGTTTTCAAACTAAATTATTTCCCATTTGATGAAAAGTAATTCGTCACTTTCTCACTCACACACACACACGCACACACTCACGCTTAGTTCGATTTTGATTTTCCCTGAACAAGCCAGGGCTGCCGCATTATCAGCTATCGATATATCGATAATTGGGCTGAAAAGTACGTTATTATCGGTTTTCAAGCAGTGCGCACTGTTCAAAACGCATTTCCTGAAAGTCTGCAAGCGAACGCAGCAACTCTTGGCAAACAAATTCAAATTGCATACATACGAAAAAACCAGTACACCTATCGCGCCATCAATATGACCGTTCGCGCAGGTAGCCCTTGTCATATCGCGTATCGAGCTGCGATAAGTTTCGATAAGCGGTCACACTGCAGACAAGAAAATCGTCGACAATAACGCGATAGCGGGGGCAGGGAGGAGAGCGATCGCCGTCCTTCGCCTTTTGAGGATTCGATTCTGCAATATCAAGACAATACAAAAAAAGGAGTAAAACCAGAGTGATAAAAACTAAAGACATTTGTGAACTAGTAGCGACCAAGTTAACCCCCGAAAAGCAGCCCCACCTGGGTAGCGAGATGTGTTAGAGCCACAATTCCAGGAAAGCAGCGTATAAACGGTTCCAAGAACTGAACCCACAAATACACAGAGAGCCAACAAGTGACACGGCCAACAAGGTGTTCTTGTGTGTGTGCGTGCGAGAGAGAGAGAGAGGGAGAGTGCGTCTTGTCGGTGTGCGCGTCTGTGTGAGGGAGAGAGTGAGTTAGTGAGTGAGTGAGAGAGAGCCACCGGGACAGAGTGGAACATAATAAACGGCAGAAGCTGGAGAGGATTAGGATTAGGAACATGGCGCCGCAGGTGCAGCTCGGACTGCTCCTCCTGCTGCTCGCCGGCTGCCATGGTGGCGCACAGGCCGTCGTGGAGCCGGGCTGGCTGATCCCCGACAAGGTGGAGCTGGCCATCGGCGGCGACTTCAACATCAGCTGCACCCTCAACGAGGCCTACTTCCGCGATGTCAACGCCACGGAGCGCTGCACCGTCGAGGAGCTGTACTTCCAGACCGGCAGCCTGCAGTTCCGCAACGCGACCTACATCCGGCGGCTGAACAACACCACCATCCTGTTTAGTGCCCAAAATGCCTCCGAGCAGGAGCAGGAATACCTGTGCATGTGCCGCGACTACGTGATCAACACCTCGAAGGTGTACGTTGGCACTAGGCCGCTGCTGGTGCGCGACTTCAACTGCCTGGACCACGACTTCCAGTTCATGGTCTGCAACTTCACCCAGCCGCCCAACAAGGTCATCACCAAGTACAACATCAGCTACAACACCAACAACGACTGGCGCTACAGCAACAGCCTGGACTGTAACTTCGATGCGGCGCCGGTGGTCACCTGCAATCTGACGGACGACAACTACAAGCGCTTCAGCGAGATCTTCTACTTCCGCCTGTTCATCTCCAATGCCCTGGGCCACGAGATTCAGCCAATTACGATGAACCACTTTGAGCGTTTGGTGCCGGCGCGACCGGGACAAAACCTGACCCTGGTCAACCGGACCGAGAGCTCCGTCTGCCTGTCGTGGGAGATGCCCCGCCGCTCGAACTACAATCGCGGCCTGGTCTGGCAGGTGCGCGTCTTGCCGGACAACTTCGAACCCCTCAGCCGACCCAGTTGGCGCAACAACAGCTCCACCATCAAGGACACCCTCTGCCTCACGGAACTGCCCTTCGCCGGCTACAACTATACTCTAAAGCTGCGCGTGCGCGCCAACCAAAACAACACGATGTGGAGCGAGCCGTTGGACTACGAATTCGCCACCGCTCCGGCTCGTCCACGCCGTCCGCCGCGCGTCACCTACGGCAGCTTCTACGTCTACTCCTCGGAGGAGGGCATGCGCTTCTACTGGGAGCCTCTGGAGCCGCACGAGCTCAATGGGCCGAACCCTGGGTACATCATCAGCGAGTACAGCGTCAACGGGACCGCCGTGTAAGTACATATTACATATTGATACCCTTGCAGAGGGTACATTATATTTATACTTAAAAAGTTTGCAACGCTATAAAGTATATACAGCTGCGGGTAAAATAATAGTGGTGAAACATTGTTGGGCCTAATAATTAAACTTTAAAGTTATAAGAATATTTTGCTTTCTAACCAATAAGTAAAATTATACAAAAAAAAAAAAAAAAAACGTTGATATTGTTTTAGTTTTTCTTACAAAAATAAAAAATTTAGAAAATTTCTAAAAATTAACTTCTTATAATGCGATAGTAGAAAGTTTTAGACAAATTCAAGAACATTCCTAAATTTCCTTATTTATCTGGACAGTGGATAGAACACAAAAAGGTTTTTAACAAGTTATCTGTTTTTTAAATAAAAAATTACGAACAAAATTGTTTAGTCAAACTATTTTATAATATGCGTATTTGAAAAGCGATTATTTGTATTTGTTCCTTTAAGTTTATAGTGTTTACTAACTCGCTAGCAACTACTGTTATTGTGACCGCAACGTCTTTGTTGCGACATAAGATAAGGGCATCTTGGCATTTTGGCACTTTGGCACCTAATTAGTCATTGGCAAACCTGTCTCCAATCACAACATACCTACATACATACATATGTACATACATACATATGTGATACGGCGGAGAGTTCGCCGGAATGTCGACTTCTGGCGAATCAGTAAGGCAAGACGCCATACGGCGTAGTATTGGCACAAGCACACACGCGGAGAGCCACATTTTCATTGTTGGGGTTCCGTAGAAAATGTTTATTTTTAACAATTCGTCCGAAGTGCCGCTCTACACATGCACACCAGTAGCAGCAGCAGTAGCAGCAGTAGCAGCAGCAGCAGCAGCAGCAGCAGCAGCAGCAGCAGCAGCAGCAGCAGCAGCAGAAGCAAAAGCTGAAGCTGAAGCACTAAAGCAGCGGCAAAAACACGTTCATTAATGGTAAAAGATGGGAGGCGTTTTATGCGAATGCATATGCATTTCCAGAGAAATCGGAGGAAGCCCGTCCGCCGGCAGACACCCTGCACTCATCTTCATCTTCCTTCGGTGTGTGTTTATCTCTGCCTAGGACGACACTGTTTAGAACTTTGCACTGGGCAACACAGTGTTGTTTAATTGGCAAACCAACAAAAACAGACTGAAGGTCTCCTTAACTATTAATTAGTTTTCAGTGTGTATTCTTTTAATTTTCACATGATTCTTTTAAAGTTTATCTGGGGAATTCCACGAAAAAATACTTCATACCCGAAATCAACAAACTATAAAATACGCAAAACTTACATTTTCTATATTGTTTTACCATTGAAAATTTGAAAATTTAACACTTTTAAGCGAGATAAGAAAAAAATTTATTAAATCATACATTATTCACCTACATATTTATGTATATATGAAACATATATTTGTTTTTTTTTGGCATTAAAATTTCAAACAACAACACAAATTGAGAAGATAAGAAACCATAGACAATCGCAATTTCAAGACCAACAATTTTTTGATAAAAAATATTTTCACAATCGATGACAAAAAAAAAAGTGTAAACAAACGCTACCTTTTCTAAAAATACTTGTCTTATTTGTTTTTAGTAGTGCAAATGTGGGAAACATATTTGATTTCGCCCAAAAGTATGCAAGTAAAAAGAATCATCATAAAACTAAAAAAAACATTACAGAGTGTAATTTGATTAGCATCGGAAACAAAAATTGCTTTTAACTTTAACATGCCTTATATAATCATACACTCATCTTTATGTAAGTGTATTTATGCAGATTTTTGACATCTGTTAAATTTAATAACTTTCATTTTATTTCTAAGTTTTGTCTTCTTCCTCTGTCTTTTCGATTGAGTTGTCATTCTTATGGGATAAAATAGCAATTATAGAAGATTTGTAAGCTATCAAAAATGTTTTTTGTTATTAAACGAATTAAAACAAACATTTTAAAAATTTCCAGAAATTTCAAAATTTACGCATCTATTGTTTGTTTTTTTTTTTTTGCTTTAAATTGGCTTGTAACGCCATAAACATTTTAAATTGGCTTGCAACGCCATAAACATTCTTTAGAATTTGGCATTTTTTTCCAAACTTTGGAATTTTATTCAAGCATCTATATATTTACCGTAACTCGTTTTCTGCCAAAAAATAAGTGTGTCGCCTTTAAAAAGTGGCTGCTACACAGAGAGTCGCGAGAATGCATGTCGAACTCCAAAATTCCTTAACTTTTTAGACCATTAGTTTCTTCGTTAATGTTGCTTGGATTTTTCTATACATTTTTTAGCTCTAGATCCGATTCATTCTTATATTTATTAGCAACTGACCAAAATTTATAAAAACTCTATACTGAAATACCGATTTAAGGCATAAGTTTATGTATATCATTTACGAGGGTTTTTTTTTAAAGAGAAAGCTATTAAGAAGTTTAAACGCTTTATTTAAGTGCCATAAAAGACGCGTTTCACAATTAATGAAATTGAGTCAATGTTTCTGCGTTGCTTATTTTACTGATTGTCAACATCTATGAATATACATATGTACATATGCATTATTATTTAAATAGGAATCTATGTAAATATATGAGTATTTGTTTTTTTCATACACTGTATGTTATTTGGATTATCTTATTAATAATTTGTTTGGTTATTTTGGTTTGGTTTATTTAATTTGCTAAAAATTCTAAGAATTGTCCATACAAATCGACTCGCTTATATTAGCTAGTTAGCTGGAATTTCTTTGAGATAAGGTTCTCGTCACACCATTTTCAAGAATTTATTGGTAAACTGTTGAACTTTCATCACAATCAAAATTCAAATGAAACACAGTCCAGTCAAAACAGAAGACTCTTTAACCCTGTCATAGTAAATTTAAATAGTCTAAGTATGCGTTTTTCTTTCCTGAAAAGATATATAATTTTGCAAAGCACTAAATGTCGAGTTAACAGGTAGTTAATTTCAACAAAACTCTTGAAATATATCAGTAAAGGTTGATTGATAGATAAGGCTTTTTTAATGAATGAAATATTAAAATAGTATACATTGTAATCAAATTAGACATTGGTGGGCGAAATCTCGAATTTTGGGATAAGGGGTGTGTTTTATTTTGAAACTAACATGTTTGCTCAAATCCGTAAGAGGTTACAAAGAAGTCACCTTTCTAGTTTACCATTTATGAACGCCATTTTGTATTCGCTTAACCCCTGCAGAGATCCGGCCCTTATCAAGGTGGAGTCCAACTCGGCGATGATCGATCACTGGAACATGAACGCCGTCCACCACTTTCTCATCCGCAGCAGCAACAGCGAAGGCGTGTCTGTGAACGCCACCTCGATGACGATCGGACCGATTAGCAACCGCGATTTCCGCCGGCGGGAGCCGAAGAACATCCGCAGTGTTTACCACCCCACGAACGAGAGCTACACGCTCAGCTGGGAGCCACCGGAGGACCAGATGGAGCTGATGAACTACACCGTGTTCTGGTGCAAGCCCCAACCGGCCCGGCTGTCGGAGTGCAAAGGGTCCATACGCTTCGCTCAGGTGTCCAGCGGTCTGCAGCAGTTCACTACGGCACGGGACCAGCCCGCACTGCTCATGGCCGTGTCGGCCAACTATCGGTCGCACAACACCGGCATGCACTGGGTGATCTGCAGCAGCGACAAGAAGGACGATTTGGCCAAAATGGAGCCCTCGATCGATGTGGCCACCAGCACCACGCTGACGGTCAGTTGGGTCCCCAAGGGCGTGTGCACGGTGATCCTGGACGGTTACAAGCTGACCTACTGCCAGCGATCGACCGGTCGGCCGGACAACTGCACCACAGTGAAGCTGGACCGCTACGCCAACAAGCATGTCATCCAGAACCTGGTGCCCTACACGGAGTACAGCGTGAAGATGCTCATGTACTCCGATTCGCGGGCCAGCAAGTACAGCGACGAGCTGGTCAACCGCACCGGCGAGGCGGCGCCCAGCCAGCCGCGGGAGCTGCAGCAGCTCCGGGTGACCAGCGCCAGCGTGGAGCTGGCCTGGAAGCCCCCGCTGCTGGCCAATGGCGTGGTGCGCTCCTACGAGGGCACCTACCGCTCGCTCCGCGACAACGTCACCGAGTACTTCCGCGTGGGAGCCTCCACCGAGGAGCTGCTGGACAGGGAGAAGCCCATCGCCTACACGCTGGGCAATCTCACGGCATTCACGCGCTACGAGGTGAGTGTGCGGGCCAGGACACTCTACCCCTCGGAGCCCAGCAATGTGATCTACCTCAGCACGGCCATCGGAGGTAAGCCTGCACAGATTTGTCTTGTTGCCAACTACTCGGTTGTCTAATGTCTAAAGATATTTCCCAAAATACTGCCTGAATTTGGGTAGTTTTCTTATTATTTTCCAAATTGAAAGACAAAGTCTTATTACAGATTTGTCTTGTTTCCAAGTACTCTGTTGTCTTATTGCAAATGTCCAAAGATGTTTCTTTAAACATTGTTATAAGTCTGTATTTTTTTTTAAATTACAAGACAGGCACCTATATATATTAATTGGATAATGATTAATTTCAAGTACGCAGCTATCAAATTTCAAATGTCTATAGGTGATTTTACAAATACTGCTTAAATTTGGCTACACATTATATTCTATATCTATTCTATTTAGGAGTACTAATCACTTTATATAAGTATATTTATCAATTCCAAAAGTCCGAATTCCGTGTCAATGAATAATGATAATTTCATTCTAGGAATAAAATATTGTGACCCCTGTAACTTTGGTATTTCTTATTTTTTGTTGCTTTGAATTCAAAAAAAACCCCAAGCTGCGACAACTGGAATTTTCAAAGAAAAGATTATGACTAATAAATAAGGGAATTTATTTTTTGTTTTGAACCCCATTATTTAATGTTTGTTTTGCTTGACCAAAATATCAAAACAATAATAGTCTATAGGTCATTTGACACTTAGTAGTTTAAGGAAATAAGACAGGATCAACTTAAATTAGGTTTTGAGCTGTTTAATCTGCTTGCTCTTTTTATGTAAATCGTAAATCTAAAACCCTGAACTTTACCTCTTTCACAGTTCCATCGCCGCCCACGCTGCTGGTGACCAACAACAAGGACCAGAGCTCACGACTTGTCTGGCAGGCGCCCATGATGCCGGCCGGTCGCATTGATTTCTATGAGGTATCGCTGCGTGACACCAATGCCAGCTGCTTGTTCAGCACCATCCTGCCGGGACGCAACCGCTCCTTCGTGATGGCCACGCCGCGCTGCACCAGCCACAATCCCTTTCAGCTGGCCGTGCGCGCCATCAATGTGGAGCAGCATCCGCAGTTCGACGGACCGGAACCGCTGCCTCAGCTGAGCTCGCAGGGATGTGAGGCCAGGACGGATGCACTCAGCGAGGAGGATCGGCGGCAGTTTAAGACATACGCGGGAAACACGACCGCCTACCGGCTGTATAGATCCGATTGGGGCGCCTACGGGTTCATCTGCACGCCGGACACGCACAGCGTGAAGGCCATGTACCAGACCATCGAGGTGAGCGTGGCCATCCTGGTGCTGGGCGTCATCTTCTATCTGGTGTACAAGAAGTACCGCAAGATGTCCGACATCGATCTGGTGCTGCCGCAGGGCATAATGGAGACCCTGAAGAAGCCCATGGACATGGGTGGCCTGGGATTGGGCCTGGGACCGGACTCCTCCGTCAGCGGTGGGATCGTTTGCACCCGGGTGGACGATACGCCGCAGTACACGCCGCAGGATCATCTGCCGCACGACTTTAGCAGTTGCGGCAGCGAGAGCTCCAAACTGCTGCGCACCCAATCGTCCTTCAACGGCAGCGGCTGTGGGGATCGCGATGGCTACGAAGACCACCAGTTAAGGGGGGGGCCGATGACCATAACTGGTCCGCCCACCAGCTACCTGGCCATGCGGCACGGCCTTCTCGTCCAGAACGACATGGAGCGGGAAAGTGATCGCGAACAGGCGAGGGAACGGGAAAGGGAACGGGAGCAGCAGCATCAGCGGGAGAGCGACTTGGACAGGGAGCAGGAGCACCAGAGAAGCACCACCACAACCACCACCACCAACGGTTACATCAAGCCCACCCAGATGAAGAGCTGGACCGATCCGGCCAACGCAATGCCCGCTCCTCCGATGTCCTTGCCACTCAGCGGTTACGTGCCAGTGCCAGTGCCGATTCCGCATCCGCGCTTCAATCCAGCTCCAGCACAAGCTCAAGCTCCAGCTCCCTCCGCCGCCGCCGCCGCCGCTGCCTCCACCTTTTTCCCGCCAGCCCATCTGCTCAACATGGACAACTATGTGCAGGCCTCGGACTTGCACAAGCTGAAGCCCCTCGTCGCAGCACCCTTGCCGCCGCCGCAATTATCTGGAGGAGGAGGAGGAGTAGGAGTAGGAGTAGGAACAGTCTTGACGGGGGGACCCTCGCCAACGGGAGCAGCGACCACGCCATTGCCGTTCCAGCTGCCGCCAGTCGGCGCAGTCGGAGCAGCTGGGCAGACAACTGCAAAACTGCCCTCGCCCAAGCTGGCCGACATTGGCTACACCACCATGGAGCAGCTGCAGCGCACCGGGCTGATAAAGCCACCGTTGGCCGCCGCCGTGGGATCACCGACGCACGTCGCCGGAGGAGCGACAGCCAGCGGCAACCATCCACACGGCCGTCACCAGCCACAGATCAACGGCTATGTGACGCCCCAGGACCTGAACGCCCTGGCTCACAATCGGCACGTCCTCTAAGGAACAGGAGTAGTGCACCCACTCACGACGTGACATTTTATCAGCCCGTCGCATTCGCATCCACATCCACATCCATCATTCAACTCATCAACCATCTGTATCTGTATCTGTATCTGTACCCGTATCCGCATCTGCATCTGCATCCGCATCTGCATCCCCTTCCAACGCCATGTCATCGGATCACCCCGGATCACAGGGAACCCGGACAAAAGGAACCTAGAAACTAGCAACTTGAACCTGGAACCTGGAACCTGCAACTTGGGCAGCTGTTTAATAGTAATTAGTGGAAACTCCTTATCCTCGGACAAATGCAGTTTCTTCGTTTGTAATTTATATTGTATTCTTTGCGATGCGTGTGAGCAGAAAGTATTTGTAACGCTGTAGTATTTTTTTATATTTTTCGTACTGTACACCAACTTAACCATCCACGCGTCAAGCAGATCGAGCTTATAATTAATAATTAATATTTTAATAACCTATGTAAACCATACATACGCACATAAAGATAATTTTAAATAAGTTTTCAAATGCATTCGTTGAGTTGGCTTGCGGGCTTTTTGTAACCGTTACTCGTTGAATTCAAATGACGTTAAATATACCCGTTACTAGTAAAGTAAAAGGGTATATCGTTATTGTTGAAAAGTACGTAACAGAGAGAAGGTAGCGTGTATACATTCCTGATCAGCCTGAATAGCCTAGTCGATGCAGTTTTGTCCGATCTAATGAACGTCGAGATTTCAGAGACTACAAAATCTAGAGTTTTCGGATTAATTTCAAAATTAAATTAATTCAAGAATTTTGCCAGTTACGGGTGGTATATGTTTGTTTAGTCAACATCTATCGAAATGCCAAACAATTTCTAAATCTATCCAATCTTTTAGAAGTTGTAAGGAAAGTTTTTATTATGACGTCAATGCATATTTAACAAGAAAGGAAGCAAACTTCGGCAAGCCGAAGTTTATATACCCTTGCAGCTATTTCAAAAACTAAATACTCTTTAAAACGTTTAAATTATGATTTACTTGCGTGTATGTTTAAAAACATTGAAGCTATGATGATTTGCAGCTTAATTATTCGATAGTTCCTATGGCAGCTATATGCTTTAGTCGTCCGATTTGATGAAATTTAAAACGTAATTCTAAAATATTTATCCATTACTATATCTCGAAGAACTAAAAAAAAAAATAAAAAACAGAAAAGTTCTAATTTTTTTTCATTTAGTTTTCCGATTGTTCCTATGGGGGCTATATGATATAGTCGTCCGACTTTGATGAAATTTAAACCGTAAATCGGAAATATGTAACCATTACTAAATGTCGAAGAACTAAACAAAAAATTGAAAAACAGCAAAGTTATAATTTTTTTCATTTATTTTTCCGATTGTTCCTATGGGAGCTATATGCTATAGTCGTCCGATTTGATGAAATTTAAACCGTAAATCGGAAATATGTAACCATTACTAAATGTCGAAGAACTAAACAAAAAATTGAAAAACAGCAAAGTTTTAATTTTTTTTCATTTATTTTTCCGATTGTTCCTATGGGAGCTATATGCTATAGTCGTCCGATCCGGCTCGTTCCGACTTATATACTACCTGCAATAGAAAGACAACTTTTGGGAAAGTTTCATGCAGATAGCTTTAAAACTGAGAGACTAGTTTGCATATAAACGGACGGACAGACGGACGGACAGACGGACAGACGGACAGACAGACGGACATGGCTAGATCGACTCGCCTAGTGATGCTGATCAAGAATATATATACTTTATAGGGTCGGAGATGTCTCCTTCACTGCGTTGCAAACTTCTGACTGAAATTATAATACCCTCTGCAAGGGTATAAAAATCGGAGATCATATATTTGAGAGAGCGAACAAACTGTAAGTGGGGATGCTACTCGTTCTTAGCTTGCAGTGTTTACCCTGCAGTTCGGCAGAGGGCGCCACCTCTGGGAGCGGATTTATATCGAGAATGGTGAGCTGAGTAACGGGTTTCGCGAAGGAAGCTTGCAACGTTCGGCAGATGGCACCACCCAAAACCGATTGTTTTCTGAGGGCATACATATTTTGATTTTGAAATTGTTTAGTTGAGTAAGGGGTATCTAATAGTCGGGGCACGCGGCTATAGCGTTTCCTCTTCTTTTGATAAGAGGGGTTTTTCGGGGTAGATTTCGCATAAAAATGAGCTGAGCTCTTCGGAGCTTCGCATTCGCGATCGTTGTTTAGTTGAGTAGATCGCTTTGAAGCAATCGGTAAGCTTGGTTTTGAAAGGCTCGCAGCCTCTATATTTAACGTTGTGAATGCGTTCGGCGTTATCAGTATACTGTTCTAAGAATTCGAACGCCATATATACAGCTGAAGTTATAATAATAGTAGTGGAACAATGTAAAGTGCTCAAAAACTCTTTAGGGCGTAGGCAAACGTTTTAATTTAATGTTAAGTTACCAACGAACAAAATAAGGATTAAAATCTATTTATATTGTGTTGTAATAGATTTTAAAGAAAAATTAAGAATTGAGTAAATCTCTAAAATGTACTTTTTAAAATACTCTAGTGAATAATTTTCAACAAATTTAAGAAAATAAACAAAAATCTTCGTTCATCTGCATTTTGTGTTGGAACAAAAATATTTGTAATTTTTGAACTTTTTTGTAATTTTAAAAATAAAAACATTTAATTTTTATCAATATTTTTAAAAACATTCAAACTAAATTGAAAAACCTTTTCAAAACTAGAAGCTACTGCTATTTCCATGAGCTGAAAAACTACTATTTTCCTGACCGCAGCTGCATGTACATATGTATTAAGCGTGTTGTTTGTTTTTATGGTTTTCGGAATTGTTTTTCGAAACTCTTGTAATTAAGCTTTATTTTAATTCCAGAATTTGTATAACTATACCTCGTAAGCGATAAGAGGCAACATACATATATGGGCTTGAGGACGTGCGTGAGGTTGTGCTGGACAGCTGTGCCGACGATACTGTTTATTCTTATCCAATGTGGCCGGGCGGAGGAGGAGGTGGTCTTGCCCTGCGAGATGACCGCTTCGAGCTCCAACCAAACGTTGTGGCGGGAAGGCGGCGACGTGGACCTGTTCTGCGGGTGTAGCAACGCTGAAAAGGATTTGAGTTTAAAGGAGCATTTGACAATGAAGTTCGACGGCCTCGAGGTGGACATATCGGAGGTGGACAACAGTGGAACTACCTTTAAGGGGAAACCTGGACTTTTAACCCAGAACGCGCAAGTAATGTTCGAGTGTTATTTTGATACGTACTTAATTGGTGGATTTAACGTCAAAGTGTTCGCCAAGTTGAATGTGGCGGACTTTGAGTGCCGATACCGATACCATGGAAGAGATGAGATAAGATGCACCTTCACCCGATCGGACGGCGCTAACTTCTGGGCCTTAACCCACTATGAGCTTATGGCGGACAACACTCCATTTGCCTGCAGTGTAAACAAGAATGACGCCACGCAAATTCAGTGCACTGTGGATATCAACCGGAACGACGTAATATCCGATAGTATGATTTTCAGACTCACCATGCTCGACACCCTGGGCATCCAGACACAGGAGTTCAATCGGACCGAGGACGAGATGACGGAGCTGGAGTGGTCAGCGGATCGTTACATCAATAATACTTGCGTTTCGTGGAACCATTTACACGTGCAAGGCTCCACGGAAACACTTGAATGGGATGTGCAGCTGCAGTGCGTCAAATATCCTCACCTGGTGAAGAATCTAACTAGGTACACAGAGCGCATGCCAAAGGACATGACGGATAGGATTTGCTTCGAAAATCTGGAAGGCAATCAGAAATTCACGGTGCGCTTAAGGCGTCGCCTCAATGTGACCGGTGCACCCTGGTCGGAACAGCACCCCGAGTTCGAAATCGAAACGGATGCCACTCGACCAGCCCGCCCTCCAAAATTCCTGCCCCTGGGCTACCATTACAACCAGGACAATCACGAGCTAAGGGTTTACTGGGAGCCGCTCGAGGAACTGGAATTCAACGCTCCGGAACTGGACTACGAAGTCACCACCAACACAGGGTAAGCTGAGGCTAAAAATCATTGATGAAATTGCCTTTTTAAGCCCATATGCTTTCCAACAAAGGTTCAGAAGTCGGTTTTGAAAAGCCCTTTTGTTCCTAAAACTTCTCAAGTACCGATCGAACAGATCCTTTTAAGGACCAGATTAATTTACTTTAACCTCCTACTCTCATCAGGTATTACTGAAAATGTAAGAGAATATGGTTTTAAATTACATATATTTAGCTACTTTTTATTTAAACTCTGCCCCTACATAGGTAGCTATGGAAGGTACACTTCCAACCAAAGATCAACATATTGTATTAAAAAAACCTTTTTTTACAGATCAGTACAGATTAATTTGATGGCCAGGTTTAGATTTATCAACCTCCTACACTCATCAAGTGTTAATTAAAATCTACTATTAGGATATATAGGGACTTTTTATTAAAATATACCATACCGCTTCCACATACTTTCCTGGCTATAGGAAAAAATACATTATTATCTAATTGTTTTTCACAATAAAATATAAATTTAAAGGTATCTGTTACCGTTTTTTCTTGTGTAGTCATAACTATTAAGATATAAAAGTTTTTTTAAAAGTATGTATGAAAATTATAATAAAGTTTTTTGCTTATCCTCTCCATTGTTCCAACAGCAAATTGGGCAACAGTACCGACAGAACTTCCGCGGTATTCAAGGAATGGGACTACGAAAACCCGGCCACAGTGTTTGTGGCGAGCAGGAACATAAAGGGCATTTCGGTGAACAGGAGCCGACTGGAGGTGCCCGAACTGTCCGATGCCATGGACCGAAGGTGCCAGCACTTGGCCCATGACGACAACACCCAAATCCTCAGCTGGACAAAGCCCGTGGAGGAGAAAAATCTCGAAGGCTACTTTGTCTACTGGTGCAACAAAACCACATGCCAGGCGGACTCAACCACAGAGCTGAAGTACGATTTATCCGACATGAGTCCGAATCGAATGGCCGTGGCGGCCAATTATGGTGCTGACAAGAGTGGCGGCATGAAGTGGTTGCACGAGGACCAAGTGGGGGTCACCGGCAGGATCCGGTATGTGGAGGGCATCCTTGCCCTGCTGGTGCTCGGTGTCTTCTTCCTCGGCGTTCGGAAGCTTCGGAATATGGCGAAGATCGATGTCAAAGTGCCCCCGGGAGTGCTGATGCCTAGGGCGCCCTTTGACCCTGACCAGTCTCCGCTCATACAACCCTATCAGGGAATTCCGCATCCGAGAATGCTCTATTCAGACCTCAAGAAGACGGAACCCCCCGACGATTACCCCGATGTGCAGATTGAAGTGGAGTTCGAGGTGGAGGTGGAGGAGGGGGAGGAGTCACAGGAACCAGAGCCAATGGCACTGCCCTGCGGATATGTGTCCAATGGATATGTGACCATGAACACAGCAAATCCCATATTGAGCGATGGATACATTAAGCCACCGCCTCCGCGATGACATTTAGTCTTGTGGCGTTACAGTACTTACGCATCGCTATCAATCAATCAATCATATTCACGCAATCATCCAGAGTTCCGCTGAAAACGTTTCTTAACTATTTTCTTTATCACATCCTGGTATTATAATTTATTTGAGGCGTGAAACCCACCAACAACCCTGTAAAGCTTATGTATTTATATTCCTGATCACCCATTACATATCAAGTGACTATGTATGTATATAACACAACAGCTAGAGAATTGAAATCGGATATGTATAAAAATTGTTTTTTCTAATTTAGTTATTATAAGTTGTTTTTTTTTTTTTGATAAACATTAAGCTTATCTTATAACCGGTTGGTTTAGATGTTTCTAGCAAAATATGAAATGTTTAAGAATAAGTCGCAAGGGAACTGATTCCAAGTGCAATATAATTTATAAACGAGATGTGAGCGAGTTCCAGTTAAATGCTATTTCATATATTTAACAAAAAAATTCTTGTACAAACCGAAGAGAAGATTACAAATAACCAAAGAATACATATAGATATGTAAGGACAGAGAGGATGTGTGTGCAGTGTGTGCTGTGTGTGCTGTGTGTGCAGTGTGTGCAGTGATGAACCCAACCCGGATTGGGGCGTTTAGAGATTGGAGGAGGGGGCCGGCTTGCCGCCGTGCCACTTATAGGAGCCGGAGTACTTGAAGTTGTTCTCCTCGCACTTGCGGTCCGCCTGCTTGGGGCCCCGCGATCCGTACTGGTAGGTGATGGGCTGGACGCGCTCCCGCTCGATCTTGTGCAGAATGGGCGTGAAGATGCGCCACGCCTCGCGCAACTCGTCGGAGCGGACGAAGTCCATCTGTATCTGTATCTGTTCCCCTATCCGCATCTGCATCCGCATCTGCATCCCCTTCCAACGCCATGTCATCGGATCACCCCGGATCACAGGGAACCCGTTTGTAATTTATATTGTATTCTTTGCGATGCGTGTGAGCAGAAAGTATTTGTAACGCTGTAGTATTTTTTTATATTTTTCGTACTGTACACCAATTTAACCATCCACGCGTCAAGCAGATCGAGCTTATAATTAATATTTTAATAACCTATGTAAACCATACATACGCACATAAAGATAATTTTAAATAAGTTTTCAAATGCATTCGTTGAGTTGGCTTGCGGGCTTTTTGTAACCGTTACTCGTTGAATTCAAATGACGTTAATTATACCCGTTACTAGTAAAGTAAAAGGGTATATCGTTATTGTTGAAAAGTACGTAACAGAGAGAAGGTAGCGTGTATACATTCCTGATCAGGCTGAATAGCCTAGTCGATGCAGTTTTGTCCGATCTAATGAACGTCAAGATTTCAGAGACTACAAAATCTAGAGTTTTCGGATTAATTTCAAAATTAAATTAATTAAAGAATTCTGCCAGTTACGGGTGGTATATGTTTGTTTAGTCAACATCTATCGAAATGCCAAACAATTTCTAAATCTATCCAATCTTTTAGAAGTTGTAAGGAAAGTTTTTATTATGACGTCAATGCATATTTAAAAATCGGAGTTCATATATTTGAGGGAGCGAACAAACTGTAAGTGGGGATGCTACTCGTTCTTAGCTTGCAGTGGTAACCCTGCAGTTCGGCAGAGGGCGCCACCTCTGGGAGCTGAGTAACGGGTTTCGCAAAGGAAGCTTGAAACGTTCGGCTGATGGCGCCACCCAAAACCGATTGTTTTCTGAGGCCATACATATATTGTGTAACGAGTACGTGGCTAGGGTGTTGTTGCATGACGGTAAGGACGCACGCGCGACGGTCCAGCTGCTCCTTGTCGGCTATTTGGGGTGTGATCTTGTCCTTCGTCACGAGCCAGTAAATTCTAAAATTTTATCGAATTTTCGCGTGCAGCGACAAGTGGTATGGGGTAGGAAAATCATGTGAATCCGCGCCAGCACGAAGAGGGATTGTTATTTTTTTATTCATGGAATTCCTAAAGTTCCTCGGGTGTTCTAACGGAACCACATTTGCCCTCCCTGCCTTGGCCGTTCTTTACCGAAAACTCCCCATCACATTATCGAACGGCCCCTTTTACTGACTCGGGTTCTACCGGGGACTCATCCTAGTCGAAGGCAAACAAAAATATAACTTAGCCAATCATTATAAAGTGTATTTAAAACCTAATTAAAATTCTTAAAATTAGAGAACATATTGAAAAGATATTAAATGAGAACATAAATACATGCAATACAATTGAATTATTAAATTAATCTTCGCAGCAAGATAGCAATACGAATTTAAAACCAAAAAAAATATTACTCGAGAGCGAGAATGCGGAAATGGCAGAAAATTGCAGCGAAATCAAATTGAGTGGTTTGTTTTACTTATTTCGAAATTCATCTCACTCAAAAATTTGTGAGACAAGAGAGATGGTAAATCCGCTCCCTTTTTTTTTTTTTCTTCTCTATGGATTATTCGAACTGCTAGGTTTTGTACGGTGGGACGCAAAATAACTCACTTGATATACATATATATTTTATAAAGACATATTAATAAAACGTGATATCTGACTCACCAATATTCCGGAGATCCACCGACGAAAGCGCTTCCGTGCGTGCACCTTAGGCTGAAAATTCAAATTTCTTTATATACATATGTATGTACACGGCAAGCCCACTGCGCAAAACAACAGTAAATTTTTTTCTCTTCTTTTCCGTTGCAGTTCTTCCCTTCTTTTTTTACACATTGGCTTGTTTGTCCACCGAAAAAAAATTAAAATAAATAATGCTCAAAGCAATTCGTGCTTCTAGCTATTCATTATTAAAGCCTTTCTGGCCTTCTAACTATCACTGCACTTTCCTTTTCTTTTCCTTTTTTTTTTACTCTTTCACTCTCACTGGCTTATTTCACATAACCTAGACAACAAAAAAAAAGGAAAAAAACTTATAAAATAGCTTATAAACTATCCACTTTCAGCAAACTCCGACCGATCTTTGGCTTTCTGAACTGCCTTACATTCCGTGCAGCGACTTGACAATTATTCCGTATTGTTACTCGCCAAATTAAATTGAATTTTTGTCCGACCGTGGACCGAAGCGTCTAACCTAGATCAGCGCGCCGAAAAACTGCCTGCCAAGCTGAGCTTCGCTAAGTTACGCTCGCAGGCGGGAGATAACGAAGATGATGAAGAGGGAATATAAATATTATATATATTTAATTTGGGCAGGTGTTACAACTCGAGGTCTTTTTGACTCTTTTGCCCTCTCTTTATCCTAACTCCGCTCCCAGCGACTTAGGCGGATTAAATAATTACATATCTCAGGGGACTCTTAGGCCTTTGAGACCCCTTATGCGACGATAATTTCCCTCCCGTCGGATGACTTCGCTCTTCTTTTGGGTGTCTTGATGAATTGTTCCCTCTACAGCAACAGCCGGATCCAATATCGGATACTAAGCGCCAAACCTAAATCAAAAACCACTTTTGGGTCTGCAATCTTCACAACCATTTCTTTTTCTTACCCTTAAACAGGATTTAGCGCTATATCTAATCCGGAAATTTTACCCGTCACTTTACACAAAGCCACTATAGAGATATAATTTTCAAGCAAACTCTCACCAACTGATTAAGTACGAGACTTACAATTAAATTAAACCGCACTCGATGGCTGCCGAAAAGGGAAAGAAAGCCAGCAGCTCGTGGCTCTGGGTGGGAAGCTAAATTAGCCCCCCCAAAGAATAACTCTCCGTTTTCCGGGATCATGACAATTGACTCTGTTGCCTCTTCGTCTCCGAAAATTCTTACCCCAATCGCGGCACCCAACTGACCACTAGATGGCGACACTTTCGGTTTTTGCCTCATAGATGGCACTGCCCATCAATTTACCTGCCACAAGCGTTACAATTGATTTTTAAATTGTTTAGTTGAGTAAGGGGTATCTAATAGTCGGGGCACGCGGCTATAGCGTTTCCTCTTCTTTTGATAAGAGGGGTTTTCGGGGTAGATTTCGCATAAAAATGAGCTGAGCTCTTCGGAGCTTCGCATTCGCGATCGTTGTTTAGTTGAGTAGATCGCTTTGAAGCAATCGGTAAGCTTGGTTTTGAAAGGCTCGCAGCCTCTATATTTAACGTTGTGAATGCGTTCGGCGTTATCAGTGTACTGTTCTGAGAATTCGAAAGCCATATATACAGCTGAAGTTATAATAATAGTAGTGGAACAATGTTAAGTGCTCAAAAACTCTTTAGGGCGTAGGAAAACGTTTTAATTTAATTTTAAGTTACCAACGAACAAAATAAGGATTAAAAACTTTTTATATTGTGTTGTGTTAGATTTTGAAGAAAAATTAAGAATTGAGTAAAAATACTCAATACAAAATACTCTACTAAATAATTTTCAACAAATTTAAGAAAATAAACAAAAATCCTCGTTTATTTGCATTTTGTGTTGGAATACAAATATTTGTAATTTCGAACTTATTTGAAAAGCTTTTCCAAAACTAGAAGTTATTGCTATTTCCATGAGCTGAAAAACTACTATTTTCATGACCGCAGCTGCATGTACATACATATGTATAAAGCGTGTGGTTTGTTTTTATGGTTTTCGGAATTGTTTTTGGAAACTCTTGTAATAAATCTTAATTTTAATTCCAGAATTTGTATAACTATACCTCGTAAGCGATAAGAGGCAACATACATATATGGGCTTGAGGACGTGCGTGAGGTTGTGCTGGACAGTTGTGCCGACGATACTGTTTATGCTTATCCAATGTGGCCGGGCGGAGGAGGATGTGGTCTTGCCCTGCGAGATGACCGCTTCGAGCTCCAATCAAACGTTGTGGCGGGAAGGCGGCGACGTGGACCTGTTCTGCGAGTGTAGCAACGCTAGAAAGGGTTTGAGTTTAAAGGAGCATTTGACAATGAGTTTCGACGGGCACGAGGTGGACATATCGGAGGTGGACAACAGTGGAACTACCTTTAAGGGGAAACCTGGACTTTTCACCCAGAACGCGCAAGTAATGTTCGAGTGTTATTTTGATACGTTCTTACTTGATGGATTTTACGTCAAAGTGTTCGCCAAGTTGAATGTGACGGACTTTGAGTGCCGATACCGATACCATGGGAAAGTTAAGATAAGTTGCACCTTCACCCGATCGGACGGCGCTAACTTCTGGGCCTTAACCCACTATGAGCTTATGGCGGACAACACTCCATTTGCCTGCAGTGTAAACAAGAATGACGCCACGAAAATTCAGTGCACTGTGGATATCAACGGGAACGACGTAATACCCGATAGTATGATTTTCAGACTCACCATGCTCGACACCCTGGGCAACCAGACAGAGGAGTTCAATCGGACCAAGGACGAGATGACGGAGCTGGAGTGACCAGCGGATCGTTACATCAATAATACTTGCGTTACGTGGAACAATATACAGTGACGAACTTAATTATTGGCACAGTTGACATGTATGGCTTAAACATAGCTCTTCTCCACTAAAAACTAAGATAATTAACCGAAACAAATTTTATTCACATATATTGATAAATTTACAACAAGACCAACTTTACTTCATTCGTCTATCACTTTTCTAGTAATTATAAAAATTAAAATTATAAAAAACACCTGATTTTCTTTGAACAAAATTATTGGCACACTTAACCAAAAATGATAAATATAAACATAAAGAATCGTTTAAAAATAAAAATTAATATTTTGTGTCTAAGCCCTTATGCTTAATGACTGCCTCCAAGCGCCTGGGAATCGAAGAAACAAAGTTTTGGGTAGTTTCTGAACCAATATTGTGCCACTCCTCCACCAGTGCCACCTTCAGCTTTTCCTTTATGGATATAGCTCGGTTTTTTACCCGTCAATGTAATTCTTCCCACAAATGTTCGATAGGACTTAGGATCTGGAGATTGGAGCGGATGCCGCAAAGTATGTTTTACATAACGTGCGAGCCACATACGGACATCATAAGCCGTAAGCTTTGGGTCATTGTCGTGTTGAAAAGTGAATGTGGCTGGTAAGTTCAACTTTTCGGCACTTTTTTTAGATTTCTGTTAAGGATATCTAAATAATACTTTTTATACCCTTGCAAAGGGTGTTATAATTTCAGTCAGAAGCTTGCAACGCAGTGAAGGAGACATTTCCGACCCTATAAAGTTGTGACGTTAAGGAGCGCACAGAATAAACATAATATATAAGAATAAACAAATAATAAACATAAGCAGTAGTTATAGATTAAGATAGTAGTAAAATGCAAGAAGCAAGAAGTTAAGTAGGCAAGAAGCCGAAATAAATATAAGTTAAAACGGGAATATTCAAATTTAAATATCCGGGCGGACACGCCAAACAAAAGAAACGGTCACACTGACCAACGGCCACCACAAGCCACACGCGTTATGGCACTGGCTATAGGATTAGGAAACTACAGTAACACTAATTGTGACTGGCAAGGGCCGGGAGGGATATAAAAAGGGCGCAGGTGGCCCATACAGATTCACTCTGTGGCCGACGGCGAGCGGAGAAGGTAAGGTTTACGCATTGGTGTGAGCAAACTTCTCTGGGAGTTAACTGCGGAGTCTTTTTCGGGATAGGGTCTAGTACCCCGTCCGCCCAATACATTGTAGTTAGCTTTTTCCCCCCTTCCCCTTCTTCCCAACCTCCAAAAGACCGGCCGTCATCAGTGATATCCGACCTTTGGAATTCCTTCTCCACCCCCCTTAAGACCGGCCGTCATCAGTGATATCCGACCTTTGGGATCCCACACCCCAAGACCGACCCCTCGTGGTTGCGACACGTCTCATACCCTGGTAGACCCAAGCGGCCTCCACCCTCTGCTCGAAACTGGTAGACCCAAGCGGCCTCCAAACTGTCTCATCCTCATAGACATAAGCATAGCCAAGAGGGACGACGTGACCTTTTCTTTCTCACCCACAGGACGCCCGCTGCCACCGCCGTCGGCCGCGACGACGACGCCGAACGACGACGCAGAAGTCCCCGGCATCCTACGAGCGGACGAGCCCCCTGCAGCACGAACTCTATCTATCTTATGTACACGATAATTCTTAATAAACGCATACCGATTCGATTTCACTGAACCCCGCTTACGTGTCATACTCTGGGAACCGGGTCGAACTCTTCCAGCAACCACTCCTGACATAAATAAATGTTGGAACGAACACCTGGACACCGTTGAGCTACCTCAGCAAAGCAGGATCGTTACATGGCGCCCGAACAGGTTAAAGTGGTTGCAAAGAGAAAGACACCGGTACAGAGTTATGTCGACGTGGGTGTACCTAGCAACAAAGGCGGATCTGATCGAGTACGCAAGGGAGTTCGGATTAGACGCAACAGGAAAAGTGGAGGAGCTAAGACTATCTGTCTATCAGCATTCGCAAGGAACCCAAACCACACGGAGACGATCCGGCGAAGACTGAGAGAGCTGGCAGAGAAGCACAAGAAGGAAAAAGGAGCAACGGATCAGAGCAGCACACCAGCGGAGGAACTCAACACAATAGCGAACCAGATCGGCCTACTGGTGAAACAAATCAACACCCCACCAGGGCAGGAATCAGAAACTTCAGACTTGCCGGACAGGAAGGAACAAAAGGTAGAAGTGGAAATCCTAAACCGAGTAAGGAGTTGGGGGATGCGCTACCAAGGAACAACCAATCCCTTGGAATTCCTCAGCAAGATGGAGGAATGGGTCAAAGGCTACGGCATACACAAAGATGCCCTGATCCAGACGATGTCATTCATCCTAGAAGGAGTAGCAGTGGACTGGTGGAACACCACACCAAGCCAGATAAGGACATGGGAGGACCTCAGGGAGGAACTGTTAGAATACATTTTGCCACCAAGATATCAGGAACAGTTGGAAACACAAATAACGCAACTACGGCAGCGAGAAACAGAGCTAACAAGGGAATACGCAATGAACCTGAGGAAATTGATGAGATTCACAGAGTATTTAGAAGAGACAAAGTTGGACCGGATATACAGAAACTGCAGAAGCAAAATAAAGCTCTACACGAGACGGTCGGGATTTAAAACAGAATTCCTGAGGTTGGCAGAAGAGGTGGAAGAAATAGAAACAATGGAAGGAACCAACAGACCAATAACAACAGGAAACCAGAACTTGACGTCGGAAATCTGCATGAGATGCGGAGGAACAGGGCACGCCGCAAGAACCTGCACAAACCCCCCAAGACTGTTTTGCTGGGTATGCGGCAGAAATGGAACAAGAACAACGGACTGTTGCAGAGCTGGAGCGGAAAACGCCAGAGGCCTGAGCAGATAACGCTGGCGGCTCAGGACCAAAAACAAACACCAGCTACATGGGAACAATTAAGTTGTGACGGATTTCAAGTATTGGCCACAGTAAAAATCGGACCAGTAAAAGCAAAAGGAACAGTGGACACAGGAGCTTCACGGAGTGTGATCAGCAAGAGAAGATACAACGAATTGAGAAAATATGGAAAATGGAGGAAGGGAAGGACAGAAATAACATTGGCGAACGGATCAAAGCAAAGATCGTATGGAGATTTTACAACCAACATACAGTTCGCAGGAGAAGAATTCGAGTTGGACTTTCTCATCTTAAATCAGGTGACAGGAGGAATGTTATTAGGAATGGACTTTCTGGCCAAAACTCGCACAAGAATCCAATGCGGCAACCTGGAGTTAGATATCACCGAGGCAGTGGCCGACAGGAATGTTCAGGAGCAACAGGTAGAACGGGCAAGGACACCGTCGCCAGACCGGGACATCCTGGAGCTGCACCCGAAGGACACGGAGGCGCAAGCGGCGGAGGCACAGGCAGAGGGAGCGGCAGCAGGCCATGAGACGGAGGCACGCCCAGACTCACAAGCACCACAAGCGGAGTTATTCACGAACGAGATGGGGTGGATCTTACCAAGGGATGCAACGATGTCCGCCAGGGCGGTCGACGAGATTAAAGAAAGATGGAACAGAAGGAGAAAGGGAAAGCAGCAGAGCATATTGGTAAAAGACGAGCGAAAGACGTGGAAGGTTATTTTTGGAAGGGGAACCCGAATTACTATAAAACACTTCGTGCCTACTCAAAAGCGGGGGAGGTGTGACGCTCAGGAGCGCACAGAATAAACATAATATATAAGATTAACAAATAATAAACATAAGCAGTAGTTATAGATTAAGATATTAGTAAAATTCAAGAAGCAAGAAGTTAAGTAGGCAAGAAGCCGAAATAAATATAAGTTATAACGGAAATATTCAAATTTAAATATCCGGGCGAACGCGCCAAACAAAAGAAACGGTCACACTGACCAACGGCCACCACAAGCCACACGCGTTATGGCACTGGGTATAGGATTAGGAAACTACAGTAACACTAATTGTGACTGGCAAGGGCCGGGAGGGATATAAAAAGGGCGCCAGTGGCCCATACAGATTCACTCTGCGGCCGACGGCGAGCGGAGAAGGTAAGGCTTACGCATTGGTGTGAGTAACTGCGGAGTCTTTTTCGGGATAGGGTCTAGTACCCCTTCCGCCCAATACATTGTAGTTAGCTTTTTCCCCCCCTTCCCCTTCTTCTCACCCTCCAAAAGACCGGCCGTCATCAGCGATATCCGACCTTTGGGATCCCACACCCCAAGACCGACCCCTCGTGGTTGCGACACGTCTCATACCCTGGTAGACCCAAGCGGCCTCCACCCTCTTCTCGGAACTGGTAGACCCAAGCGGCCTCCACCCTCTGCTCGAAACTGGTAGACCCAAGCGGCCTCCAAACTGTCTCATCCTCATAGACATAAGCATAGCCAAGAGGGACGACGTGACCTTTTCTTTCTCACCCACAGGACGCCCGCTGCCACCGCCGTCGGCCGCGACGACGACGCCGAACGACGACGCAGAAGTCCCCGGCATCCTACGAACGGACGAGCCCCCTGCAGCACGAACTCTATCTATCTTATGTACACGATAATTCTTAATAAACGCATACCGATTCGATTTCACTGAACCCCGCTTACGTGTCATACTCTGGGAACCGGGTCGAACTCTTCCAGCAACCACTCCTGACATAAATAAATGTTGGAACGAACACCTGGACACCGTTGAGCTACCTCAGCAAAGCAGGATCGTTACAAAGTATAATATTCTTGATCAGCATCACTAGGAGAGTCGATCTAGCCATGTCCGTCTGTCCGTCCGTCTATCCGTTTGTTTCTACGCAAACTAGTCTCTCAGTTTTAAAGCTATATACGCAAGTAAATCATAATTTTATTGTTTTCAAATATGTTTAATTTTTTCAATAGCTGCAAGGGTATATGTACGTCGGCTTGACCAAGTATGGGAGCTATATGCTATAGTCGTCCGATTTTGATAAAATTTAAGCCGTAATTCAGAAATATTATCCATTACTATATCTCGAAGAACAAAAAAAAAATATTAAAAAACAGCATAGTTATAATTTTTTTTATTTATTTTTCCGATTGTTCCTATGGGGGCTATATGCTATAGTCCTTCGATCCGGCTTGTTCCGACTTATATACAAGTATTACCTGCAAAAGAAAGACAACTTTTGGAAAAGTTTCATGAATATAGCTTTAAAAATGTGAGACTAGTTTGCGTAGAAACGGACGGACAGACAGTTTTTTCTTGTGCAGCTATAATTATTAAGATATTAAAGTTTTTTTACAAGTATGTATGAAAATTATAATAACGTTTTTTGCTTATCCTCTCCATTGTTCCAACAGCAAATTGGGCAACAGTACCGACAGAACTTCCGCGGTATTCAAGGAATGGGACTACGAAAACCCGGCCACAGTGTTTGTGGCGAGCAGGAACATAAAGGGCATTTCGGTGAACAGGAGCCGACTGGAGGTGCCCGAACTGTCCGATGCCATGGACCGAAGGTGCCAGCACTTGGCCCATGACGACAACACCCAAATCCTCAGCTGGACAAAGCCCGTGGAGGAGAAAAATCTCGAAGGCTACTTTGTCTACTGGTGCAACAAAACCACATGCCAGGCGGACTCAACCACAGAGCTGAAGTACGATTTATCCGACATGAGTCCGAATCGAATGGCCGTGGCGGCCAATTATGGTGCTGACAAGAGTGGCGGCATGAAGTGGTTGCACGAGGACCAAGTGGGGGTCACCGGCAGGATCCGGTATGTGGAGGGCATCCTTGCCCTGCTGGTGCTCGGTGTCTTCTTCCTCGGCGTCCGGAAGCTTCGGAATATGGCGAAGATCGATGTTAAAGTGCCCCCGGGAGTGCTGATGCCTAGGGCGCCCTTCGACCCTGACCAGTCTCCGCTCATACAACCCTATCAGGGAATTCCGCATCCGAGAATGCTCTATTCAGACCTCAAGAAGACGGAACCCCCCGACGATTACCCCGATGTGCAGATTGAAGTGGAGTTCGAGGTGGAGGTGGAGGAGGGGGAGGAGTCACAGGAACCAGAGCCAATGGCACTGCCCTGCGGATATGTGTCCAATGGATATGTGACCATGAACACAGCAAATCCCATATTGAGCGATGGATACATTAAGCCACCGCCTCCGCGATGACATTTAGTCTTGTGGCGTTACAGTACTTACGCATCGCTATCAATCAATCAATCATATTCACGCAATCATCCAGAGTTCCGCTGAAAACGTTTCTTAACTATTTTCTTTATCACATCCTGGTATTATAATTTATTTGAGGCGTGAAACCCACCAACAACCCTGTAAAGCTTATGTATTTATATTCCTGATCACCCATTACATATCAAGTGACTATGTATGTATATAACACAACAGCTAGAGAATTGAAATCGGATATGTATAAAAATTGTTTTTTCTAATTTAGATATTATAAGTATTTTTTTTTAAACCGGTTGGTTTAGTTGTTTCTAGCAAAATAAGAAATGTTTAAGAATAAGTCGCAAGGGAACTGATTCCAAGTGCACTATAATTTATAAACAAGATGTGAGCGAGTTCCAGTTAAATGCTATTTCATATATTTAACAAAAAAATTCTTGTACAAACCGAAGAGAAGATTACAAATAACCAAAGAATACATATAGATATGTAAGGACAGAGAGGATGTGTGTGCTGTGTGTGCAGTGTGTGCTGTGTGTGCAGTGTGTGCTGTGTGTTTTTTTTTTTTTTTTTTTTTTATCAGTTGGTTTTATTGTCAGAATATGGTATTTACAAAGATTAGGGAAGAAGTAATAAAGATAAAGTAGGGTAAATAGATATAGCTGTGAGTTGGTTTATTCCGCATCTGCATCTGCATCCGCATCTGCATCCCCTTCCAACGCCATGTCATCGGATCACCCCGGCTCACAGGGAACCCGGACAAAAGGAACCTAGAAACTAGCAACTTGAACCTGGAACCTGGAACCTGCAACTTGGGCAGCTGTTTAATAGTAATTAGTGGAAACTCCTTATCCTCGGACAAATGCAGTTTCTTCGTTTGTAATTTATATTGTATTCTTTGCGATGCGTGTGAGCAGAAAGTATTTGTAACGCTGTAGTATTTTTTTATATTTTTCGTACTGTACACCAACTTAACCATCCACGCGTCAAGCAGATCGAGCTTATAATTAATATTTTAATAACCTATGTAAACCATACATACGCACATAAAGATAATTTTAAATAAGTTTTCAAATGCATTCGTTGAGTTGGCTTGCGGGCTTTTTGTAACCGTTACTCGTTGAATTCAAATGACGTTAATTATACCCGTTACTTGTAAAGTAAAAGGGTATATCGTTATTGTTGAAAAGTACGTAACAGAGAGAAGGTAGCGTGTATACATTCCTGATCAGGCTGAAAAGCCTAGTCGATGCAGTTTTGTCCGATCTAATGAACGTCGAGATTTCAGAGACTACAAAATCCAGAGTTTTCGGATTAATTTCAAAATTAAATTAATTAAAGAATTCTGCCAGTTACGGGTGGTATATGTTTGTTTAGTCAACATCTATCGAAATGCCAAAGTTTTTAAAAATGACGTCAATGCATATTTAAAAATCGGAGTTCATATATTTGAGAGAGCGAACAAACTGTAAGTGGGGATGCTACTCGTTCTTAGCTTGCAGTGTTAACCCTGCAGTTCGGCAGAGGGCGCCACCTCTGGGAGCTGAGTAACGGGTTTCGCAAAGGAAGCTTGAAACGTTCGGCAGATGGCGCCACCCAAAACCGATTGTTTTCTGAGGCCATACATATATTGTGTAACGAGTACGTGGCTAGGGTGTTGTTGCATGACGGTAAGGACGCACGCGCGACGGTCCAGCTGCTCCTTGTCGGCTATTTGGGGTGTGATCTTGTCCTTCGTCACGAGCCAGTAAATTCTAAAATTTTATCGAATTTTCGCGTGCAGCGACAAGTGGTATGGGGTAGGAAAATCATGTGAATCCGCGCCAGCACGAAGAGGGATAGTTATTTTTTTATTCATGGAATTCCTAAAGTTCCTCGGGTGTTCTAACGGAACCACATTTGCCCTCCCTGCCTTGGCCGTTCTTTACCGAAAACTCCCCATCACATTATCAAACGGCCCCTTCTACTGACTCGGGTTCTACCGGGGACTCATCCTAGTCGAAGGCAAACAAAAATAGCCAACTAGCCAATCATTATAAAGTATATTTAAAACCTAATTAAAATTCTTAAAATTAGAGAACATATTGAAAAGATATTAAATGAGAACAAAAATACATGCAATACAATTGAATTATTAAATTAATCTCCGCAGCAAGATAGCAATACGAATTTAAAACCAAAAAAATATTACTCGTGAGCGAGAATTCAGAAATGGCAGAAAATTGCAGCGAAATCAAATTGAGTGGTTTGTTTTACTTATTTCGAAATTCATCTCACTCAAAAATTTGAGAGACAAGAGAGATGGTAAATCCGATCCCTTTTTTTTTTTTCTTCTCTATGGATTATTCGAACTGCTAGGTTTTGTACGGTGGGACGCAAAATAACTCACTTGATATATATATTTTATAAAGACATATTAATAAAACGTGATATCTGACTCACCAACATTCCGGAGATCCACCGACGAAAGCGCTTCCGTGGGTTCACCTTAGACTGAAAATTCAAATTTCTTTATATATGTACACTGCAAGCCCACTGCGCAAAACAACAGTACATTTTTTTCTCTTCTTTTCCGTTGCAGTTCTTCCCTTCTTTTTTTACACATTGGCTTGTTTGTCCACCGAAAAAAATTAAAATAAATAATGCTCAAAGCAATTCGTGCTTCTAGCTATTCATTATTAAAGCCTTTCTGGCCTTCTAACTATCACTGCACTTTCCTTTTCTTTTCCTTTTTTTTTTTTACTCTTTCACTCTCACTGGCTTATTTCACATAACCTAGACAACAAAAAAAAAGGAAAAAAACTTATAAAATAGCTTATAAACTATCCACTTTCAGCAAACTCCGACCGATCTTTGGCTTGCTGAACTGCCTTACATTCCGTGCAGCGACTTGACAATTATTCCGTATTGTTACTCGCCAAATTAAATTGAATTTTTGTCCGACCGTGGACTGAAGCGTCTAACCTAGATCAGCGCGCCGAAAAACTGCCTGCCAAGCTGAGCTTCGCTAAGTTACGCTCGCAGGCGGGAGATAACGAAGATGATGAAGAGGGAATATAAATATTATATATATTTAATTTGGGCAGGTGTTACAACTCGAGTTCTTTTTGACTCTTTTGCCCTCTCTTTATCCTAACTCCGCTCCCAGCGACTTAGGCGGATTAAATAATTATCTCAGGGAACTCTTAGGCCTTTGAGACCCCTTATGCGACGATAATTTCCCTCCCGTCGGATGACTTCGCTCTTCTTTTGGGTGTCTTGATGAATTGTTCCCTCTACAGCAACAGCCGGATCCAATATCGGATACTAAACGCCAAACCTAAATCAAAAACCACTTTTGGGTCTGCAATCTTCACAACCATTTCTTTTTCTTACCCATAAACAGGATTTAGCGCTATATCTAATCCGGAAATTCTACCCGTCACTTTACACAAGGCCACTATAGAGATTGATTTTCAAGCAAACTCTCACCAACTGATTAAGTACGAGACTTACAATTAAATTAAACCGCACTCGATGGCTGCCGAAAATGGAAAGAAAGCCAGCAGCTCGTGGCTCTGGGTGGGAAGCTAAATTAGCCCCCCCAAAGAATAACTCTCCGTTTTCCGGGATCATGACAATTGACTCTGTTGCCTCTTCGTCTCCGAAAATTCTTACCCCAATCGCGGCACCCAACTGACCACTAGATGGCGACACTTTCGGTTTTTGCCTCATAGATGGCACTGCCCATCAATTTACCTGCCACAAGCGTTACAATTGATTTTTAAATTGTTTAGTTGAGTAAGGGGTATCTAATAGTCGGGGCACGCGGCTATAGCGTTTCCTCTTCTTTTGATAAGAGGGGTTTTCGGGGTAGATTTCGCATAAAAATGAGCTGAGCTCTTCGGAGATTCCCATTCGCGATCGTTGTTTAGTTGAGTAGATCGCTTTGAAGCAATCGGTAAGCTTGGTTTTGAAAGGCTCGCAGCCTCTATATTTAACGTTGTGAATGCGTTCGGCGTTATCAGTGTACTGTTCTGAGAATTCGAAAGCCATATATACAGCTGAAGTTATAATAATAGTAGTGGAACAATGTAAAGTGCTCAAAAACTCTTTAGGGCGTAGGAAAACGTTTTAATTTAATGTTAAGTTACCAACGAACAAAATAAGGATTAAAATCTATTTATATTGTGTTGTAATAGATTTTAAAGAAAAATTAAGAATTGAGTAAATCTCTAAAATGTACTTTTTAAAATACTCTAGTGAATAATTTTCAACAAATTTAAGAAAATAAACAAAAATCTTCGTTCATCTGCATTTTGTGTTGGAATACAAATATTTGTAATTTCGAACTTATTTGAAAAGCTTTTCCAAAACTAGAAGTTATTGCTATTTCCATGAGCTGAAAAACTACTATTTTCATGACCGCAGCTGCATGTACATACATATGTATAAAGCGTGTGGTTTGTTTTAATGGTTTTCGGAATTGTTTTTGGAAACTCTTGTAATAAATCTTAATTTTAATTCCAGAATTTGTATAACTATACCTCGTAAGCGATAAGAGGCAACATACATATATGGGCTTGAGGACGTGCGTGAGGTTGTGCTGGACAGCTGTGCCGACGATACTGTTTATTCTAATCCAATGTGGCCGGGCGGAGGAGGAGGTGGTCTTGCCCTGCGAGATGACCGCTTCGAGCTCCAACCAAACGTGGTGGCGGGAAGGCGGCGACGTGGACCTGTTCTGCGGGTGTAGCAACGCTAGAAAGGATTTGAGTTTAAAGGAGCATTTGACAATGAGTTTCGACGGGCACGAGGTGGACATATCGGAGGTGGACAACAGTGGAACTACCTTTAAGGGGAAACCTGGACTTTTCACCCAGAACGCGCAAGTAATGTTCGAGTGTTATTTTGATACGTACTTAATTGGTGGATTTTACGTCAAAGTGTTCGCCAAGTTGAATGTGACGGACTTTGAGTGCCGATACCGATACCATGGGAGAGTTGAGATAAGTTGCACCTTCACCCGATCGGACGACGCTAACTTCTGGGACTTAACCCACTATGAGCTTATGGCGGAGAACACTCCATTTGCCTGCAGTGTAAACAAGAATGACGCCACGCAAATTCAGTGCACTGTGGATATCAACGGGAACGACCTAATACCCGATAGTATGATTTTCAGACTCACCATGCTCGACACCCTGGGCAACCAGACAGAGGAGTTCAATCGGACCAAGGACGAGATGACGGAGCTGGAGTGACCAGCGGATCGTTACATCAATAATACTTGCGTTACGTGGAACAATATACAGTGACGAACTTAATTATTGGCACAGTTGACATGTATGACTTTAACATAGCTCTTCTTCACTAAAAACTAAGATAATTAACCGAAACAAATTTAATTCATATATATTGATAAATTTACAACAAGACCAACTTTACTTCATTCTTCTATCACTTTTCTAGTAATTATAAAAATTAAAATTATAAAAAACACCTGATTTTCTTTGAACAAAATTATTGGCACACTTAACCAAAAATGATAAATATAAACATAAAGAATCGTTTAAAAATAAAAATTAATATTTTGTGTCTAAGCCCTTATGCTTAATGACTGCCTCCAAGCGCCTGGGAATCGAAGAAACAAAGTTTTGGGTAGTTTCTGAACCAATATTGTGCCACTCCTCCACCAGTGCCACCTTCAGCTTTTCCTTTATGGATATAGCTCGGTTTTTTACCCGTCAATCTAATTCTTCCCACAAATGTTCGATAGGACTTAGGATCTGGAGATTGGAGCGGATGCCGCAAAGTATGTTTTACATAACGTGCGAGCCACATACGGACATCATAAGTCGTAAGCTTTGGGTCATTGTCGTGTTGAAAAGTGAATGTGGCTGGTAAGTTCAACTTTTCGGCACTTTTTTTAGATTTCTGTTAAGGATATCTAAATAATACTTTTTATACCCTTGCAAAGGGTGTTATAATTTCAGTCAGAAGCTTGCAACGCAGTGAAGGAGACATTTCCGACCCTATAAAGTTGTGACGTTAAGGAGCGCACAGAATAAACATAATATATAAGAATAAACAAATAATAAACATAAGCAGTAGTTATAGATTAAGATAGTAGTAAAATGCAAGAAGCAAGAAGTTAAGTAGGCAAGAAGCCGAAATAAATATAAGTTAAAACGGGAATATTCAAATTTAAATATCCGGGCGGACACGCCAAACAAAAGAAACGGTCACACTGACCAACGGCCACCACAAGCCACACGCGTTATGGCACTGGCTATAGGATTAGGAAACTACAGTAACACTAATTGTGACTGGCAAGGGCCGGGAGGGATATAAAAAGGGCGCAGGTGGCCCATACAGATTCACTCTGTGGCCGACGGCGAGCGGAGAAGGTAAGGTTTACGCATTGGTGTGAGCAAACTTCTCTGGGAGTTAACTGCGGAGTCTTTTTCGGGATAGGGTCTAGTACCCCGTCCGCCCAATACATTGTAGTTAGCTTTTTCCCCCCTTCCCCTTCTTCCCAACCTCCAAAAGACCGGCCGTCATCAGTGATATCCGACCTTTGGGATCCCACACCCCAAGACCGACCCCTCGTGGTTGCGACACGTCTCATACCCTGGTAGACCCAAGCGGCCTCCACCCTCTTCTCGGAACTGGTAGACCCAAGCGGCCTCCACCCTCTGCTCGAAACTGGTAGACCCAAGCGGCCTCCAAACTGTCTCATCCTCATAGACATAAGCATAGCCAAGAGGGACGACGTGACCTTTTCTTTCTCACCCACAGGACGCCCGCTGCCACCGCCGTCGGCCGCGACGACGACGCCGAACGACGACGCAGAAGTCCCCGGCATCCTACGAGCGGACGAGCCCCCTGCAGCACGAACTCTATCTATCTTATGTACACGATAATTCTTAATAAACGCATACCGATTCGATTTCACTGAACCCCGCTTACGTGTCATACTCTGGGAACCGGGTCGAACTCTTCCAGCAACCACTCCTGACATAAATAAATGTTGGAACGAACACCTGGACACCGTTGAGCTACCTCAGCAAAGCAGGATCGTTACATGGCGCCCGAACAGGTTAAAGTGGTTGCAAAGAGAAAGACACCGGTACAGAGTTATGTCGACGTGGGTGTACCTAGCAACAAAGGCGGATCTGATCGAGTACGCAAGGGAGTTCGGATTAGACGCAACAGGAAAAGTGGAGGAGCTAAGACTATCTGTCTATCAGCATTCGCAAGGAACCCAAACCACACGGAGACGATCCGGCGAAGACTGGGAGAGCTGGCAGAGAAGCACAAGAAGGAAAAAGGAGCAACGGATCAGAGCAGCACACCAGCGGAGGAACTCAACACAATAGCGAACCAGATCGGCCTACTGGTGAAACAAATCAACACCCCACCAGGGCAGGAATCAGAAACTTCAGACTTGCCGGACAGGAAGGAACAAAAGGTAGAAGTGGAAATCCTAAACCGAGTAAGGAGTTGGGGGATGCGCTACCAAGGAACAACCAATCCCTTGGAATTCCTCAGCAAGATGGAGGAATGGGTCAAAGGCTACGGCATACACAAAGATGCCCTGATCCAGACGATGTCATTCATCCTAGAAGGAGTAGCAGTGGACTGGTGGAACACCACACCAAGCCAGATAAGGACATGGGAGGACCTCAGGGAGGAACTGTTAGAATACATTTTGCCACCAAGATATCAGGAACAGTTGGAAACACAAATAACGCAACTACGGCAGCGAGAAACAGAGCTAACAAGGGAATACGCAATGAACCTGAGGAAATTGATGAGATTCACAGAGTATTTAGAAGAGACAAAGTTGGACCGGATATACAGAAACTGCAGAAGCAAAATAAAGCTCTACACGAGACGGTCGGGATTTAAAACAGAATTCCTGAGGTTGGCAGAAGAGGTGGAAGAAATAGAAACAATGGAAGGAACCAACAGACCAATAACAACAGGAAACCAGAACTTGACGTCGGAAATCTGCATGAGATGCGGAGGAACAGGGCACGCCGCAAGAACCTGCACAAACCCCGCAAGACTGTTTTGCTGGGTATGCGGCAGAAATGGAACAAGAACAACGGACTGTTGCAGAGCTGGAGCGGAAAACGCCAGAGGCCTGAGCAGATAACGCTGGCGGCTCAGGACCAAAAACAAACACCAGCTACATGGGAACAATTAAGTTGTGACGGATTTCAAGTATTGGCCACAGTAAAAATCGGACCAGTAAAAGCAAAAGGAACAGTGGACACAGGAGCTTCACGGAGTGTGATCAGCAAGAGAAGATACAACGAATTGAGAAAATATGGAAAATGGAGGAAGGGAAGGACAGAAATAACATTGGCGAACGGATCAAAGCAAAGATCGTATGGAGATTTTACAACCAACATACAGTTCGCAGGAGAAGAATTCGAGTTGGACTTTCTCATCTTAAATCAGGTGACAGGAGGAATGTTATTAGGAAACTCGCACAAGAATCCAATGCGGCAACCTGGAGTTAGATATCACCGAGGCAGTGGCCGACAGGAATGTTCAGGAGCAACAGGTAGAACGGGCAAGGACACCGTCGCCAGACCGGGACATCCTGGAGCTGCACCCGAAGGACACGGAGGCGCAAGCGGCGGAGGCACAGGCAGAGGGAGCGGCAGCAGGCCATGAGACGGAGGCACGCCCAGACTCACAAGCACCACAAGCGGAGTTATTCACGAACGAGATGGGGTGGATCTTACCAAGGGATGCAACGATGTCCGCCAGGGCGGTCGACGAGATTAAAGAAAGATGGAACAGAAGGAGAAAGGGAAAGCAGCAGAGCATATTGGTAAAAGACGAGCGAAAGACGTGGAAGGTTATTTTTGGAAGGGGAACCCGAATTACTATAAGACACTTCGTGCCTACTCAAAAGCGGGGGAGGTGTGACGCTCAGGAGCGCACAGAATAAACATAATATATAAGAATAAACAAATAATAAACATAAGCAGTAGTTATAGATTAAGATATTAGTAAAATTCAAGAAGCAAGAAGTTAAGTAGGCAAGAAGCCGAAATAAATATAAGTTATAACGGAAATATTCAAATTTAAATATCCGGGCGAACGCGCCAAACAAAAGAAACGGTCACACTGACCAACGGCCACCACAAGCCACACGCGTTATGGCACTGGGTATAGGATTAGGAAACTACAGTAACACTAATTGTGACTGGCAAGGGCCGGGAGGGATATAAAAAGGGCGCCAGTGGCCCATACAGATTCACTCTGCGGCCGACGGCGAGCGGAGAAGGTAAGGCTTACGCATTGGTGTGAGTAACTGCGGAGTCTTTTTCGGGATAGGGTCTAGTACCCCGTCCGCCCAATACATTGTAGTTAGCTTTTTCCCCCCCTTCCCCTTCTTCTCACCCTCCAAAAGACCGGCCGTCATCAGCGATATCCGACCTTTGGGATCCCACACCCCAAGACCGACCCCTCGGCGACACGTCTCATACCCTGGTAGACCCAAGCGGCCTCCACCCTCTTCTCGGAGCTGGTAGACCCAAGCGGCCTCCACCCTCTGCTCGAAACTGGTAGACCCAAGCGGCCTCCAAACTGTCTCATCCTCATAGACATAAGCATAGCCAAGAGGGACGACGTGACCTTTTCTTTCTCACCCACAGGACGCCCGCTGCCACCGCCGTCGGCCGCGACGACGACGCCGAACGACGACGCAGAAGTCCCCGGCATCCTACGAGCGGACGAGCCCCCTGCAGCACGAACTCTATCTATCTTATGTACACGATAATTCTTAATAAACGCATACCGATTCGATTTCACTGAACCCCGCTTACGTGTCATACTCTGGGAACCGGGTCGAACTCTTCCAGCAACCACTCCTGACATAAATAAATGTTGGAACGAACACCTGGACACCGTTGAGCTACCTCAGCAAAGCAGGATCGTTACAAAGTATAATATTCTTGATCAGCATCACTAGGAGAGTCGATCTAGCCATGTCCGTCTGTCCGTCCGTCTATCCGTTTGTTTCTACGCAAACTAGTCTCTCAGTTTTAAAGCTATATACGCAAGTAAATCATAATTTTATTGTTTTCAAATATGTTTAATTTTTTCAATAGCTGCAAGGGTATATGTACGTCGGCTTGACCAAGTATGGGAGCTATATGCTATAGTCGTCCGATTTTGATAAAATTTAAGCCGTAATTCAGAAATATTATCCATTACTATATCTCGAAGAACAAAAAAAAATATTAAAAAACAGCATAGTTATAATTTTTTTTATTTATTTTTCCGATTGTTCCTATGGGGGCTATATGCTATAGTCCTTCGATCCGGCTTGTTCCGACTTATATACAAGTATTACCTGCAAAAGAAAGACAACTTTTGGAAAAGTTTCATGAATATAGCTTTAAAAATGTGAGACTAGTTTGCGTAGAAACGGACGGACAGACAGTTTTTTCTTGTGCAGCTATAATTATTAAGATATTAAAGTTTTTTTACAAGTATGTATGAAAATTATAATAAAGTTTTTTGCTTATCCTCTCCATTGTTCCAACAGCAAATTGGGCAACAGTACCGACAGAACTTCCGCGGTATTCAAGGAATGGGACTACGAAAACCCGGCCACAGTGTTTGTGGCGAGCAGGAACATAAAGGGCATTTCGGTGAACAGGAGCCGACTGGAGGTGCCCGAACTGTCCGATGCCATGGACCGAAGGTGCCAGCACTTGGCCCATGACGACAACACCCAAATCCTCAGCTGGACAAAGCCCGTGGAGGAGAAAAATCTCGAAGGCTACTTTGTCTACTGGTGCAACAAAACCACATGCCAGGCGGACTCAACCACAGAGCTGAAGTACGATTTATCCGACATGAGTCCGAATCGAATGGCCGTGGCGGCCAATTATGGTGCTGACAAGAGTGGCGGCATGAAGTGGTTGCACGAGGACCAAGTGGGGGTCACCGGCAGGATCCGGTATGTGGAGGGCATCCTTGCCCTGCTGGTGCTCGGTGTCTTCTTCCTCGGCGTCCGGAAGCTTCGGAATATGGCGAAGATCGATGTTAAAGTGCCCCCGGGAGTGCTGATGCCTAGGGCGCCCTTCGACCCTGACCAGTCTCCGCTCATACAACCCTATCAGGGAATTCCGCATCCGAGAATGCTCTATTCAGACCTCAAGAAGACGGAACCCCCCGACGATTACCCCGATGTGCAGATTGAAGTGGAGTTCGAGGTGGAGGTGGAGGAGGGGGAGGAGTCACAGGAACCAGAGCCAATGGCACTGCCCTGCGGATATGTGTCCAATGGATATGTGACCATGAACACAGCAAATCCCATATTGAGCGATGGATACATTAAGCCACCGCCTCCGCGATGACATTTAGTCTTGTGGCGTTACAGTACTTACGCATCGCTATCAATCAATCAATCATATTCACGCAATCATCCAGAGTTCCGCTGAAAACGTTTCTTAACTATTTTCTTTATCACATCCTGGTATTATAATTTATTTGAGGCGTGAAACCCACCAACAACCCTGTAAAGCTTATGTATTTATATTCCTGATCACCCATTACATATCAAGTGACTATGTATGTATATAACACAACAGCTAGAGAATTGAAATCGGATATGTATAAAAATTGTTTTTCTAATTTAGTTATTATAAGTTGTTTTTTTTTTGATAAACATTAAGCTTATCTTATAACGGGTTGGTTTAGATGTTTCTAGCAAAATATGAAATGTTTAAGAATAAGTCGCAAGGGAACTGATTCCAAGTGCAATATAATTTATAAACGAGATGTGAGCGAGTTCCAGTTAAATGCTATTTCATATATTTAACAAAAAAATTCTTGTACAAACCGAAGAGAAGATTACAAATAACCAAAGAATACATATAGATATGTAAGGACAGAGAGGATGTGTGTGCTGTGTGTGCAGTGTGTGCTGTGTGTGCAGTGTGTGCTGTGTGTGCAGTGTGTGCAGCGATGAACCCAACCCGGATTGGGGCGTTTAGAGATTGGAGGAGGGGGCCGGCTTGCCGCCGTGCCACTTATAGGAGCCGGAGTACTTGAAGTTGTTCTCCTCGCACTTGCGGTCCGCCTGCTTGGGGCCCCGCGATCCGTACTGGTAGGTGATGGGCTGGACGCGCTCCCGCTCGATCTGGTGCAGAATGGGCGTGAAGATGCGCCACGCCTCGCGCAGCTCGTCGGAGCGGACGAAGTGCATCTGGGAGCCGCAGAAGACGTCGAGAATGAGTCGCTCGTAGGCGTCCGGCAGGTAGGAGTCCTTGTAGCGATGCTCGTACGTCAGATCCAGTTCCGTCTCCTCGATGTCGAACGTGATGCCGGGGCTCTTCGTCATCATCTTGAAGTAGAGGGCCTCGCCGGGCTGCACACGGATGACCAGCTCGTTGCGCTTGGTGCTGCCCTCGAATATGTCGCCGGGCACATCCTGGTACTGGATGCGCACCTCCGCCTTGCGTTCGTTGAGCGCCTTGCCGCAGCGCAGGATGAAGGGCACTCCCTGCCAGCGCTCGTTGTTGATTTTGAGCACGCCGAGGGCGTAGGTGGGCGTGTTCGAGTCCTTGCTAACGGTGGGATCATCCAGATAGCCGGTGCGCGCATCCTCGGTGGCGCCCTTTGGATCGCCCAGATACTGGCCCAACACCATGTCGTCCAGGGTGAGCGCCCCAATGCTCTTCAGCACCTTGACCTTCTCATCGCGGATGTCGTCCGGATGGCAGCTGACCGGCTTCTCCATGGCCACCAGCGAGAGGATCTGCAGCAGATGGTTCTGCATGACATCTCGAATGATGCCGAACTCGTCGAAGTAGCCACCACGTCCCTGGGTACCGAAGGGCTCCTTGAATGTGATCAGCACCGAGGCGATATTCTCGCGGTTCCACGTCGAGCTGAGTATCTTATTGCCGAAGCGAATGGTCATCAGGTTCTGGACCATCTCCTTGCCCAGGTAGTGGTCGATGCGGTACAGCTGATCCTCCTGGAACAGTCCGGCCAAATGGTCACTCAGCGCCTGCGAGGAGACATCATCCCGACCGAAGGGCTTCTCCACGATCACGCGGTTCCAGCCACTGTGGATTAACATACATTATTATCATTATTAATTGATGCTATTCCATGGTTACAGCAACGAGCTAAATTAGTTCTAGGAGCTACATCTGTAATTTTCGGTTGCTTCGGGCTGGGGGTCATTGTGTCATTTTTGCACAGAGGGCAATTTGTGTGGGAGTTTTTATCGGTAATCTACTTATTACAACCTATGTTCCACTATTGATGATAGCTCTCCTAAATGAGATTATATAATATGGAATAAATATATAATCTAGGACGTAAATAAGCTTGTCAAATGAGTCTTGAGTTTCGTTTCCCTTTATACCTACAGTTTCGATCAAAGTAATAGTAGTGCTCAAAAACGAACCTTTAAGGCATATGATAGTTATTCTATTATTTTGTTTAATAATGCTTTCTGACCAACCAAATAAGGTTTAATATTGTTTAAGTTTTACAAGGAAATGAAAACTGTTAATTATTCCTTCAAATTCCCTATTTATATACAGCAGTAAGCGATTTTTTAACAATTTATGAAAATCTCCGCTCATCTGCTCTTTAAAATAGTATAAAAATGTTTTTAAAATTTAATATATATTTTTAAATAAAAAAAATTGTTATCAATGTATTTTTAAATGTTGATATTTTTAGATTCTGATTACAATAAAAAAAAATGTTATCAATTTTGTTTGTATTGTTTTAAAATATTACACCCACAATAAATGTTGATATTTATTCTCGCCCCATTTAGTGTATGGTATTAGCTTCACGATATATTCATTTTAATTGCTATTTCCATAAGCTAAAAGACTATTATTATTTTGACCGCTAGAGTATATGGCTAGGAATCCAAATTAGTATCATTTTGGGAAACTGTTTGATCAAAAGGTTCCTTATGGAGTTAATATAATATGAGTGTTTATATGTAGCAATCCATTTGGATTCCCAACTTAATTGCTACTCACCAGAGAGACATGCATATCTGCTTGATGTTGACGGTCACCTCCTCGAAAACGCTGGGTGGGAGGGCCAGGTAGAAGATGCGGTTCGCCTTGTTCTTGTTCTCCATCAGCTCCAGCTGCTGGTTGAGCAGCTCGAACCCAGTGCGTCCGCCGTAGCTCCCGGACACGTACTCGTTGAGGGTCCAGAACTCCTCGTACTTCTTCTGCTCGTGGGACTGAACCTGCGAGGAAACGGATGGATGGATGGATGGATTAATCCTGGAGAGCATTGGTATTGGAGAAGAGCCGGAACCCACCTTCATGTACGGCAGACATTGCGTCTTGAGGCTGGTGATCGTCAGCTTGGAACGGGCATAGCCGCAGAATTTGGTGGGCTTGGGCAGCAGGTCATCCCGGTAGAGCCACCACAGCGTGGGATAGATCTTCTTCTTGGCCAGGTCGCCAGAAGCCCCAAAGATCACGAACGTGTGCGGGATCTTGCCGTCGAAGTGGGTGCCCTCATAGATCATGGTTGGGGACTTGAGCGACTTTATGATGAGATCCAGGGCGGTGTGATCTGTGGATCGAACGTATCTCGTAAGCTTAGTTTTGGTTTACCTTAATTTATCTTCTGACTGCCAACTGCCTAATAAATCAAAACGAAATGTTTTGTGTTGGCAAGTTAATGCTGTAAGAAACCCGGTAAACTGGGTTGTTATTTCAAGGAATTATCCTAAACAAAATTCAACTTGAAAACCTAAGCCCCATCAGGTACCAAAACAATGATAGGGTCAACGATTTTGTGGGCTTACAAAAAAAAATGTAAATATTTGTTGAATACACAAAGGACTCCTCCGACTTTTTATTTATTTTTATTAAAAAACAATGGTATTTTTTTGACAGAAAAGTTATACAAAATCACAAGAGAGCAACAGTCTAAAATTACTTTCTTGAATTTATGGATTTGGAAAAAAAGGCGAAGCACTTCATATTTGCCCAAGAAAATCCGACTTGAAAGGGCCTTGGGGTATTAAAATTATTTTACCTTTACTTAAAATCTCTATACGCAATAAAACAAGTTTGATTTATGGGAGAATGAACATCGATAACAAGAAGATTCGGATTGAACAAATAGACTGAAGTGATTTTTGCAAATTTAAATAATCAAAAAAAGTTAATTCAAACTTTATAACATTTGATATTTTCAATAACCAATATAGATTTAAGGTGAAGCGAAAATATAGGCAATACCCCATAGCCCCCTAAAGATGGATTTTATTCGGACAAAAAGTTTCGAGTTTTGGAAGTTCGACTTTATTTTATAGGGTAATAAGGTATACATATTTTGCGTATAATATTTGATTTCTTGCGACATTCAAATGGTCAATAAAGTCATTTTGACCTTTACTTTTTTATACCCTTGCAGAGAGTATTATAATTTCAGTCAGAAGTTTGCAAACGCAGTGAAGGAGACATTTCCAACCCTATAAAGTATATATATTCTTGATCAGTCCGTCCGTTTCTACGCTAACTAGTCCCTCAGTTTTAAAGCTATCTGCATAAAACTTTCCCAAAAGTTGTCTTTCTATTGCAGGTAGTATATAAGTCGGAACGAGTCGGATCGGACGACTATAGCATATAGCCATAGGAGCAATCGGAAAAATAAAGGAAAAAAATTATAACTTTGCTGTTTAGTTCTTTGACATATAGTAATGGTTAAATATTTCAGAATTACGGTTTAAATTTCATCAAAATCGGACAACTATATCATATAGCTCCCATAAAAACAATAAATATATTAAAAAAAAGATTTTTTTAAATATGCAACTTTTTTAGTTTGTAATTTTGTTTAGAAATTCTTTTTAATTACACCCAAATCATAATTTTAATGTCTTCAAGAATATTTAATTTTTGTAATAGCTGCAAGGGTATATGAACTTTGCTTTCTTTCTTGTTTTTTTTTTTTTTTTGATATTTTCAAAAACTCTGCGATCAGTGATCACGCACTTGCCTTTAAGTCCGAATGGTTAGGATAAAGGAGGAGCTGAGGACTCACGAAGGGCCTGGAGCGAAGTGAACGTCCACGGCAGAGTGCAGACTTTATTAGGGTTCGGCGGTGCGGGAGAGCGTCAAGCACTCGATAAGACCTGGTTCCGTTGTCTAATCACCGCGAGCACCACTGCCGATGACTAGTCAAGTAATCCGGGAGAGAGCTCTGCCAGAGGTCACCCTCCGAGCCCGATTCCGATTATCGGTCCACTGAAGGTGAGGTCTTTTACGTGGAGGTGGACGTGGGTGCTAATGGGCGTCCAGATCTCGGAGCAGACCAGGTGGTGTCCGGGGCGGATCAGAACCGAACAGAACAGATCAGAATCGGGTGCGGAAGCTTGGGCAGGTGCGCTCGCGCGTTTCTTTCGATGCGGTTGCACAAAACGAATAAACTGCTGCGCTGCGCTGCGGTTGACTTTAGCTTTAACAAGGTGTAAGCGATGCACCAGGCAGCGACTGCGACGCGAGCGTCAGCACAAAGTGCAAGTGATATGTAATAGGTATATAGGAATACACATCATCACATATCCAAAACTTGGCTCCGGAATAAGCCCCGGCAGAGTGGGCCGATCGTTAGGCGTGAGCACGGCAACGAAACGGACGTAAAATTATTTAACCGGAAGAATGAAGCTCTTCCAAAGCTAACAAGTATAAATATTCTTGACCATTTTCGATATCTGCATATCTAGCAAGATCTTTGAAATCAGGGTAGCAAAAGGATAAAGATCGGAATTACGTGTATCTAAAATATTCCTCAACAGGTTTGTCAAACATTTTCAAAACTTTGTGAACAGTGACTTTGAATCTGCGAGAAACTAGAATAATAATATTTTACAACATAGCTAGCAAGTGGAGAGTAATAAAACTTTAATGGAGTGTGTAGTAAAATAGATTTTTGTACTTTTTCGCATAACTTGATTTTCTGGAGATATAATTAAACTTGTTTATTACTTAAAATCATCGTAAGTCGTTTAAAAGTCATTCACACATACATACATATGTATGTATGTATGGTACGATTGACGATCGGTCACGTGATAATACGAAGAAGGGTTAACAGACTCAACCTCTTCAAGGAGATCTTGCGTCCTCGTTTTGTTGTGAAATAAGATTTACCAAATAAAAAGCGTTAAATGATAAATATCTTTTGAATTCAAGAAGGCATACTTTTCGGCCGTATGAGATCTGGCAGATCTGTGGCGCAAAACCAGATTGACTCTGGCGGATGATGACTAATCCGCTGGCTGTGGGCTCCTTCGCATGCCGAGATCGTGACTCAGAGCCTACAACTTTACAGTAGAGCTTCCATAGCTCGAACTTCCATATTCTATACCTTCATAAGTCTTACATGCCGTATTAACAGTTGAGTAAGCTTCAACACGTGTTTATAATAAATTCGATAACTCAAAGTCTCCCCAAATTCGATTTAGCGAAGTTGGACTGTAATCTCGGCCGGATCGCATTTGACATTGACACAGGCGAAGGCGAAGGCATTGGGGCAAGGAGAGACGCAGGTCGGAGAGTGAAGTAACGGAGGAGGAGAAAGAGAGAGGGTGAAAGAGAACAAGGTAACGTGTTTGAATGAATTATAATGCCAAGCGGGTTTTTGTTTTGGAAAGGCTTTTCGTAAAGCCCCCGCAGGTGGGTTAAATTATTAGTGCGTAGAATGCATGTAAAAACAAACATGTTCCAATGTCATTGCCACAGCGAGTGGAGATTGGAGAATGGAGAATGGAAAGCTCTCTCAACCCGCGAAAGGTTATTTGCCGGGCTCTAATCTTGAGCAATGAGTATGGGAATCAGAACGAGTGTTTGTTATTGCTGGCCGATGGCCAAGAGCGGCCACACGTCATCGGGTTGGTAATTGGAATTGGGGAGTGAGAGTGAGAGTAAGAGTGCGAGTGCGAGAGGAGAAGAGCGGGAAGATTGAGCGGCCTGTGATAAGATAGGTTCCGTTGTTTTTTGTAGGTGACCCCAGACGAAGAAGGAATACATTTGAAGGGCGCAACCGCAATCGCCCACCTGATGCGACAGTGATCGCGGAAAGTATCCACTCGAAGCCAAAGGTAATTACATCGAACACTCACCTTCCTTTTGCGTTGCCATCTTGACCCAAGTTGTCCAGTCCGCACAATGAAAAAAAATACAAAATAAACACTCTATCGCCGCTTTTTTTTCTGACAATTAACCCAATGGGCTTTCTGTTGTTTGGCTTTCGAGATTTCACCAGCTTAAACGCTGCTTCGACGGTCGTCGGATTTAAGCAACCACTGTGTAATTACGGCAAAGAGTTGTCCGTTGTTGCGCTATGTTTGGGCTGTGTTTAGCAAATGAGTGCGGCGTCGAGTCGCGGAGCCCTCGGTAGCACAGTATTGGAGCCCAGCACGATCGTTCGCTGACTGACAGAAGCATGAAATGAAGCGGCGGCAGCGGCGGCGACGGCGGCACTGCCAATGGCAACAACACAAAACGACGCTTACAAACCCCCGACTGCGACTGCCGATCGCAACCAGGAGCGGATTCTGCAAAAAAAACTGTGAGCTTAATTTTGTTAAAACCAGGTAATTTCGACGATTTTACACATCGTTTTATATTATAATGTATTTTATTTAAATAAAAAACTAAACATTAATCTAAAAAAAATCTAAAATTATTTTAGGCAGCATAAAGAAAATCGATTGTTTACTAGCCACAAAAATATCGGTAACAAAAATGTAACCAAACGAAATTAAATGGCGATTTGCCATTTTCAGAACCTCACAAAATTAAACTTATTTTGAACGGTAATTAAAAAAACCGATTGACGTTGAATCAAACATCTTTTCTTAGGTCTTCTTCGGTTTTGGCTTGAAATGAGTCGATGAACTGGTTTGAAATGCCAGCAACCACTTTTTTTTTTTTGAAAACTCACAATTTGAGATTAAATTTGATCAATTTTGAAAATCTCTTTTCTTGAAATATGAAACAACTTGATTTGATAAATTGGTAAGGACGAACAGAATTCAAATGTCAACAAGAAAGCCGCCATAATTGGCGTACGTTTTTATTCCAATCATTACAGTGAACACAATCTAAATAGTCAACACCCCTGGATGGTTTATTAATTTCCCGTATCGCACTGACATTGTATTAAGTTTTATGAATCGGCGCCCGTGTCGGACCTTTGGCCATTTTTTGAAACGCACAGTGATCTTTTCAGCTACCGAATTAGGCAGCCGTATGGCCCTGTCTGAACAATTTGTAAAACTATGTTAGATTAATAACTACGGCCCCCGACCACGGTGGGGCCCAATCCCAGTCCCAATCTCGATCCGCCCCTGGATGGCTCTCCTGCCTGGCCTGCATGCTCATTCACATTCACACATGCGAGTTTTGTTTACAGACATATATATGTGTATAAAACGGATCGGATCGGGGAGTCAGATGTTCGGCCCTGTTGCCAGCTGGGGGAAACGAAAGCCAGTGATAAAAACCGTGGACGTCGCGGCTCAACGGCCGGAACTACAAGGAATACGGACACGAACACATACTACATACGAGGGGTTTCGTTTTTTTCGGAGCCTCATTGTTGTAATGGGCGTCATTTGTTGTGTTAATTTCATATTCAAGAGCCAGTGCAATCAGGTGGAGTGTGTGCGTGTGTGTGTGTGTGTGTGTGTGTGTGGATTTTGAATCGGATGTGGATGCGTGTGTTCGCTGCAGCGATGGCCCCTCTCTATTTACAAGTTTCTTAGATTTCTAAACTCCCAATCTTCATCCTACGCCCTACGTCCGGCAATACCAGTCCTCGGCAAGGACCAATCACTCGGCGTGAGGAGCGCAGGGAGACTAGGGGATTCTGGTGCTAGTGTTGGAGCTGGACACGAACTGTTGGCACACTTCGGTCGTCAGTAGAAGAGCACCGAGTGCAGTATGACCCGGTTGCGCCGCTCCTCGAACTCCTGGATCATTTCGTCGATGTCGTTGTCCAGGTCCGTGGACTTGGCCATCTGTAAGGTAGCAGAAATAAAGAAGGGCGAATTACGGTGACAGTGTGCCTGAGCATCGTACCAAGTTGATCATGTCCGTAATGAGAAAGGCGCCCATTAGAGCGTCCTCCGCATTGTCCACCACATCCACGTTGAGGACGTGCACGGGACGGTTGTCCACCGAGTCCATGGACTCCATGTGCAGCACCACCAGGTCGTAGACGCGTTCCTCCACGGTCACGATGATGTCAAACTGCTCTTTGGTTTCTTGGAAGCGCTCCGGGCACTTCTTGATACGCCGGTTGCGATCCAGCATGTGCAGCAGCCCGTTCTGTGTGTAGCTGTGCGGGGGGGACAGGATTGGATTAGCCGAGAGGATGGGGACTGTCCGAGAGCGGACAACTCACAACTCCTTGTCCTTCGCCTCCAGGTCGCGGTAGATGTCCTCGTAGCTGGTGCCGAACTCATAAACATTCGGCTTGTCGAACGCGACGCCCGGCAACTTGACGCGCTCGCCGGTGCCGTAGGAGCGCACGTTGAAGCCCTTCTTGGCCAGGAAGTTGTGCGCCTCCATCGAGCGGTTCATGTTCGAGGAGCAGACCACGGCCACGGAAAGCTTGCTGGGATCAGTCATGTCTCTTATCTCTTTGGCAGTGCGGTGCTGTTGCAGTCGGAGCGCAAAAAAATTGTTCACCCAGTGTTACTGCGCGTCGAACAGTTGAAATAAACCCTTTATCGAATCGGACAGTTGTGACAAGTTGGAAAATAGTGTGACCAAGTGCGGATGCTACAGTTGCTAATAGCCTATTCAGACAGGCGGCCTTTCTGCTTCAGCGACCAAATTCCGCTTCAGCGTCTTTTTCGTCTATAAAAGGTGCATGTGCTAAAAATAGACGGAAAAAATTGTCGCTTCAATTAGTTGTTGCGAGTAGAAAGCAGTAAATTCGGTAGTGATTCAGTATTTTTTAAATATTTAGTTGATATTTACTTGGATATTTTGGATATATTTTGGAAATAGAGATGCATTTTGGCCAAATCTACGGTTTAAAGATAATAGTCAGATTTCTTTGGCGCATTTATTTACACAGGGAATCCCTTAAGGCTGAATGCCGCATTTAAAATAAATGCGATAAGTTAGTGCGATTAAAAATCATTCGCCCTGAACGTTTTTAGAAAAAATACTGAAAAATACCGATATTTAACCATATTTCGCTAGTGCCACCACTACAACAGCTGGTTTTTGGCGCAATTTTTGATTTCATTCGAGTATAAAATCTACTCTGCATAAAAATTACTGAAAATAAGAGCAAGCGCAGCAAATCGCTCTGGCAGGAAAAAACTCCCACATATACCTGGATCCTTGCTCTTTTTTAGAAACAGCTGCCCTTGCTGAACAGTAAAGACTTCTGAAAAATCGTTTTGATCTGCGACAATTCAAAAGTAAACGAACCCAGATCAGCTGGGAATGTGGAATCAGGCACATTTATAGCTTGATTCCATTGCCGCATTAGTGGACTTTTTAAATGTTCCTGATCCCAATAGCATTTAACTAATGCTACTCAGATATGTGAGTGGAACGAAGAGCTGATCTGGATTTGTCTACTTTTGAATTTTACACTTTTGTCGCAAATAAGAAACAAATGAATTAAAAATCAATCAATTCTCAGCAGGACATCCATAATGCGTCCGAGGCATTTGCCAATTTGGACGACAACGTAGGAAAGGTGATCGTGTTGCTTGACGGGTTTGCAAAGGAGACCACCACAGTTTTTAAAAAGGGCAAGAATCCCCGTATATGTTGGGGTTTTTTCTGCCAGAGATCCAGCAGAAATGCATTGTGATACTAGGACCAGAATTTGCAGCGTATACTCTTGTTTTCAATCATTTTTCTACAAAATAGATTTTATATTCGAAATATATCAAAAATCACGCTATCCTTGCATATAGAAAATAACTGTTGTAGTGGTGGCACAAAACCAAATATCGTTAAACATCGGTATTTTCTAAAAACGTTCGCGGCGAATGATTTCTTATTGCATTTATTTATCGCTTTTACTAATCGCATTCATTTTAAATGCGGCATTCAGCCTTTTTGAATTCCCTGTGTAAATAAATGCGCATTAGGCTAAATGCGTTTTAATGCGGCAAAGGTATTCGGCTATTAAAAAGTCCTCTAATGGGGCAATTGAATGTAATTAAACACATGCCAGTTTGATAATATGACAGAATAGGAATAGGAAATGCCAACATCAGTGGATAAATCTTTAGCGATGAAAAACGTTATACTTACGAATGTCACAATTGTATTTAGTTTTGCGTTAATATCCAATTTTTTGGCGTGAAAATTGAATTTTTTGTTTTCTTCGTATTTTCTTTTACAACAATATAGTTATTTTCGAATATTGTATAGACAATTAGAGTTGAGAGGTACTGTGACAATATTCTCAGTTAGGGAAATTTCTAAACACTTAAATGCAATTAAATTTTTTTTATAATTTTTTTTTCCCATGTTGGAAAAGTTGAATTACGACTCAGTGGAATCCGGCTATTAGAAATTGCAATCGATAAATGTTGTATATTCGATCAATTTATATTTACTGGTCGGCATGTACTATCAGTTTAACAACACTGGCCACCAGTTCGACGCAGTCTGGCAGCATTGATCGTCTATTCCTATTTTTGAATCCAACCGAAGGGAATTCCGATTTGACAAGCGCCACAAGTTTGAATTTAATAAATCGCGATTCGTGAAAAGTGGCAGGCAACCGTTACTCTTAAAAGATTAGGGCAGTCAAATATACTGCTGCAGGCATGGATAGTCGAAATTCAAAGTCCCAATCAAAACAACAACCGCAAAATAAGCAACAGCAATAACCAACAACCAACCGACAACAACCTTCCAGTTCGGAGCTCGTGGAATGCGGCTGAGCAAGTTGGAGCTGTTGCCACCAATTCTTTACCTGTGTGTGGTTGTGGTGTGTGGTGTGCGGTGTATTGTGTGAGACAGGAGCAGCCGCATCGCGTGTGTAACGTGTGCTTGTGAGTTGAGCAGGTTTGCAGTGGGCACAGTGGGTCGCATTGTATGCCACCACAAGTCCTTTGATATCGATGCACCTCTGCACTGTTTCCAAATCTGTGGCACGATCCGGATATAACTCATTTTCGGTACGGTGCAGTTTCTACTCTATATGCTTTACAGAATGAACTCTATATTCTTCAAAATTTCCTGCGAAGAAAAGAACACAATGTTGGCATCTGGCGCTGAGTGTAAACGTCCTACCCAAACATTTTGTTTTTTTTTTTCAGATTTATAATTACTTTTTTGATATAGGTATATAATATAATACAATATTCTGTTATATGATTCAAAGTATTTAAAATGGTTCAAGTTATCCCCATTATTAATTACACATCGATTGAGATTACTATGTTGATGAAATTTCTAAAAGTTTGAATCCACTAAAAATGGGCTTTTACATCTTCCTTGCTCAAAATAAATTGTAAACAATTTACAAAAAAGAAAAAACTATCTATGTTATTATTTTTAAATAAACCAGGCCGTATAAGCAATTTTATTTTTGATGTCTTCTGTGTGGGTGATTTATATCAGAAGATGCGTATTTCTTTAATAACATAGTTTTTAAGATTGTTCAGATATTCTGCATATCAAAAATTGACAGCAAAAAATAATATTGTACAATTTTTTTTTGGCGACATGATGCCTGATGGCCCTCTTTTGCCTTTTGGTCCCACTGTGCCGAGCGGCTTTTGGAAGTGGCTCGTTCCTCATCCTCTCCCGCTGTCTTTCTCCCCCCCTCCCTCTGCCACTGCTCACCTGTCCGTGTGAGCGGTGTCGGCCTGAGTGGGTGAGAGCGGAAGAGCGGGAGAGCGGAAAAAATAGAGAGTCCGTGTCCGTTCACTTGTTAACTGGTTGGAATGGTTGGAATGGTTGGAATGGTTGGGCGATTGCGAATGGCCATAGCTGCCGGCGGTCAGAACCGAACCGAACCGCAGTTATAGTATCCGAGTATCCGAAGTTCGAGAGAGATACCGATGCCGATATCAGTCGTATTTTGTCACTCGATCGGTCACCGCGTCGTCCACTTGTCGTCCGCTCGCTGTTCCGTTGGGAGATCATCGACAGATCGAGAGATCGGTTCGAAGTCGCCATCGAAATCCACTGGATCTGGTGCGGATGAGGACCAGGAAGAGAGGCGGAGGAAGGAGCCGCAGGGCGTTTGCCAATTACCGATTGTCCGGCGCTTTCTTCGCTCGCCTTCGGCGGCCATGTAAAGGTCACAGGTCAAGAACGGAAATTAAAGCTACCAAAAAAGAACACGGAGGTAAACCCGTTTTACAACCCGCCAATTGCAATTTGTCTTTTGCTTATAAGCTTCTTGGCTAAAACCGCGATGAAGGCACCTGCCTTTATTTTTAGCTTTTTTTTTTAGTTCAAGATATTACATGGGTGTAAGTGTGGAAGTTTATATATTCTTGATCCGGGTATATATATTCCGTTTTAAGCCCAATGTCTCTAGATGTCATAGGAGATCCTACTGTGGTTCCTACTGAAAATTTCAATTTGTCCATTACTTGTTGTGTCGTTGATTTTGTTTAAACAGTAGATTACATGGTTTGAAAATTCCGAAACAATTTAATATTGCATTAAAAGTCTTGGAATGTATCTCAATGTCAAGGCCTTCGATTATAGATACCGCTTTATGTGGTTTAATCAAACCAGGTCAAATGTAGCAATAATTTTGGGTCATCTATTAAAATCCAGAAAGAGATGGCTCAAATTTGTTGACACGTTTGTTCTTACATGTTTTCTTTGTGGTGAGAAAAACCGCTGGGTCAGCAAATAAAAAAAGAGTTTTCCCAGTAATCATCAAATTTCCGCTGAATCTGACTGGTAGCTTGGGAACCAAGCTATAGAACAGTGGGTCCTTCAAAATGTAGGTGTTAAATTATTAATTTTATTTGATCAATTTTATTTGATCAATTTTATTGCATACTTAATTTGCTGGTCCGTAACAATTTCGAAACTCAGGACGAGCTGAGAACAAGTTCGTGTTGAAAAATATAAATCAGAAAGAAGAAATCGATTTTCTAAAAAGAATATTCCAAAATTTGCCACTGAAAATAGGATTTAAATCGGAAGTTCATGTTGGTTATATCTACCAATCTTGTAACTTTCATGGAAACCAGATCTTGATAGAAATATCTGCTTATTTGTGAGTTATGTATTTAAGGTAAAATGGGTTTAAAACAAAATGCATGCTAGATGTAGTGAAATGAAGAATTGGGTATCTTATTATCGAGGCGTGTGATCCACATCTTTCTCCATCTGGCTGTACTGCAGTTGCTTTTGCTTTTATCCCCGCATTCAAAGTGGTGTTGGGTCGGTGAAAAGTTCTTCGCCATCGACTAATTACGCAATACATGCGATGCACAATGCACATAATTTATGGGAAAGTTTCGCACATGCAAAGCCTCTGGCGAAATGAAAGTGCCCATGTGAGGCGATGATTTTTCCTGGCAGCCAACTACAGTTGCAGATAGCAGTTAGTTAATATACAGTACTGAAGATTCGAAAAACTGTCCTTATTGAAATTTCGCTTACTGAAGTAATGAGTGTAATGGTCAAAATTTTAAGTTTGTTTTAAGAAGGGCTTAAAACACTAGGTAGTTCCTTTTTGGATACCATTAAAGAAAGTCTTTTTTAAACTATACTATATTATATTTAATATGTTTATTACTCACCCATCACTGACTATTGTCCTAAGTTGGTAAAAATGTATTATTTATCCATTGATTGCCTTTTTACACCTTTACATAGGGTATTGTAATTTCAGTATTTATTTGGATTAATATATGACTTAAAGTGTAGGAACGAATTAATAAAAAGGTATAGGCCAGTTAAACATTTTGAAATTTGAAGTTGTTATGTGTCCATCGCAGAAATATATATTTTTGATAAAGGTATAATATTTTTAAATAGATGCAATGGCATTTAGAATCCAGGGTCGAAAGAAAGGAACACTTTCATAGACTGTAAAACCATCGCAAAATTCAAACCCTTTTGAGACGACACCTACAAGTTTTTGGTTAACAACCAATGGTCCACCAGAGTCACCACTACATGCCGATTGTCCATAAGTTCCAGCGCAAATATTACTCTCGGTCATAGCCAATAACCTACTACAAGATTTCCGATTTTCTATATAATTGTATACGCCTTGAAGATGTATAGGATTTGTCATCACCGGGTTGCCATAATTGGGAAATTCTAATGTTGCTCCCCATCCGGAAACCGTTGCAACTGTTCTAGGAGCAGGATTCCTCTTGGCCAAAGGGATACTCTGTACTTTTCTGGTAAACTTAAGTGGTTCACTTAGTCGCATGACAGCAATGTCGTTGATCAAATTTCTATTTTCAAAATTCTCGTGAGATCTTATGGCGGCCACTTTGACAAGGGTTCCTCCAGAGTTTTTCAACGACGAGCCCACGCGAATTAGGAAATCTTTGGCCTCCAGTGCGCGATCTCTGTCATCAAAACGGCAGTGGGCAGCAGTGATGATAATGTCCTTGCTGTAAATAGAGCCTCCACAGTAGTGTTGCCCTTTCACTTGTAGGGACACCTGCCACGGAGCCTGTTCTATGTCAATGTTCTGCCCACCGATAATCCTTTCCTCCGGTCGAGGAACTCGTCCTGCAGACAGGAAACCAATTGCCAATAGCAGTAGAAAACTCTGGATGAACATCTTCACTGGCTTGGTTTGGACTTTGGATCACAATGTCTGAACTACCGACGGAGCAAGTATTTTATATGACAGGGCCTGTAAGGTTCTTCAGTTATTTCTAAATATAGCACAAGTTTTCAACGTAAAGAATTCCAAACATTTCCATTTCCATTTCCATTCCAAAAAAAAAAAAACGAAACACCGAAAGCTATTAGATAAATATAGAAATACACTTCTTATTTATTTGAAAAAAACAATTAACATTTATATGAAACTGTTGTTGACTATATTTGGCACAAGAAGTGATAGCAATGTAACTTTAAATGAAGTTCACAAGGTTTAAATTGTAATGTCAGTGAAAAGATTGCAACGAAATGAAGGGGACGTTTTGGAAAATATGAAATATATATATACACATATTACATTGATCAGTGTCATTAAGAGAGTCGATCTAGACATGTCCGTCCAAAACGTTTGTCCGTTTCTACGCAAACTATTCGCTCGTTTGTAAGGCTTTCTGTATAAAACTGTCCCAAAAGCCTTTTTTATATTGCAGGTAGTATATATGTCGGACATCTTAAACATAAACGCATACAAATTGATATATTGTCGTTATACAGATAGTTTTATTTCCGTAACAGCTGCAAGGGTGTACAACTTCGGCTTGCCGAAGTCTGTTTTTGATTCTAGATTTTTTAACTCAAATATTTGTAATTGCAGGACGATAAGTACTGTTTTCGCTCAAGGTCCTTGGCAGCCAGTCCAGAATGTGATCGGAGTGAGGGGCCAAACCGCCGGAAATGCTGAAGCACGCCTCGACGACGAGCAGTGCCGCTGCGACCGCCACCGGTGCCGTGGCGATAAACCCGCTGTCCACTTTGCTGGGCGGCCAGCTGCTGCGCACCGCCGCCGCCGCCGCCAACAGCAGCAGCGGCCACATCAATTGCAATGGCAACAGCAACAGCAACTGCAACAGCAATTGCAACGGCAACAGCAACACGAATAGCAACAGCAATAGCAATAGCAATAGCAGCAGCAACAACCACACTGGAAGCAGTGGCAGTGGCCACAACACACCCCCAGTTGTGGAAACGGAAGTGGGAATCGCTACCACTGCCACCACCACTGGCAGCAACAGCAACAGCAACACCACCATCACCAACACCAACACCAACGGTAGCTCACCGACACCAGCAGCAGCAGCAGCAGCAGCAGCAGCAGCGGCAGCAACAGCAGCTGCCGTGGCCAGCACCGCGCGCAACATCCACCTGCGACCGCCGCAGCCGTTGAACATATCCGCCCTGAATGCCTCCGCTTCGAGCACGCTGCTCAACGAGAACGGCGGTCGCGTGGGCAATTCCTCCACGCTGCTGAACATTATCCCGCCCAGTACGCCGCTTAAGCCGCTGCCACCGCTTACACCGCTTACACCGCTTACACCGCTGACCCCAATCACCCAGCTGACCCCCAACGGACACTTTCTGGGCAATGGGAGCGTGCACCACCACACCTATACGAATCAGCACATCCTGGCCAGCAATGGTGGCCACCAGCAGCAGCATCAGCAGCAGCAGCAACAGCACCAACAGCAGCAACATCTGCCACAGCAACAGCAGCAACATCATGGGCAAACGCAACAACCAGGACAGACGCAGACGCACAACCTCAGCCAGGTGCCGCTCAACAACTACAGGAACTACGGCCACCTGACCGCCAATCCTGTGCGCCACAAGCTGCCCAAGTCGGGACCCTCGCCCCGCGAGGCACTCACCAGCCTGGGACTCCTCTGCCTGAGTGAGTATGGCATGCTCTCAAGTCCCTCAAGAAGGGCCTTTTAAGTCTGTAATGTAAACATACCATAACCATAACTATGGCAGCTAAAAAATCTGGCATTTAAATTGCAAAGTTTCTGATGGTGATTTGGCTTTTTAAGCGTGGACAGCTTTGTGCAATTTGTTTTTTATATTTTAAATAAGGTGGTTTGCAGTGAAAAAATATAGATCATACTGCTTTTGAAATGTAATCGAATTTTCGAGAGGTCCTTTTTTTCATTTTCATTTTTTTGCATCTTTCCGATGTACAAAATTTGAATTAAGCTACAAAATTTCAAGGTTTTTTTTTTTGATTTTTTTTAAATTAAAAAAGAACCGCTTCGTGTTTGCATGTTGATTTTTGTAAAGCAAATGATTAATAAAAATTTAGACCAATCGGTTTGGTAGTTTTGGCACTGAGATGTTCACCGACTTCAGAAATGGCATTCGTGGAAAAATCTTCGCACCGCCGTTTCGAAATATTGTAGATTTCGAATAAAAATATAATAGAAAAGTCTTAAAGCCATGCCACTTACAAAGGAACAGGTATCTACTAGTATTTAATAGCGTTATCATTTTTTTATATTTTTTATTTCACTCAAAGTGTAACGAATATATCTTAAAAGCTTTCTTTTTCGTTGTATTTTTAAACATTCATGTATCGTACTACAATTCAAAATTAGCTCTTTATAAAGCTTCTTGTAAAAATTGAGCTTGGAAATGTCGATGTTTTTGAAGATAGACAGCTATTAACAGCATTTAATATTTCAAGTTGTTACATTTTTATTATTAAATTTGAAAATTTACCAAATTTTAAAACTATTGTCTAAAAGTTGGAAAAGAGTTGCATTAATTTACATCAGTTACATCAGATTATTACAGGCTTAAATTAGCATTTAAAAAAAAGTCCAGCATTAATGTATGTATATATATGTACATATATTTATTTTTTGATTTTTTTTGAACGTTGATTTAATCTTAATTGATTAAAATGTCTTGAAAAGTGTAAGAGTTTGGGGTTCTTTTCACTTCCTGACAACCTTCTATTTGATGTTAAGGCCGAAACTAAAGTCCATTATTCTTACAGTTTCGCTGCTTCTGGCGCTGCTGTCGCTCATCTTCCTGCTGAGAATCTCGCCCAATGGACGCGAGGACGCCATGGGTCGGGGCGCCAGCGGCGAGGACTTCATCGTGGTGTACGACGTCACTTTGGCTCTGGGGGCACTCTCCCTGTCGCTGAACCTGTGCTGCCTGCTGGTCTGCGCCATCCAGTTCCTGTTCGCCGTGAAGCTGCGCGAGCCGGCCTTCGAGGGCAGGGAGAACCAGTACCTGGCCAAGTCCAGTGCCAGCCGCACCTGCGCCGTCAGCGGCTTCTTCATCTCCATACCGGTCTTCCTCACCGGCCTCATTCTGTACACCTTCAGCCACTTCCACTCGACGCCGGCGATCGTCACCAGCCTGCTGATTGGCGTTGGCATCGTCTTCTGCGGCGGCGCCATGGTGCACAACGTCTTTGTGTGGCAGCGCGAGAAGACCATCAGCTATAGGGGTGCTCCGCCGGGACTGTCGCACAATTTGTCGGTGATATCGGGTGCCCAACTGCCGGTGCCGCTGCAGCTGCCCGTGGCAATGCCCCTGCCCCTGGCCATGGCGCCAGGTCCTCCGTTCCACGGATACCAGGGCCACCAGGTGGTGCCCAACTTGGTGCCGCCCTCCGTGACGGCAGTGTCGCCCAATCACTCGCACGGCAGCTTCAATCCGCTGCTCAGCAGCAATCTGCTCAACGGCGGTGCAGGCGGAGGTTGTTGCGGTGGTGGAGGAGGCGGAGGAGGAGGAGGAGGAGGAGGAGCTATGGGGGCCATTAACTCGTCGTTCCTGGTGCGTCCTGCCACGGCCACGCCGCCCACGCCCACGCCCAGGATCCTGACGGCTGGACGAGAGGCCAGCGGATCAGTGAGTCCCGGCATTCCGCCCACGCTGGACATGAGCAACATGTCCGTCCTGCTGCACGAGCTCTCCACGCTCGTCTAGACCCGGAGTCCCAGTCCAAATCCAAACCCCTAATCTGAAGTAGACTTAGCACATAGACTTACAAATGGACGATATCCACCGCCCACATCCACATCTTGCCGAATCGTAGATTTAAGAAACGCCTCTTGTAAATATCTGTACATATGCATTCGAGCTATCGAACAAATAGCATCAACAGTGATGCTACTTACTTACAGAAGTAAAAGTAACACACACAACTGCAAAGCCATTTTAGTTTAATTCAACTTTCCGGTTGGCTGATTAATTGTATCCTAGTTTTTTTCAAGCTATACTATATATACTATATACTTGCGGATCGGACAAATTAGATTGGATATTTTGTGTGAAAGTCATGCAAAAAACCGCTGAGTGTTTAAATACCAATTACTTTAATTAACTGTTAAATGCTGAATTTTTTTTTTTGCCAAATGTTTTTTGAGAAAATTTCTAAGAAATAAAATTATTTTATGACGAATTCAACGAGTTATGACATTCCTATTTCGAGATTCATTTATCAGATTTTTTAACGTTTTTTCTTTCTTCCAATAACCTTTTTAACGATTTTGGATAAAAAAAAAAAAATTGTTCAAGCGTGAATGCCTGAATTATGAAATTCTGTTATTGGACTTTCATTTTTATTGTTATAAAAATAATATTTTTTGGCGAAAACTCAGGACTTTTCATTGCAAAGTAACAATAAAGATTTAACATTTTTTTTACTTCTGCATTATAAATATAAAATTGAAATAAGGAAAATAACTTTTTAGTTTGAAAACCACTTTTTAAAAATCTGGAAACAATGGCAACATGGGCAAGCACTGCACATTTTCAAAAGTGATGAAAATGGAGAATAAGTTAAGGCTGCCGCCTTTCACTTTTAAAAGCACTGCACTCTTATTCTCGACAAAAAGTGGAAATTATAAAATTAACTGTCATACTGACCATACGACTCTATGCCGTCTTTTCGCGCAGTGTGTAAATTGTTAACATACAACTTATTTATTTTAACTTTAACTCAATTATAAACAAATCGGAACTAGTGCCAACTACAATTTAACGTTTCTTGAGAAGTGCTTCCTATGTCGTTTATAATATCAGGATCAGTTGAGCTCTGTTTATGCCACATGCGGATCAGTTGGTTGTGGCCACGATGGATGCACTTTCTGCTCTTTCACTATGGTGCCTCGGACATCTGGATGCGTGGCACGCGCAGACGCAGCTGCCTTGTCGGGGTGCTTCTGGCCTCGGTTTCGGTGGCATTGGCGGACTGATCGTTGCGTCGGCGACGTGGTCGCTTCCCAGCCGTTGCGGAATCGTCTTCCTGCGCCGGCGGAGGCGAAGCCGGTGTGGATGTCGTGCTGGTGCTCGTCTTGCGCGACCGCCCACCTGCGGCGGCCTTCCGCTTCCGGCTGACCTGCCCTGCCTCCAAAGTGGTGGTGGTGGTGGTGGTGATGGGCGGCTCGCTGATGCCGCGCATTATCTGCTGGACAGTTGGACCTTGGTTCGAGGGCGTCAGCGAGGTGGCCCGCTTACCACGCGTCTTCTTTTGCTGACTCTTGCTGGCCCCGGATGTTGTGGCCTCGCTCGACTCGGCGGGGTTGCCGTTCCCGTTGCCTCGTTTGGCCGGGCGACGAGTCCGGGGAAGCGTCGCCTCCGTCTCCGTTTTTGAATCCTCGACCAAGGCGGATGTGGATGGCTCACTGGCACTTGTCTTGCGGGATCTTGGCGCCCTGGTTTTTGGCGCAGCCTGCATGACCACCATGGGAGGTGGCTCGCTGATGCCGCGCAAGGCACGCCGGACACTGGGACTCTGCGTTGCGGGGGCCAGCGAGTTGCACCGCTGTCCGCGCTGGACACTGTTTATGGGCGTGGCGGGTCTGGAGGTAGAACGACGCGAGCGCAGGGCATGCGGACTGTCCAGCTGCTCCAGAGTGGGGCGTCGTGGGCGCAGCGTACGCGGACTGTCCTGGTACTCAACCGTGGAACGTCGAGGACGCAGAGTACGCGTCGTCGGCGGAGCTGCTTGCTCCTCACCCTCATCGTCATCGGACAGCACTAGCGTGAGACTCTGCCTGGAGTCCTCCTCTTGGGCCGAATAATGCGGGGCTGGTGTTGTGACCACCTCCTCCTCCTTGGTCTCCTGCTTGGTCTCCTCCTTGGACTCCTCTTCAGCCTCCTCTTCGTCATCCTCTTCGGGAATCTCCGCTAGGGGACCTGCATGCAGGAGTTCCACTTCATGGACCACTTCTACCTCCACATCCACATCCGCATCCGCATCCACCTCCGCATTCTGCTTGTGCTCGCTAAAGGCCACTGTGGCCACCGAGTCATCGCTAGGGGCATCCTCCCCCATGGGCCACTCTTCTGCTCTCTCCAGCTCCTGCTCCTGCTCCAGCTCCTGCTCCCGCTCCTGTTCCTGCTCCAGCTCCTGCTCCTGCTCCAGCTCTTGCTCCTGCTCCAGCTCCCGCTCCTGCTCCAACTCCTGCTCCAGCTCCTGCTCCTGCTTCTGATCCTCCGGCTGACGATCCTCTTCATCGCTATCTATCACAATGGTGTCGGCCACCTCCGAATCGCTGTTGACCGTGGCGCCCAGCGAAAGAGACGGACAGGGGTCGCCACTGACCGCCGCCTCCTCCTGGGCGTCCTTGTCCTTGTTCTTGAAGGCGAACAGCTCCGCACTGCTGCAGGCCGCCGCTTCCTGGGGACGGGCCACGTAGCCGCGCACTTCCGTGCCGTCCAGTGCAATGACGCAGTCGTCCTCGTCGTACTCCTCCTCCTCCTCCAGCGAACCCTTGGTGGTGTCCAGATCGTCGACCGTTTCCAGGCTGTTGGCGCGGTACAGGGTGGGCGGTGAGCCGTCGCCGTCGCCATCGCCATCGCCATCGCCGCCATGTGCCGGCCGCGGAGGAGTCGAGGTCTGCGAGACGTTCGTGTCGCTGGGCAGGAAGGAGGTGGGCGTGTGCGTCACCGATCGCGACGTGGTGATGGAGCCCGTCGATTCCACAACGATGGAGTACATGGGATCGTCGCTCTGCAGAGCGGTTATCAAGGGATTTCGAATGCCAGCGGCCGAGGACATGTCCGACTCTTCGCTGCTCAGGCTGTAGGTGGGCGAGGAGAGGGGCTCCTCCTGGGCGGGGGGCACTTGCGAGCTGTCCAGGAACGCCAGCTGCTGGTAACCGCTCTGCGCAGGCTCCTCCTCCTGCCCCTGCCCCTGTCCATGATCATGTTCATGATCATGTTCATGTTGCTCCTCCAGTGACTGCGTGTCACCCAGTTTCAGTTCCTCCTCCTGATCCTGCCGCTCATCCTGCTGCTCAAGCGATGGCACATCGTAGGTGGACATGCCCAGCGTGGTGTCCATCATCTGCAGGTGTGCCTGGCCGGTTGGACGCACTGCGGGCAGCGACCACTGCGAACTGACCGCGGTGGTTAGTGCCGAGCCCAGATCGGTTGACTCCATGTCGCCACAGATGGTGGTGCGCTCGGAGATCTTCACCGCACTGCTGTTGCCGCTGGAGAAAACCTGCGACTGCGTCTCGCACATCTTCGAGGAGCAGATGGTGGGCACGAACTGCGAGTGCGATGTCGTTGGCGATGGCGTTGGCTGGACCGTGGCAAAGCTACCGAATCCACTGCTGCCCTCGGTTTCAGTGGCAGTGTCAGTCTTTCCCTGACGCAATGAGCCACGTGGCTGTGGGCCAGGCGGTGGACCAGGTGGTGGACCAGGCGGTGGGAGCTCGGATCGAGCAGGCGATTCCCGCGGCAGCTCTGCCAACTGGTTCACCAAGGACACATTGGCCGAGGCCAATGGCGAAAAGAACTCCACGTCGTCGTCGTCGTCGTCTGCGTTGTCGTCGTTGTCGACGACCTCATGGCCACCCTCATCTGACTCGATGCTCCTCGGTTCGCTTCGCGACTCGATCTCCACGATGATCTCGTCGGTCTCCTCCTCCTCCTCCTCGTCGACCTGCTCCTCCTCCTCGGTGTCCACCTCCATCGATCCGTCCAAGCGCAGGGGAATGGGCGGCATGAAGCGGAACCGCTTGGGCTCCGCCAGCGTGGCAGAAGTGGCCACCGCCACCGGCTCTCCATCCAGTGCTGGTGCTGTGCCGTTTCTCTTCAGGATCGTGAGTTTGGCCTGCGGCGAACCGCTGCTCTGGTTTGCCGTCGGCTGACGCGTCTGCAGGAAAGTTGGCGGCTGCAGCAGATCAACGGCCGCGCTGCGCTCCGTCTCCGCCACCTGCGATTGCCCCAACTGCTGGCTCAGGATGGCCTGCACATGGCCCCTGACATCGTCCACCAACTGCTCGGACAGCAGGCGACGGCGTTTGCACGGCTGCAGCGAGTAGAGCGGCTGCCTATGTTCCCGTTCCCGCTCCAGCTCCTGCTCCCGCTGACGCTTCTCCACCACCTGGTGGGGCACGGGACGCACAGTGTGCCGCCGGTGCGGAAGCTCCGACAGTCCGTACTGGGCATGCCGCAGGAAGGGGATGTTGGTGTGGCCGATTTGGTTGCGCCGCGACGCGGGCGACAGGGCGGCCGGCGGCTCCTCGAATTGCGTGGCCCAGTGGGCACTGACGGCCGAGCTCTGGAAGATGCCGCCCACCTGGCCGCTGGCGTTCTGCTTGACCAGCTGGCAGCTGAAGGGCGGCAGGTTACCTCGGCCGCTCTGGCCATCCTCGAGGCCCCCCTCCAGATGGCCGCGGATGCGGAGGAAGGTGCCGGCAATGTTCTGCGCCACCGGCGCCATCGTGGACCGGTAGGCCGAGATGATCGAGCTGGAGGAGTCGTCCTCCCGCTCCCGCTCGGCGGCCACGTCGTCCATGAAGGCCACCGCGTCGATGAACTTGCTCTTCTGCAGCAGCAGGATCAACTGCACGCGGTCCGTCTGGCGCGAGCGGCACTCACGCAGCAGGCGGTACAGGAGCCGCTCCTCCGGGCCGCGCAAACACAGCTCGGCCAGCGCCTTGAAGCGTCCGCGTCGCAGGCAGTGGCGGAAGAAGCTCTCCAGCAGCGGCTGCCCCTCCTCGTCGTCGTGGAGGCGGGCCAGCTGGAAGGCCTGCGGCATGCTCTCGTTGGCCAGCAGCACGCTCATGTGCAGCGACGGAGGCAGTGGTCCCGGCGGCTGGCTGACCACGCGCATGGCCGCCTTGATGGCGCCTCCCGCCAGCAGCGTCTCCACCAACAGGCGCGTCTGCCACACCTCGTAGTTGCTGGCCGGAGCGGGGTGCATGTACAGCTCCTTGATGCATTGCTGCAAGTAGGTCAAAAAGAAGGTGAGGATCATAAAAAATGCATCCTTCCTTTGAACAAGAGAGCACGGAGAAAGCTAATGTCGATTCTCCCGACTATTAGATACCCGTTACTCTGCCAACAAACTTCAAACTAAGTATTCCTCCTAACAAAACAATCAAAGTCTAGGTGGCGCCATCTATCGAACTGCCTAAGAAGCTAAGAGTATGTAACATGCCCACCACTCCCCGCTAACTGTTCTTTCGATCTGCAGCTGAGAGTGCCGCGATTACAGGCAGAGCAGCGGCAGAGCGGCGGCAAAGGACCTAATAACCCTGTAACTACTAAAATAATAGGTCGATTTTGAAAATTTTTGTGTCTACCGATAGGTATGACCGAAACACAGAGTCCAAAAACCTCAAAGCAACAGTACATACTGGATTCTAAATGCCAATGCATCTATATAATTAAAAATCAATACAAAAAAAATATATTTCTTCGATAAACACATTATAGCAAACTTAAAAATGTTTAACAGGCCTATGCTTCTTCCTACATGAGTTCTTACACTATTAATAATTTGTTAATCCAAATAAATACTGAAATTATAATACACTCTCCAAGGATATAAAAAAATACCGAGATATATGATTCTTTTATAAATTGTTCACATGCTAAATAAACTATCGGATCGCCCAGGCTCACCTAAATTCTTAAGAAATCGCAATTCAACAAGGATATCCATCAAGACAGCCTTTACGAATAAAATGGACCTCTAACGCTTAAAATAACTTTAAATAAGACTATGTCGAAGTAATTTAAACGAAAATATATCTTTAGTTTCACCGATCAGATGACTTTTCCAACATGACGTTTCACAGTTCCGACCGAAAGACTAATCTACCCGAATTATGTTTTCATGAGCTTACAATTTCCATTAGCCCTTTACCTATAGTGATCGAATGCATACTTTTGCAGGGCTCCATGATACACACATTTGCCTAAATTAAACGCCCCCCTAGTTTTTCAAATTAGATTCGATTAGGGGCTTCTGTACTCACCTCGTAATCGCCGCGGTCCAAGCACCAGAAGGAGCGCACCGACTTGGCCAGAGCTTCGCCCAGCTGGAAGGCGTTCTTGAAGCGTCTGCCCAGCTGTGAGTCCAGGTCCAGCAGCAGGTACAGGAGCAGCGCCTGCTTGGGGGCCACCCCAGTGTCCGGAGCGAGCATCACAAGCAGCAGGGCGTGCAGCGAGTCCGGCGGATAAGTGTTCGAAAGGCCAGAGTGCTTTATCAGGGCGTCGATGTAAAGGGTCTTGCGCTGCGCCCGCCGTTCGGAGTAGACGTGTCGCAGGCGGACCAGCGGCTGCTCCCGGTGCTCGCGATGATGGGCCTCGTGCTGGCCCTCCGGCAGGAGACCCTGCTCGATGAACCAGTAGAGCACCCTCTGGTACTCGTGCACCGTCCGCAGCGCTTGCTCGTTGCCCTTGCACTCGGCCAGCGTCGTGGGCGCCAGTCTGCGCCGGCCCTGCTCCACAATGTAGGACTGCAGGCGCAGCAGCTCGCTCAGCTGGTCGGTGAGCAGCTGAAACTCGTGCCGCTCCCGCTCGTCCAGGGAGTAGCCGCCGTAGTCGAAGATGCCCTGGCACAGCTCCGAGCAGCGCGACTTGATATGCCCGGCGCGCCGCACGATCCATTGGGTGAGCGTGGCCAGCGAGAGCTTGGTGGGATCGAGCAGGTTGCACAGGAAGCTTCCGTCCATCCAGCTGCGGGCGCAGTCGTTCAACAGGGCCCCGCAGTTGTGCTCCAAGGCCACCGACAGTATCACATCGTACATGGCAGTCTGGATGCCAGAAGGAAAGAAAAAAGGAAACAGGTGAGATTGGCCATATAGGCAAGTTTAGTGACCACAAAATGTTAAAGACTATATTTATTTATAACCAATAAATCAAGTTATTCTTTTTGGTCTCAAAAATGCATATTATAAAATATCCTTCGATCAAGGACTAGCTCATGGTGTTATTTAATTGAATTTATATACATTTTTTTATTAACATGATCCAGTTCTCTATAATTTTGATCGTTCTGGTGACCACATTGGTGGCAATATCAGAAAAATTACATTTATTTTTCACTTGTTTTTCTACATAATTATTAAATATTTTTTAATAAAAAAAAAAATCGCCAATAAACCTTTTATAAATTCTTAAAATGTTCTTTAATATTTTAAAAATTATAAAACAAATTTAAAATTTTATAAAAAAAAAGCACCAAAAAATTAATTTTACGGAATCAGCATAGAATCATTTGCACAAAACATATTCTCTTGGCTGAGTTTCCAACTGATTGGCATTTTAAGCTGAAAAATATTGATTAAAATTATTAATTTAACTACTAATTTGCATTAGTTAAAAATTAAAATTGAAAATTTATAAGCCAATAGATTGAAAATTATATGACGAATCCGACGAGGTATGAATTTCCAACTGTCGACCATTATTTCTTGGGGTTTTAATAATACGAATCGAAATTCGAGTTGCATTTTCGGTTTATTATCCCAACTTTACCAACTTTTATCACAATAGTAGATACCATTTTGTAGGCCTTGCATTAGGAGTAAAATTTGAATTAAAATCACGTAATTTTAATGAGCAATCTATTGCAGTTTCAGATTTAAATCACTGTTTTCAGATTTGGGGTTGTTACTATTAATTTTAACTATTTAACACTGCGTGCTTTATTAAAAAAACAAAAATTTGTCGATAAGACTTCAAAATATCGATTATAATCCTTAATTTTTAGTAAATGTTTAATATGTTTCCGTCTCTTTCTACAATATATTTCTTAAGGAAGCAATTAAATGTATTGAAATTGAACGTTTTATAAATTTAGGGGGAAAGTGGATTTTTTTATGGGGAAATCGTGGTTCTGCAACGGGGACAACTGATTTTTTGTCTGGCAATTTAAATTCGGGTTTTTAATAATGTTAATTCTAAATAGAACGTTTGACTAATATTCATTCTCGTTTTCGCCATATGAGCGTTTACTTCGAGTTAATATAAGCAAATAAATATAAATAAACAAACAATAAAGAACTAAGGACTAAGGACTACATTTTGCAAGCGAATTTCATACCTTGGAGAAGGTGGCGTTTGGGTTCAGCTCGCAGAACTGGGGCAGTAGTCGCAGGCGGACAATGCTCTCGTGGAAGGGCTGTGGTCGCAGAAAGAGCGTGGCGTGCTCCCAGCGGAGGGTGTTGAGAAAGCGATTTTGCACTCCGTCCTGGGCGTAGTAGCGACTGCCGGTTGCGGTAAGCAGCGTGCAATCTAGACCGGAGCATAGAAGCAGGAAGGGATTGTCAATTAAGGCTTGAACTTGACTCCATTCCCGCCAATCATCTCTTACCGAAGGTCAGTGAGTCGGGATAGAAGTGCTCATCGTAGCGCTGCAGCGAGACATAGTGCATAATGGAGCTGGAGCGCAGATGCAGTCCCAAGCCGATGGGCAGACCACTTAGGTTGTAGCCGGCGATGTAATGGGGAGTTTCGTTGTGCCTCAGGCAGGAGGGCATCTCGTCCTTGTACCACTGGTTAATGTCGAACAGGACGAGCTTGTTTTTGCGATCTGTGTTCGAGTACCAGGAGATGATGACCAGCAGCGTGCCGCTGTCGCCGGCAAAGCTGAAGGTGGACGCCGTGGTGCAGGCAGTTACGGAGCAGCTGCCTCTGTCGAAGATTTGGTGGTTGCGCACGGAACTGGAATGGAAGTGCTCGAAGCGGAACCCGTCGCCCGCCTGCTCCACGCGCCTGTAGTTGACGTTGTGCAGCAGCATGTGCAGGCGGTCGGCGATCTGGTACAAAGCACTTATGTAGAAGCAGGGTTTCGGGTCATCCGGCGGCATGATGAGGCACATCCGCTCCACGGCCCCATGATCCCGTCCACTCGTTGGCGGCGGCTGCATCGTGGTGGTCAGCTGAAAGAGGACCAGATCGTAGATGGCGATGCGACCATCCTCAAGTCCAGCGGCGAAGCCGGGCGCAACGGCTATGCCCATCAAGCTGCGAATTCCGGTGCTTGCCACTGTCAGGGAAGAGGTTTGGGATTAGGATAAAGGCAAGGATAGACCAGCCCTCTGCACACACTTACCATCTACATGGACAGCCAAGTGAGCCACTTTGGAGCGGCACTTGTCGAGCACGGATTCGATGCGGCGGTGGCCGAGCTCCGTGCCTGGAACACAGTACAGTTTGCCGTAGGAGGGCTCGCCCTCGTCACTGGGTCTGTCGAGAGTATGGCGGCCACGCTCCTCCAGCAGTCTGCCGGCGTTGAGATCGACCAGGAGGACAGTGCCTTCCTCGGTGGCCACGGCCAGGCAGCCGTCGAATAGCTTCAGTCGCGTTCCGCCGCAGATGCTTTCGTCCAGGAAGGTCATTGCTCGGCAGTGGAGGTGGTCTTGCAGTTCGAAGCGGCGCAGCACCTTGCCGGATGTGAGCGCGTAGATGAGCACCTGCGTCCTGTGGTCCCACAACTCCAGGCAAATGGCCAGCAAAGCCGGTCGCTCCGGCTGGCCGGGAAAGAGCTCCTCCACACAACGGATACTGTTGAAGTGGAGGCTCTTTTCCTCGTCGGCGGACTGGCGCCAAAAGCAATGCCTGGAGACGCACTCGCCGGTGGCCATGCTGCAGATTAGTAGGGTGGCGTCTTTGCCTCTCCTGCGGGTCACCCATCCCCACTGCCCGCCGCGAATGATGCCGCCCAGGTAGTCGTCTGCGAATTGGTTCAAATAAGGGACCAATGCAATGCCACCAAATCCCACGCCACACTTACCGGTCTGCGAGAGATTCTGCCCGAAACCGGGCACGGCGCGCTCCGGGAAGTCAGCCGTGCGGCTCCCGTCCAGCTCAACTTCGTGCCACTCCATGTCTTGGTGCACTGTGTCTGCGGTATGCTGCTTAATCGCTCGGTCCGCAAAGTGTATTAAAATCTAATGCTCCGATTGCTTGGAAGTTTGTGACACACTGACCGGCGGCGTTGCCATTTGATTTGACATTTTAAAACAGTCGCCTACTTTGTTGTTGTGCTGGTGCGCACGCTAACCGGATTAGTGTTGATTAACGTCCGATAGAAATTCGCAAATTCAAGACTTTCCAAGGGGATGCTAGCTATGTGGGTTTTATTTTAAACATTTTTATTGCTTACTGCTCATTGAAAGGTGCAATAGCCAGTGACTTATGGCCGTGTTTGGAGCGATACAAATTACTATTTTGTACCGGCATTGGCAGCAGCTTGACAACTCTCGCGGTCCGGCAACGCTGCAGCATTGCGAAAATATCGCGCGAGTTTCATAAGAAATTCAGTCAGCTTGCCTCTGACAATCGTTCGGCACGAGGCAAATAAAATGATTTCAAATTAAAACCTTCACGAATTCTACATGCATGAAAATTGGATCGAAATTCCAGGCAATCCATTGTGATCTGGCAACTTCCGCGAGCCGCCTGTCAACCCTGTCCCGTGCGATTTGTGCTGCACATTGTTCTTAAGCAACCCAGCCGGAAAAGCCGTTTCAGTGGGCTATCCCTTCTTCTATATGCGCTTCAGATGTGAGACACCCCGACACTCGAGGCTGTGTTTCAGGCAATAGGGATCATCTGAGTGACCACGCGAACTCGAACCGCGAATCTGAACGAGAGCACTCCATTCCGCAGTCCCGCATTCCGCAGTCCGCGTTCCCCATTCTGCAGTCCGCACACCACACACCGCACACGCACACAGGCAGCTCTTCTAATCTCGGAAACGTTGTCTGGCTGGCTGGCTCCAAAGAGGAGTGGCACGCGGGGATCGAGGCGATCGAGGCTTGGCGAGATTCGGGTTTCCAGCGGCGGGCAGCAGAGGTAAGTTGAGACCACTTAAGTGGGCAGGGCAGCAGCCGGCAGGGGGGAAGGGGGAGGGGGGGTTTTTTTTTGGCAGGAGCACATGTCTAAAGCATCTTACACTTGCAGGAAGGCAGAGGCATAGCCTGTTAGACGCCATCGATGGCCCAGCACCACGGAGGCACCGAGGCCCTGGCCGCCGAACTGGCCACCGCCGTTGACCTGATCATGCATCCACTGACCCAGCAGCAGGCGCGCCTGGAGGCGTACATGGCCTGCGAGCGGTTCAAGGAGGAGTCGCCGCTGTGCGCCCAGGTGGGCCTGTTCCTGGCCAGCTCGCCGCAGTCCAACCAGCAGGTGCGCCACTTCGGGCTGCAGCTGATCGAGTACACAATCAAGTTCCGCTGGAACTGCATCACGCACGAGGAGAAGGTGTACATCAAGGACAATGCCATCAAGATGCTGAACGTGGGCGTGGGCCCGGCGGAGGACCGCTCGCTGCTGCCCACAAAGAATGCGCTCTCGCGCATCATCGTCGAGATGATCAAGCGCGAGTGGCCGCAGCAGTGGTCCGACCTGCTGCCGGAGCTGAGCCAGGCCTGCACCAAGGGCGAGGCCCAAACGGAACTGGTGCTGCTCGTCTTCCTGCGCCTGGTGGAGGACGTGGCCCTGCTGCAGACGATCGAGTCCAATCAGCGGCGCAAGGACATGTACCAGGCGCTGAACAACAACATGAACGACATATTCGAGTTCTTCCTGCGCCTGGTGGAGCAGCATGTGACCGCGTTCCGCGAGACAACGCGACAGGGCCACTTCACCAAGGCCAATGCGCACAGCCGGGTGGTCGAGATGGTCCTGCTCACGCTGAGCGGCTTCGTCGAGTGGGTCAGCATCCAGCACATCATGTCCAGCAACGGCAAGCTGATGCACTTCCTCTGCATCCTGCTCAACGACAAAGCATTCCAGTGCAACGCGGCCGAGTGCCTGGCCCAGATCACGAACCGCAAGGGTCAGGCCAAGGAGCGCAAGCCGCTGCTGCAGCTGTTCAATGAGGAGCCGCTGCGCTACATCTACCAGGCCAGCCAGATCCCGCCCGACTCCGGCTCGGCCCTGGCCGTCGAGCAGCACCACAACTTCCTGAAGAAGCTGCTGCAGGTGCTGAACGGCATGGCCCAGCAGCTGGTGGCGCTCTGGGGCAAGGACGATGCCACGCAGCGACCGGTGCATTTGGAGGTGCTGCTCGAGTGCCTGCTGCTGCTCGTCCAGCACCAATCGCTAACCGTCTCGCACGGATCGGCGCTCATCTGGCAGCTGCTGCTCAAGCATGAGCCCTGCTCCAAGGACTTCGCCACGGTCAACTACATTCCCAAGCTAATCCACACGATTGCGCCGCGGATCGTGAAGCTGCCATATCCTGCCGCCACCAGCTCGCCTGCCAGCCTCTCCACGGAGGCGTACATTCGCCTCGAGTACGACAGCGAGGAGGAGTTCGCGCTCTACTTCTTCCGCTGCCGCACCGACTTCCTCGAGATCTTCCGCCTGGCCACGCTGGTGCAGCCGCTGGTCACCTACGGCTACTGCGAGCAGTGGCTGCAGCAGCGCCTGCGCAACGCGGTGGCCGAAGCGGACGCGGAGGTCAAGAGCGGCACCGTGTCGTGCAGCGTGCTGGATCCCGTCTACCTGGAATGGGATGCCCTGGTCAGTGTGCTCGACGGCGTCCTTAGTCGCATCCTGCTCGTCGCGGAGCGTCCGTCGGTGCCGGCGGGACTGCGGCTGCTGGAGGAGTGCCTCAAGCTAGAGACAATCAACCCACTCATCTACTCGATCCTGCTCTCCTGCATCTCGGCCCTGTTCGTCTTTCTCAGCATGTCCGCCTGCCAGATAACGGCCACCAACTGTGTGGCGATGAGCGGCGTGAGTCTGCTGCCCCGGGTGCTGGACAAGATTTTCCGGGCGCTTGTGCTGAAGCCGCCCAACGAGCTGGAGAAGGTGCAGGCCAAGTCGGCCAAGAATCTGCGTCGCCACGCCGCCTCGCTGCTGGTGAAGCTGGCCCACAAGTATCCGCTGCTGTTGCTGCCCGTCTTCGAGCAGATCAACGGTCACGTGGAGCTGCTGCTGAAGGAGCCCGGCCAGCATCAACTGTGCCGCCTGATGCGCACCACCCTGCAGGAGGCGTTGATTCTCATCTCGAACCACTTCTGCGACTTTGAGCGCCAGACGCTCTTCATCGAGCACATCGTGCAGGACAAGCGGACTGAGTGGCTGGCCTTCGGCGATGCGCTCAAGTCGCCGCTGGCCTTCATGAGCTTCGTGGGCCTGGACAAGCCGCCCATCTTCGCCGTGGAGGGTGCCGTCACGCTCCAGAACCGCTCGCGCCTCCTGGACGCCCTGCATGTGGTGCTGGGCGTGGTGAAGCGCTGCACCTGGCCCGACGATCCCGATCGCGCCCAGCGCGGCGGCTTCGTCATCGGCTGCACGGAGCTGGGCAACCCCATCTGCCGGAATCCGGCCACTAAGCACGTGGTGCCGCTGCTCTCGCACGTCCTCAGCCTGATGCGTGTGCTCAACGAGCTGTTCGCCCCCGAGGCGCTGCAGGCCCTCTCCGAGGGATACCGCGGCATCCACGGCATGCTGGAGCACGAGAAGAAGCTGCTGATGGGCATCTGCGCCCTGCCCACCGATCCGCTGGACACCACCATTCGCAGCGAGCCGACGGCCTTCGAGAAGATGCAGACCTTCATGATGATGGTCACCGAGGGATGCTATCATCTGATGGGTTCCGCCGGCCCCTCGCTGGGTCGCGATCTGTACCAGCTGCTGGGTTTGGCCGACGCCATCGTGACGAATGTGTTCAGCCGCATGGACCTGGTGCCCGACTACCGACTGCGCCCCATCATCCGGGTCTTCTTCAAGCCCTTTGTCTACTCGTGCCCGCCCAGCTTCTACGACAGCGTCCTAGTGCCGCTCTTCGCCCACCTGGCACCGTTGATGTGCGAGCGGTTGACGCGCCGCTGGCTCTACATCGCCTCGCTCTACGAGAGCGGGCAGCTCAATGGCGAGGTCAACGACACGCAGGAGGTGCTGGAGGATCAGCTCAATCGCACACTGACGCGTGAGTATCTGGACGTGCTGAAGATCGCGCTGGTCGGCGGCCAGATTGGGGCCGATCATGTGGCCGCGGGCGCCAATGCCAACAGCAACTCGGTGGCCATGGAGAACGAGGAGCACTCGATGGACAGTGCGCCACAATCGCGGGCCAGCCAGTCGGCCCTGCTCTCCGACATCATCAGCGACTTGGGCGGCAAGCTGCTGCGCAACGGACTCATCGGCAACTATGTGCTGATGACCTTGTTGAAGGCCATCGCCTGGAACGACGGCATGTGCAGCATGAAGGCGGTGAATATAGCGGCGCCCGTGATGCGCTTCCTGGCCGCCGAGAAGCTGATGGACGAGAACAAAGCGGTGACGGCCTTCACTGCCGTGCTGCAGGGCATGCAGGTGCATGGCCAGCATGAGGCCAATCAGTCCGGTCTCGTCACCCTGGGCGTGCAGTTCTACGAGCTGCTGCGGCCCCAGTTCCCCATCCTCAGCGAAGTGCTGCAGCATATACCCAGCGTGAATGCGGCCGACATCCAGAAGTTCGACGAGAAGATCGCCGTGGCGCCCATCAAAGGCAACAAGGTGGACCGCGCCAAGAAGGACATATTCAAGAAGCTCACCGCCCAGCTGGTCGGACGTAGCGTCAACCAGTTGTTCCGGCACGAGGTGCAGATCGCCAATCTGCCGCCCATGCAGTCGCACAAGGCCAAGGGAGCCATGGGCACCACCGCCGCCGACATCATGGATAGCAATCAGAACGCCAGTCTTGCCCGTCTCTTTGGCCCGGAGAAGTGACAGGAGGGACCGCAACAGAAGCAGGATCAGGAGCAGCAGCAGAATCAGCAGCAGCAGAAGCAGGAACACAAATACAAACACACACTGAAAAAGAAATGGAAACCGAGGAAGAGCAGGAGGAGCGATCCGGACCCGGTCTTGGTCGAGGACCAGGATCAGGAGGGTCAAGGGGATCACGTCGAGACCACGGCCACCTCAGCTGCCAAACTAGCGACGACTGAACTTAAAGTAATTGTAAACTAGCTTAGACGATGAGCCATCTCACGTCCACGCCCACGCCTATGCCCATGACCCAGATCCCAGTTCCCCAGTTACCCAAATCCCCAGTTACCCAGTTGCCCAGTTGCTCAGTCGCAGTTGCAATCAGATCTTAAAGTTATTAATTTATTTATTTTACAAATTAATTTAACACCCGGCACGTAACAGTTTTTTTTTTTCAATTAGTCTCCCGCGGCCATCGCCTTGTTTCGATCCGAAAACCATTTCCCCCGACTCGCGACTTGTTACTGCTTTGTTATTTATTATTCGAAATTTTTGTTAAACTTGTTTGCACAAAGAGGAAGTGGAACATATAAAATTGTCAATACTCTCCCTCCGACCCTGAATCGGCCCAGTCCTAATCCCAGTCCAATCCCTTGGCCCCGCAGCAATGCCCGAAGTCCTTTTTATACATACATAGTTAATTAACTAAATAATGAATTGTGCTTTTCCCGGTTTTGTACAGTTACCTATGCGCAGGCATACTGTAATTTATATATATGTACACATTTATCCTTTGGAGAAACATTTCTGAAATTACGCTTAGGCTTAGTTGATAGGCAACGAGTTATTATTATATAATACATCAATCTGTATATGAACACACATCCCGCATCGCATATGCATTACCCCCCCAAAAAAAAATAAAACACACATCGGGATTCTAAGAATTATAGTTGCGTGAGTATGTAATATTCAAACTGAAATTATGTACTACTTATTTATAACTAAATGAAATCGAAGCGGAATAATTCGCAAAAACACAAAATCGAAATAAGTTAATAAATCGGAAATAAATTTACAAATTCAAATTGATATCTAGTTGTTTGTTATTTAATATAATTGAAAAACAAAAAGCAAGTTTTGAACACAGAAAAAGGAACTGGGGATATTTGGTAGTTTCCCTCCCGTAGTTGGGTAAAATATATATTCTAGTTTCGATTTTCGAAATTTCGGCCGTTAAAGAAAAAGCTTAAATTTAAAGTGGTTCCACTGCTTGTTCAACCAATTAAAAAAGTAAAATAAAATAAATAAAAACAGTAAATGTGTTCAACTCAACAAAATCGTTGGGTCCACTTGCGAGCACACACACAGAAGAAAATTGAACAGGAAATTAAATACTTTAAACAGTTTATTATTTTATTTTAAAATTCATTCATAAATACTATTAAATTGATTTGTCCTGTTAATTCACTTCGCATATGTAGTGGCCTTTAATAACATATCTTATTACCAAACTTATTTAAATGAATCTTTTGTGGTTCTAAAATTTCAAGGATAAACTAAAAGTATAATCAAAGTTATTAGTACAATTATTTTAAGCCAGCTTAAAACCTCATCATTTTGATGCCTTTTTTCTCTGTTAACCGTGAAGATGCGAAACGTCTTAATGCAGCGTTAGTGGAAATAGGCTGTTAGCGCAAATCGCGGCTATCGATTGTTTTCGCCTGTTATCGCTATCGCTATTGATAGTTGCTTACCTGTGGCCTAGCCTTTAATTTTTTGTTGGCCCAAATTAATAATAAATACCTTAGTCTAGTCCCTTGGGTCCGTCACAGTCCAGCCAACCAAGATGCCCATCTACGAGAGCGTGATGCAGGAGAAGCCGCCCATCGTCCTGGACATTGGCAACGCCTACACAAAGTAAGCAATGATGCGGCGCAAGTGAAGGTGAAGTCATCATTTTGCCACCTTTTCAGGCTGGGCTTCGCGGCGGAGGCGTATCCGCGGAAGATAATGCCCACGGAGGTGGTGATGACCACGACGGGTGTGAGGAAGCGTCTTCTTGATTACGACACACAGGAGGAGCTCTACGACCAGCTGGTGGACTTCCTGCAGACGATATTCTTCAAGTAGGTTAGGTCGACAAGTGGGGCCACATCTACATCTTCGGCTGATTTCAGGCACCTGCTGGTCAGCCCCAAGGAGCGGAAGTTTGTGCTGGTGGAGAACGTGTTCGGACCCACTGTGCTGCGCGAGACCTTGGCCCGCGTCCTCTTCGTCCACTTCGACGTCTCCTCCGTGCTGTTCGTGCCCGTGCACCTCATCGCACTGTCCACGCTGGCCGTGCCCACCGCCCTGGTGGTGGACATCGGCTACAGCGAGACCAGCGTCATGCCCGTCTTCTGCGGGGTGCAGATCATGGCCGCCTTCAAGGACCAGAGCTACGGAGGCAGGGCCATCCACGCGGAGATCAAGCGCCAGCTGGTGGAGACGGGCGTCAAGGAGAGCCTGCTGACGGAGAGCGTGCTGGAGGACATCAAGGTGCGAGCATGCTTCGTGACCACCATGGAAAGGGCCCAGGCATTCGCCCAGGGTGGCGAGGATCAGCCGACTGCGGCGCCAGGCGTGGACTACATCGTCAGCGACAACGATGCTGTCATCCAGGTGCCCGGCGTGCTGCGGGAAACCGTCTACGAGATCATGTTTGAGGCTAGCAACGAGCGGGACAGCCTGGCGCACCTCATCCTGCGCTCCATCCTCGACTGCACCCTGGACGTGAGGCGTGCTCTGGTCGAGAGTGTGTTCCTCGTGGGCGGCGGCTCCATGGTCCAGGGCCTGCTGGCCCGACTTCGCCAGGAGCTGCAGCACCTGCTCGCCAAGGATCCCTTCTACGCCGAGCGCTTCCACGGCAAGCTGCAGTTCAAGTTCTTCAATGCCATTGGCAAGCAGAACTTCACCGCCTGGCTGGGTGGCGCCCTGTGCGGGGCCACGGATCTCATCCAGACAAGGTCGCTGGTCAAGGAGACGTATCTGAAGAGCGAGCACGTCCCCGACTGGAGCAACCTGTGCGACAATCGGCCGACAGGTTCATAGTTTGGCGGAGGCCTCTGAAAAACGCATCCTTATTTAATATTGATTAAAGTGTATTATATAGGCTTAAATTTAACTGCAAGTATAAAGTATAGAACATATATTCTAAATGTTTAGTAGTTTCAGAGCTATTTGTTTAAATACTGAATTTCTCTCATAACTCCATGTTATATCCACTAAAAACTATGAACCGTTTTCATAGCCAACAAATATTGTTTTGATTTTCCACATATTAATGCCCAATTTTTTTATGGTATCAATGTCTTCTATGATTTTTTGTGAAACTTGGGACTAGTGCTGATAATTCGTACAAGTAAAACTCAAATAGTTATGCTCCCAAGATGCTTTAGCACAGTATCATTGAAATCTTTTTTTTTTTATTTTTTTTTACTGGTTTAATATTTTGATATTCATTTACATTCGATCTTATAATTTAATAGATGCAATGGCATTTAAAAGCCAGCTCCTTTCGTCAGATACACTTATGAATTGTGTTGGACCATCGCAATATTTATATCCTGACGAAACGACACCCACAAGTTGTTGGGCTACAACCAATGGTCCACCAGAGTCCCTATAACAAGCCGTTTGTCCATTAGATCCGGCAGAAATGGAAAACTGATCAACCGTTAATATAGGGACGTCTACGCCTTGAAGGTGAACCGGGTACGAGTGCTTTGGATATATTGATGTTGCTCCCCATCCGGAAACCATTGCAACTGTTCCAGGAGCAGGATTCCTCTCGGCCAAAGGGATATTCTTGACTTTGTCGGTGAAATTAAGAGGCTCACTTAATCGCATGACGGCAATGTCTTTGGTGAAATTTGTACTGTTATAATTCTCGTGAGACCTTATGGCGGCCACTTTGACAAGGGTTCCTTTGGAGTTCCACAACGACGAGCCCACGCGAATAAGGAAATCTTTGGCCTCCAGTCGGCGTTCTTTTTCATAAAGGCAATGGGCAGCAGTTATGATAATATCATTGCTGTAAATAGAGCCTCCACAGATGTGTTCCCCATTCACTTGAAGGGACACCTGCCAAGGAGCCTGTTCTATTTCAATGTTCTGCCCACCGATAATTCTTTCCTCCGGTCGAGGAACTCGTCCTGCAGACAGGAAACTAATTGCCAATAGCAGTAGAAAACTCTGGATGAACATCTTCACTGGCTTGGTCAGGACTTTGGATCACAATGTCTGAACTACCGACGGAGCAAGTATTTTATATGCCATGGCCTGTAAGGTTCTTCAGTTATTTCTAAATTTAGCACAAGTTTCAACGTGGGGAATGCTAATCATTATTCCGTTTCCTGCTAATATGGCTTACTCCCTTAAAGATAAGAAAAACGTAAATTACAGAAACCAATTAGACTTAATATAGAAACAATTCTTACTTATTTGAAAAAGAAATTAATATTTATATACATTGTTGTGGACTAAATTTAGCACAAGAAGTGAAAGCAATGTATCTTTGATGGCGTAGACAAGGTTTTTTAAATTATAAGTCAGTGGAAAGTTTGCAACGCTGTGAAGGGGGCATTTCGGAACCTATAAACTATATATATATACTATATATTAATGATCAACATCGCTAAAAGAATCGGTCTAGCTATATCCACCTGAACGTTTGTCCGTTTTTCATTTTTCATACTATACTGTCTAAAATTCATGCAACAATTGGTTTCTATGACCATTTTTTTCCCTTATGAAACTTTCTCAAAAACTAAGAAGTTCTAATAAAGAGCGAAAGTGGTTTTTAATATCGAATTTACACTATTCTGGTAATGGTATTCAATGATAACAAGAAAGGAAGCAAACTTCGGCAAGCCGAAGTTCATATACCCTTGCAGCTATTGCAAAAATTAAATATTCTTGAAAGCATTAATGATTTACTTTCGGTTAGCTGATTTACTTTCATTTATGTTTAAAAGCATTGAAGCATTGAAGCATCGATAGTTTCTATGGCAGCTATATGATATCGTTTTCCGATTTTAATAAAATTAAAACGGTAATTCTGAACTGTCAAATTATTAATAAGTCAAAACTAATTTAAGAAAAAAAATTACAAAATAAAAAAGTTACATTATAAAATTTTTTTTAATAATTTTTACTGTTTCCATGGAAGCTTTATGTTATAGTCGTCCGATTTTGATTAAATTTAAACCGTAATTCTGAAATATTTAACCATTACTAAATGTCGAAGAACTAAAAAGAAAATTAACAAACAGCAACGTTATAATTTTTTTTCATTTATTTTTTCGATTGTTCCTGTGGGAGCTATATGCTATAGTCGTCCGATTTTGATGAAATTTAAACCGAAATTCTGAAATATTTAACCATTACTATATGTCGAAGAAATAAAAAAAAATTAAAAAACAGCAAAGTTATAATTTTTTTTATTTTTTTTTTTTGATTGTTCCTATGGGAGCTATATGCTATAGTTGTCCGATCCGGCTCGTTTCGACTACTATATACTACCTGCAATAGAAAGACAACTTTTGGGAAAGTTTCATGCAGATAGCCTTAAAACTGAGAGACTAGTTTGCATAGAAACGGACGGACAGACGGACGGACAGACAGACGGACATGGCTAGATCGACTCTGCTAGTGATCCTGATCAAGAATATATATACTTTATAGGGTCGGAGATGTCTCCTTCACTGCGTTCCAAACTTCTGACTGAAATTATAATACCCTCTGCAGGGGTATAAAAATCATACGTTTTTGTTGACCCGTGAATATCAAATTGATACTGGTAATTTTTTTCTGTGTCTTAAGCTTCCTTAGGAGCACACGGAAAATACATACATGAAATAAATATATACTATATTATTTTATATATATTATTTTATTCAAATTAAACAAATATACTCCGAGATTGTTTACTATTATAGAACTACGGATTTAATTTTATAAATATCGACCAACAACTGTCATATAGCTTCCATAGAAAGGATTAAAAGATTAATGGGAAAATAAACTATTCGCATACAAATCAAAATTGTTAAGCAACATATGAGCCAATAAAATTAAAAAAATAACCTTGTCCACGTCCTTAAAGCTATATTGTTGTCACTTCTTGTGCCAAATATAGTCAAAAAAATTATAGAATTAGTAATTAGTAAGCATTCCTGTTCTATATATAGTCTAATAGGTTTCGATATTTTAAATGTGTCTTATCTTAGGGGACTAAGCAATGTTTGCAGAATACGAAAAAATTACTGGAATTCCCCACGCTGAAACTTGTGCTAAATTTAGAAATAACTGAAGAACCTTACAGGCCATGGCATATAAAATACTTGCTCCGTCGGTAGTTCAGACATTGTGATCCAAAGTCCTAACCAAGCCAGTGAAGATGTTCATCCAGAGTTTTCTACTGCTATTGGCAATTGGTTTCCTGTCTGCAGGACGAGTTCCTCGACCGGAGGAAAGGATTATCGGTGGGCAGAACATTGAAATAGAACAGGCTCCTTGGCAGGTGTCCCTTCAAGTGAATGGGGAACCCCATTGTGGAGGCTCTATTTACAGCAAGGATATTATCATAACTGCTGCCCACTGCCGTTTTGATAAAAAAAAACGTCGACTGGAGGCCAGAGATTTCCTAATTCGCGTGGGCTCGTCGTTGTCGAACTCCAAAGGAACCCTTGTCAAAGTGGCCGCCATAAGGTCTCACGAGAATTATAACAGTACAAATTTGACCAAAGACATTGCCGTCATGCGATTAAGTGAGCCTCTTAATTTCACCGACAAAGTCAAGAGTATCCCTTTGGCCGAGAGGAATCCTGCTCCTGGAACAGTTGCAATGGTTTCCGGATGGGGAGCAACATCAACATATGCAAAGTACTCATATCCGGTTCACCTTCACGGCGTAGACGTCCTTATATTAAGGGTTGATCAGTTTTTCATTTTTGCCGGATCATATGGACAAACGACTTGTTATGGTGACTCTGGTGGACCATTGGTTGTAGACCAACAACTTGTGGGTGTCGTTTCGGCAGGATATACATATTGCGATGGTCGTACACAATACATAAGTGTATCTGACGAAAGGAGCTGGCTTTTAAATGCCATTGCATCTATTAAATTATAAGATCGAATGTAAATGAATATCAAAATATTAAACCAGTTAAAAAAAAATAAAAATAAAGGATTTCAATGATACTGTGTTGAAGCATCTTGGGAGCATAACTATTTGAGTTTTACTTGTACGAATTATCAGCACTAGTCCCAAGCTTCACAAACAATCATAGAAGACATTGCTACCATAAAAAAGAGGCCTTTAATATGTGGAAAATCAAAACAACATTTGTTGGCTATGAAAACGGTTCATAGTTTTTAGTGGATCTAACATGGAGTTATGAGAGGAATTCAAATAGCTCTGAAACTACTGAACATTTAAAAATTATGTTTTATACTTTATACTTGCAGTTCAATTTAAGCCTATATAATACACTTTAATCAATATTAAATAAGGATGCGTTTTTCAGAGGCCTCCGCCAAACTACGAACCTGTGCACACTGGTTGGGCTTGTATGGAGCCGCGGCAATAAATATTTCCCCGTTGAGATATCGTTATGAAATTTTCCTCAAAAATCTAAAAAAATATTGAGAATATAGAGTAAAAAAATTGGCTACATCGGAAGCCTCTATCTTATAGCTCACATAGCACCTTAGTATGGCTTGTATGGCGATGGTGCGCAAAGATACTTCCAGTTAAGTCACAGTGCTGAGATGTCATTATTAGAGTGATATTGAACAATTAAACTCTTGATATGCTTGTATTTAGTCCAAAAGGTAATAATTTTTTTGCAAGTATATGTAACTAATGCAGTTCTTAAGTGTCATCATGTCAACTGCGTATCCCTTGTTCTTAATGCTCTCTTTTACCAAAGTAGTCACTCTTCGAGTTTTATCGCCATTTTTGCCCTCTTCTGTGCACCAAAGATAAAAGATGTACATGCGTGAAAATTCGCAGTTAGCCTATAGAAAACGATAACATACAAATGAGCGAAAAAAAGAATATCCAAAATTGTCTACAAACACAAATGACGAACACAAAAGAAACATCACAAAAGCAAAGGAAGAGCAGCAGACTGTGTAGCAAATTTGAACC